TTGCCATTTTTTGGTAAATATAGTTTTTGCCGTTTTTGTTTTGTAAAGAAAGTTTTTGCAATTGAGTGGCTTGTAAAGAAAGTTCTTGCCACTTTTTGACTTGTAAAGAAAGTTTTTGCCATTACTTTTTATAACAAACATATTTTGTATAGTGCAGACTGCGAGTGACAAGTTATACGATAAATACCAGATTTAATTGCAATTTCTTTCTATTTATTATGCTTTTGTAAAGAAATTTCTTGTCATTTCTCGTTTTGTAAAAAAAGTCCTTTCAGCCTTGACAACAACTTTTAAATAATTTAGTATTCAAGAGCTAATTATAGCCTTAGCCCATGGGAGGTAAAGTACAGTAATCAACTTACTTTAACTTTTCTCAATTTATTTCTTTTGGCAAACTGCCTGCGCTTTAAAGTTTAAAGATTAAAACGTTGTTGATGCTATCTTGTTTTCCAAATCTGATGCAGATTTTTTATGTTTATAGCCTCAGGGGAATTGCAGTGCGAGCTCTTTAAAATTGGCAAAGAGGAATGTAAACAGACTCTCAGCTCTCTAAATAGTAGTTTTACGGTAATTACCAACCAGGGAAATATTGAAAACAGTAAGAAGTGGGTTTGAAAATGAGTTAAAAATGTTGTGGAAAGAAAGTTTTTGCAGTTTTTCAGTTTTTTTCGTTTTGAGGCTTTGCACAGTCCTAGCCCAGAGCCCTAGCCAAGAACCCTAGCCCCAGAGCCCTAGCCCCAGAGCCCTAGCCCCAGAGCCCTAGCCCCAGAGCCCTAGCCCCAGAGCCCTAGCCTAAGCCCTTGCCTAAGCTCTAGCCTCAGAGCCCTAGCCTAGCCTAGCCTTAGTCGTGTCATCAATTTTGCAAACAAAAATCTTATTCAACTTCAAATAAAATAGAGTTTCAAAAAGATAAGAACATGAAAAAAGTCTGCAAACAATTAAAAAAGTAGTTAAAGATTAGTTAGTCTGTGGTTTGTTGGTTTAGGACATGTGTTTGAATATTTACAATTTGTTAATTTGTCGTGCTTTCCAGCTGCATTTCAAATGTTTGAGATCAAATTAAAATTGCATGCTTTTTGCAACTCAAACTTGCTTTATTTTGTTTTTAAATTTATTCATGTCACGCGGCTATGTTCAAAGGTCAAGAAGGACAACACATTGACATGATATGTCATAAAATTTGTCATCTACCTATTATACAATGTCACTTTTTATGGCATAAAAAGTGACATTGTATACTATGAAAAATGAATTTACGGCATGAAAAATGGCATAAACATCAAATGACAGGGCATTGATGGCCGTTGTTTACCTATTTTTCATAAATTTTAAAAGTGAAGTTGTTTGGATTATATTTTAAATTTTAAAATGAAGCAATTAGAAGTTATTCATGGTTTGCAAAAGAGAATACATTAATTTTTACTTCAACGTAATTGTAAATTTTGTGGTAATGTTTGACGTCTGATCATGCAAATTAAAATTTAAAATCTTTTTGAACTTTTACTGTTAGTTACTGCCATTCTTTTTGGAAGTTTTTACAAAAATTTAAATTTTTGAATTTTGTAAAGAAAGTTCTTGCTATTTTATGTTTTGTAAAGAAAGTTCTTGCTATTTTATGTTTTGTAAAGAAAGTTCTTGCTATTTTATGTTTTGTAAAGAAAGTTCTTGTCATTTTATAGTTTGTAAACAAAGTTCTTGCAATTTTGTGTTTTGTAAAGAAAGTTCTTGTCATTTAAAGTTCGTAAACAAAGTTCTTGCAATTTTATGTTTTGTAAACAAAGTTATTGCCATTTCTTCTCAAAATAAGCAAATATTGTGCTTCGTAGCCTAATGAGTGACTATACGATGAAGACGGTTATCTTTGCTCTTATGAAAGGTCTTGCCATTTTACGACTTGTAAAGAAAGTTCTTGCCATTTGAAGGTTTGTAAAGTAAGTTTTTAACATTTTCTGTTCTGTAAACAAAGTCCTTGCAATTTTAATCAATTATCATTTTTGTTATTTTACTATGACAATTTTTTATTGTCGGAATGTAATGTCTTTTTATAATTATTGTCTGTCATCTGTTGACCTTATCGTTACTTCTTTCCATTGTCATCAGATGCCTTTATTTACTGTCATCAGATGACCTCACGGTTACTTCGAAACACTTTGAAAGATTCAGAAGTCGTTCTGAAAAAGACTTTAGAAGCATCAAAGGCCTCGAAAGGACCACAGAAAGCGAAGAGAACGGCCATGTGACAAGAGATTATGACAAAAGAAGAGAGATATTTTAATGACGAGAGAGTGTGACGAAAGAAGAGAGACATTCTATGACAAAAGCACATGGCAAAGGAAGATACACGTTTTGATGACAAGAGAGTGTGACAAAAGAAGAGAACGGCCAAATGACGAGAGACCATGACAAAAGAAGAGGGACGCTTTCTGGCCAGAGACAGCCCTAAAGAGACGGTCCAACCCCTCTTCTGGCCACATTTTTTTGTTTTCCACCCAAAAAAGGACATGACTTCTCTAAATAGCTACCCTTATTGTTACCATAACTTTGTTTGCGTAATGGCTGTTACCCATTCCGAGCTCGTTTTACATTCGTTAGGGGTGTGTTTATTGTTAGAGGGAGGTTTTTTGGAAAAAAACGTAAAAATTATGTTGAAATGGGTTATTTTTTAAAGATTTTAGGTCTGAATGGGTTTTGAGGTCATTTTGTTACCTAAAACTTTACTTTTTCTTGAACTTGAGGAGACTTTGTTACTTAAAATTTTACTTTTCTTTGTTTAAAAGTTGTTCTGTTACCTAAAATTCACTTTTTCTTGATTTTGAAGGCATTTTATTACCTAAAATTTAAAACTATTTATGCGTTTTATGTGTTGTTAAGGAGGTTTTTGTCATTTTATGCTTTGTAAAGAAAGTTTTTGCCGCTTTTTGTTTTGTAAAGAAAGTCCTTGCTATTTGTGTCTTGTAAAGAAAGTTCTTGCCATTTCAAGCTTTGTAAACAAAGTTTTTGCCATTTTTTGAATTTGTAAAGAAAGTTTTTTTGTTGTGCAGCCTGCGGCGGACAAGTTATACGATGAATGCCGTTTTCATTGCTTTTACTCCTGTAAACATAGTTCTTCCAAATTTGGATATTATTCTCAATATTACAGTAATATTTGCATAATGTTACACTTCCGTTCGCTACCCATTTTAAGCTGACACGTTGTTTTTCGTTGCTTAATTTTCTTGTTTTTCAGGCCCTCGGGGCTTTGGGCCGCGCTAAAAAAAAGTTTTTGAACTTTGGTCGAGAGTAGTAAACTACTTTACACACGGTTGTTACGGTCGAAAACCAACGAATTTGAGTGGATTTTGAGGAAAAACAAACGAGTACTATTAAGGTACTGTAGTATCGTACTGTATTAGTACTGTATAATTGAAACAGTACGATTGAAATCAGTTTAAAAACGATCAAAATTGGCTTAAATATCATCATAATCGACCAAAAACATCGAATTTGGAGAAGATTTTGACCAAACTTTTCAATTTTTGGTCGATAATCACCTCTCAACTCGTAATTTGCAACCACAACGCACTCGACGACCTTACAACGAACGCTACTTTGGCTTTGTTTACTTGTCAAACAACACACGCATCACCAATGTGCACGTAACCCCAGAGCCAACACTTCTAATTCGAACAATCTGATCAAGGGTTTTCAATCAGTGAGATAGAGCAGGAGAGTTAGAGAGGGTTAGAGAAGATTAGAGAGAGTTAAAAAGAAGAGAGAGCTACAGAGAAGGAGAGAGGAAAGGAAGGGTTGTACAGAAGGGTATATAGAAGGCAAAACTAGAAAGAAGAAGAGAAAGGAAGGTGGTAAAGGAAAATAGAGATAAAAGAAGATCTACAAAAGGCTGAAGAAGACTCTAAACTTTCTTAAAGATTCAAAAGAAGAGAAGAATTGAAGAAATCAAGGTTTAAAGAAGCAGAAAACAGTAAATAATAAGTAGAAACAGAAGAAAAAACCAAAGAAAAAGAGCTCTAAAGCATTGTGCAGCTTATTGTAAAGAAGATTTTGGAAAAATCCAGAAGAGAATTGAAAGGAAGTGACGATTTGTGGACGTATCTTCTGATTTCAAACGGATCAGAAGTAAAAACAGAAACAAAAAGTGGAATAATCAACAGAAAACGAAGAATAACCATTAGAAAAAGAAGTGTAAAGCAAAGAAAAGAACATAACAGAAAAGTGGAATAAGCAATAGAAAAAGAAGAATATCTACAACGATCATCAGAAAAAGCCAAGTATAAACCCAGGAACTATTCAGAAGATCAAGCAGCAGCCAGATCAACACAAATTGTTGCTGCCATTTTGATGGAAACAGTAGAGTAAGCTTTTTAAAAAATTTGATTGATTTTTTGTAATTTTTGAACTATATTATGACACATAAAAATTTTTAGCTTGGGCGTTTGAAAATTTTTATATTTGAGTTCCCCGCAAATTTGACAAAATTGGCATTGTGTTTCAATTTTATTGACTTTTCAAACAAGCTAAGCCTACAAATTAAAAAATGTATGTCCCTTTAAAGGTTTTCTACTATAATTTCTACCACATATTTCTACTACAGTACTCTCTCTATATAAGCAACTCGAAGGGACCGACATTTTGTGTTTACTATAAGGGGTGTTGTCTTTACAGAGAGGCTTTTTAGTGCAACTTGACTTGGCAGAGCCAAAAGTCAAAACATGACAAAGTTATAAGCTTGAACGTAATGCCAATTTGGCAGGAAATTCAAAACGTAATTTTTTAATCTCGGTTTTCTTGAGGTTGAACTGCAATTTGAAATTCAATTTTCAAATTGCAGTTCTTTACAAGCAATTTCCTAGGACTAGGCATCCCACTATGGTAAAAGCCAATTTGACACTTTTTCCAGCAATTTGTTATCTAAATAGTTATTTATTTTTGTTTGTTTGTCAGACCCGGAAGGCCTTTTATTTGTATTTAACGTAGCAAGCTGTTTGATATTAAGGAACAAGATGTTCATTCAGCTGCAAGAGGTAAAGGAAAATTAGTTTTAAAAGGTTCTTTTATAATTTGGAAAGACTATTACGTATTCTTATAAAGTCTTGGGAATATCGTCTGGCATTTTGTTTTGGAATTGAGGCTAAGGCTAAAGCTAAGGCTAAAGCTAAGGCTAAAGCTAAGGCTAAGGCTAAGGCTAGGGCTAGGGCTAGGGCTAGGGCTAAGGCTAAGGCTAAGGCTAAGGCTAAGGCTAAGGCTAAGGCTAAGGCTAAGGCTAAGGCTAAGGCTAAGACTAAGGCTAAGGCTAAGGCTAAGGCTAAGGCTAAGACTAAGGCTAAGGCTAAGGCTAAGGCTAAGGCTAAGGCTAAGGCTAAGTCTAAGGCTAAGGCTATGGCTAAGGCTAAGTCTCAGACCAAGTCTATACTCCTACTATAATATTACGATGTTCTGTAGTCTAGCCTCATTGAAAACCGATCGAACCCTTTCGAAAGCTAGCATTTCCTTCTTTTTTTCTGACCGTCTTTAAGAAAAAAAAGGGGGGAACTTAAGGCCAAGGTGGCCAGAACAGTCCATAGACAAACAGCTGGCACCCGCTCTCATGAAAAGGTCTTTATTGTCCCTTGTTTAATACTATAAACTGTGAAACTGGGGGTGTTTAGGGGGTTTGAACAGTGATTTAAATTGTGTTAAAATGACTTTTAATTTCGAAAAAAAAAATTTCAGGCCAAAGCTAAAGCCGAAGGGTTTAAAATTGATGGTTTTTAGGTAGTTTAGGGGTTTTTGGGACTTCTTGTTACCTAAAATATAATTTTTTAGAATGTTATAGGGATAGGGTTACCTAAAACACAGCTTTTTATGATTAGTAAGGTTATTAATGGGCATTATTTAAAAGTTTTTATATTTGAAATACGTTAAAAAAGGTTTTATTATTGGTTTTGTTACCTAAAATACGGTCTTATTAGAGTTGAAAGGTATATTGTTACCTAAATTTGAATTTTTTGAATTTTTGTTTATGATTTAATACTTAAAATACAATTTTTTATAATTTTAAAAATATTTCTTTCCTAAACATTGCTTTCTTGAATGTTTTTGAAAGATTTGTTACCTAAAATATAGTTTTTCTGTACATTTCAAGAGCATTTCGATACCTAAAATGAGGTTGTTTTTAAACTTTTATTTGTAATTTGTTACCTAAAATATAAGTTTTTCTAATTTTTAAACGAATTTTGTTACCTAAAATATATGCTTTTAGAATTTTAAGCGTATATTGTCGTTTTTAAGCGTATATTGTGTAAATTTTAAGCGTATATTGTGTAAAATTTGAATTTTTATAATGTCAAGGATACTTTAATACCTAAAACAAAATTTTTAAAACTTTCGTTAATGATTTGTTACCTAAAAATATACTTTTTCATCTTTGAAAGAAATAAAGCCCGAAGGCTATGTTTTTTAAAATTCCAAATTTCTGTTTTGATATGCACTTGTCACAATAAATAAATACTTCCTGGTGCATATTGAAGAATAGAAGGCTTGAGGTCATGAAAACAAAGTAAAGAATAACTTTTTTAATGCCATTATTAATATAGTTATCATTATTCTTATACTATAATATAGTTATTATTATCATAAAGTAAGGCCTTTGTTTTTCTGGTCTCAGGTCATAGTATCTATACCGTAATTATAAATTGGCGTAAAACACAAAACTTTATATTGAAATTGAGATTTTTGAATTTTATATTGTGGCCTAAGGCGTTTTGGGGGTAATTTTTAAAACTTATAGTGTCGTAAAGAAAGTTCTTGCTATTTTATGTTTTGTAAATAAAGTTATTGCCATTTTATGTTTTGTAAAGAAAGTTCTTGCAATTTGTATTAAAGTTAAGCATTGTTTTTTGCGGCCTGCGGGTGACAAGTTATACGATCAATGTTACTTTGCGAATTAGAAAGAAAGTTCTTGCCGTTTATGTGTTGTAAAGAAAGTTCTTGCAATTTCATGTTCTGGAAAGAAAGTTCTTGCCGTTTTATGTTTTGTAAAGAAAGTTCTTGCCATTTTAGGTTCTGTAAAGAAAGTTCTTGCAATTTCATGTTTTGTAAAGAAAGTTCTTGCCATTTTGTGTTTTTTTGTAAAATACGAACGAGCTCAACCTGACATGTTAAATAAATAATTTTATTAAAAAAAAACCTTTGTAAACAAAATTTCATCATGTATAATATCATACATGAATCTGTTTCAATGTAGCTTGTGTTTGTTTAAACGAAGTGCTATCGTAAAAGCCGTAAACCGAATGATAAGTCAAAAGTAGCTGACATTGGCGATAACGTGATACTTTAATACCAGAGAACGGTTTAAATTTGTTTTTGGAGGATGGAAAGAAAGTTCTTGCTAATTTTTGGATTTGTAAAGAAAGTTTTTGTTATTTTAGACGTTGTAAAGAAAGTTCTTTCCACTTTGTGATATTTAAAGAAAGTTTTGGTGAATTCCGTTTGAAATAAGTAATTTTCGTGTTGTGCAGCCTGCGGATGACAAGTCATACGATAAATGCCATTTTTACAATTTATGCGCTTTGTAAAGAAAGTTTATGGTCTTTTGTGCCCTGTAAAGAAAGTTCTTACCACTTTTTGTTTTGTAAAGAAAGTTCTTGCCATTTTATGGCTTGTAAAGAAAGTTCTTGCCATTTTATGGCTTGTAAAGAAAGTTCTTGCCATTTTATGATTTGTAAACAAAGTTCATGCCGTTTTAAGACTTGTAAAGAAAGTTCCTACCATTTTATGCTTTGTAAAGAAAGTTGTTGTCATTTTCAACAAAAAAAGTCATTACAAAATCAATTTTTTTTAAGGTTTGTAGGTATTCCCATAACGAAATTGCAAATTAAAACCGTGACAAATCGAAAAAAGCTTTGTAATGCCATTATTAGACGAATTGTAATCTGAATCCTTAGGATTCTGTTACGTACATAATAATATAAATACTTTGGCTTAAGTTGCAGGTCTTCATAAACAGGAAGATTTTGAATTTTGTCAATTTTGTTGATTTACACTTTGCTTTAGGGCTTGTTTTTAGCTGCCAGTTTAAAAGTTCAGAGCGGGGGGGGGGGGGGGGGTGAAATTGAACATTTTTTTAATTTGGGGAATAAAAAATGACACATCGTTTGGTAAAATGGCAAGAACTTTCTTTACAAGAACTAAAATCTCATACGTCGTATAACTTGTCACTCGCAGGCTGCAAAACACAAAATGGGCTTATTTTGAATAGAATTGGCAAGTACTTTCTTTAGAGAGTATAAAATGGCAAGAACTTTCTTTCCAAACTCCAAAGACCTTCTTTCAATATCACCTTGTACTAATTGAGTATGAAAACAATTTCAAAACTCCTTTTTGACCAGTCTAACGACCTGTTATAGATCACATTCCGTCTGTCCTTACTCTGTTATCTCTTTCTTTCGCCTACGGTCTTGTTTATTTTTAGGTCATTCTTAAAATAACCTTTCGGATTTCTTTTCGAAATTTTATTACAAAGACAAGTTTGTTACAGTGTTAAAGAAGAGAGGGGAAGGGGGGGGAGAGAAATATTTTGACAAAATTTGATTTCAAAAGTTTTGGAGGTTTTAAACGGGCGGTTACTTTGTTTAAATGGTTTTAAATGGCAAGAACTTTCTTTCCAAAGCTTAAAGTAGCAACAATTTTGTTTACAATGGATAAACCGGAAAAAATTTTGTTTACAAAACGTATAATCGCAAGAACTTTCTTTCCAAAGCATAAATTAACAAGAACTTTCTTTACAAAACGGAAAATGGCAAAAACTTCTTTACCGACCTCAAAATGACAAGAAATTTCTTTTCAACGTCAAATAGCTGAACTTTGTTATAAGATTTTAAAATAGCACTCAGCGTATAATTTATCACCTGCAGGCTGCACTGCACATTATGTGCTTATTTTGAAATAAATTAGCAAAAACTTTCTTTACAATGCCCAAAATGACAAAAAAAGCTTCTAAAAGCGAGTATACTTTCTTTACAAGAAATGACAGGAACTTTCTTTATAATACAAAAAATGACAGGAAGTTTCTTTACAAATCAGAAACTGGCAAGAACTTTCTTTACAAAACAGAAAATGGCAAGAACTTTCTTTACAAATCAGAAAATGGCAAAAACTTTCTTTACAATGCTCAAAATGACAAAAACTTTCTTTACAAACCTTAGAGTAGCACGAACTTTCTTTACAATGCACAAACTGACAAAAACTTTCTTTAAAGAACATAAAACGGCAAGAACTTTCTTTTAAAACCTTAAAATGGCAAAAACTTTCTTTACAAACTCTAAAATAGCAAGAACTTTGTTTACAAACTTAAAAACTTTAAATTTTGTTTAGCAAATACTGGCAGATTACCAAAATATTTTTTTTACAGTGAATTTGTAATTCGGTGATAACAATACCGTTTAATTCTTGTTGATAACGTTTTAACTGACCGTAGTCTTTCTTATATTATTAATGTCGGCTTCTTTGCGAGCAGCTGATTCCGAGTGTTTGGGTTCAAAGTTTGAAAGAACAACAAGGATTTGTGTTGCTTCTTATGACAAACTAAATTGGAGAGGTTTTGAAAAGAAAAAAATTGCAACATATGATATTCAAGTGCTCTGGAATGTTCTTACTCTTTACGGTGCAAAAAGATTTTAATTTTTGAAATTTGGTGTTTATTTTTTGGTTTGCAACCTGCGAGTGACAAGTTATACGATGAGTACTAGAATATCTTTTAATAGTTGTTGCTTGTAAAGGAAATTATTGCTATTTTACGTTTTGTAAAGAAAGTTCTTGCTTTTTTATAAACTGTAAAGGACGTTCTGGCCGTTTTATGCTTTGTAAAGAAAGTTTTTGCTATTTTAAGGTTTGTAGTGAAAGTTTTTGCCATTTTATGTTTTGTAAAGAAAGTTCTTGTCATTTTATGAACTGTAAAGAAAGTTTTTGCTATTGTTTTTTAAATAAGCAGATATTTGCGTTTTGCAGCTTGCGGGTGACGAGTTATACGATGAAAACTATATTTTCTAAAGGATTGTGCTGCCATTTTATGCTTTGTAAAGAAAGTCCTTGCAATATTTAATTTTTTTGTAAACAAACGTTCTTCACTTTATTCTTCACATCTAACTCATTACCTTATATTATACTTGACTTAACCACAGCTTTAATAACTGGTGCGAAAAAAAGGAACGGTCAATTTTACAATCTTTCACCAATCTTATTAATGTTATGTTAGCCATTTGCAAAAGTACTTTTAGTCTGGTCTGATTGTTGTTTTTTCACAAACTTTCCGTCTCCCCCCCCCCTCCTCTAGTAACAGCTGTTTTTGCGTTCCGAATGTCGTCAGAGATACGATGAGACATAGTGACATACGAAGCTGCCGATATTCGAGATGTGGTCATAACATAATATCCTCCTTTTTTATTTTGTGTTCTCTGTACGAAAAGGAGTTGACAGGGCTTTGCAGGTGATATTATAGTAGGAGAATATTACTTTTTTTTGCAAAAATATTGTGGTTTACCGGATGTAACGGGGTAAATATGAGGTATAGGGGATGTAAACACAACATAATGTACATTTGAACTGATAAAGATGACATTTTGGGTAATATTTGTCTTTTACGATCTGTAAAGAAAGTTCTTGCCATTTTTTGATTTGTAAAGAAAGTTCTTGCCATTTTTTGAATTTGTAAAGAAAGTTCTTGCCATTTTACGCTTTGGAAAGAAAGTTCTTGCCATTTTTATTAAAAACAAGCATATTTTGTATTTCGCACTCTGCGGGTGACAAGTTATACGCTGAATGCAATTTTTCCCTATTTTTTGTATTGTAAAGAAAGTTCTTGCCATTTTCAAAAACCCAGTATAAAATATGGTTTATATAAGACTATAAAATGCACTTTTCCACTTTTTTTCCAAACAATTTATATGTTTAAAGACCCGCTCGAGAGATCAATGGTCGTCGTCTTGGGGTTTCCCTTTCCAAATCCAAAATGAACGCATTTTCTTCATTTTTATATCGCTTCGATCAATTCATAAAACATTTTTACTTTTCATTGAGCATTCTAGAAGTGATGGTGTTTTCAAAAGGCTATTTGTGTACATTATCTTTGATTTTTATGGCTAATATTGTTGTTTTATCATCAAAAAAGTGGGTCAAACAGGCTAAATTTATGGTTTTTGTTGTGTAAAGAAAGTTTCGGCGGATTTTTCTAAAATTTTTAAGTGAAATTATGCTGTACTGTTACTGAAAAGCAAATGAATTCCGTATTATACTATTACTCGTATTTTACCGCTTAAAAAACATCTTAGAGTTGGGTCCCACCGCGAAAACCCGGAATTTTGGCATTCTGTTTTTCTCTCATTTTCGAGAAAATTAAATTCTTTTCTTCTATTTTTTAGACGCTTCTGAGCATTTACCCATTTATTCATTCCAAGCCACTAATCATTCATTTTATATTGTAATAGACATCAGCTATCTCCTACTACCTTTATTTGAATTTTCCCCATCTAAAATCGATTTTTTGTTAAGATTAGAGACTTGTACTATAAAAACGTATGTTTTGTCTTTAATTCACTTTTTTTTCGACTGTAAATTCAAATGGTTTTAATGAAAAACGGGCGGAAATGGCCAGATTGGCCGCCTCTTTTTTGGGTGCAAACGTGACATTCTTTTTGTATACTGATCTTCCAGAGTTCGGAAAAAAACTTTTTTTGATTGTATATGGTAGATGGGGGTTTTTTCTTTGTTTGCTAGAATTCGGATTTTTTGCACGGTGCGATTGAAGTCAGTGGGGTTGGGGTTTTAGTGGAAGATCGGGAGTTTTTTACAGTTTTGGATCATTTTTCGTAATATGACATTTTTAATGTTATCTTATTGGAATATTATAGCTATTGTGACATCTTTTATCTCAAACCCGAGCGATTTAGGTTTTTATATATAGCTTATATTGTCTATGTAAGACTTTAATAACTACTATAAGATTTGAGGAAAAAAGGGTGGCCCAAGCGTATTTTACCTTGAAAAAGTAATTTTAAAATAAAAATATGAAAATAGTCTTTGGACCAAATTTGAAATGAACCGCAATTTTCAAATTTCATAAATTCGAAACGTTTTCTTGACATTTCAAGACCAACAGACCAGTTTTCGTGCATAAATAGCACCGAAACTGCATCGAAATGTTAGTATGAAGGAGGAAATTGTTTTTGAGCTGGTAAAAATAACTTTTTCTAAACTTTTGCAAAAGTAAAATTAAAGTTTTTGGAAAGAAATTTCTTGCAACACTTGAAAAAGTTCGATTTTTATCTAAAAAGTTGGGCTTTTTGCCCTTTTGAAGCCTTAAATTGCCTTATAACTTACAAAAATGGTCGGAAATGTCATTTTAGTCTAGTAACTGTTATTCAACATGATCTTGCAGTATCTTTCCTCTAATTTCCAGACAGTTTTTCCAAACTTCGTTTCGCAAAAATGGCGAAAAACGGATAAAACGAAGCCGTCTGCAGGTCTGAAGGACACTTGGTTATGTTAAAACGGACGAATTCGTCATTTTCTTACAATTAAACGCACTCTTCCCACTTGTCACAAATTAATAACAAGTGACAAATTTAATCTTTGTTATACAATATTATACATCTGCTGCTTTGTTAAATATTTTTGTTTTGGGAATTACCGAAGGGGTTTTGGTTTGGGAAATTTTGAGGAAAGTGGCCAACTTTGCCAGTCTATATCTGGGGTAATACCAATGGTATTTATGCTAAACTTGGTGGATATTAAGGGTACTATATTCTTAGTATATTCTCTACATTTCATAGCTTTTACAGTCGTTTTGTGGCCACGGTGATTTTTCAAAGTTTGCCTACTTTTTCCAAAATTTTTCCAAAACTGGCAAACTTTGCCAGTCTATAAATGGGGTAATACAAATGATATTTGTGCCAAACTTGGTTGATATTAAGTGTAGTATGTGCTTATCATATACACCGAATTTCATATTTCTTACAGTCGTTTTGTGATCACAGTGATTTTTCAAAACTTGCCTAATTTTTCAAAATTTTGTCGAAACTGACAAACTTTGCCGTTTTATATATTGGGTATTACTAGCGCTATAAATACTAAACTTGGTGATTATTAATTATGGACTATGTATACTATGTGTCTTACATTTCATGTTTTTACATTGCATTTGACGGTTACAGTGAACTTTTAAAACTTGTCTACTTTTTTAAACTTTTCTAAGAAAATGTCGAAATTTTTGCATATCTTTTTAATTTTACCGCATCCTTCGTAAAATTTGCGTATTTTACATTATACCACAATGCTTCTACACATCCCTTACATTCACTAACCTTATTTTACTTTCAGTTTCGCCACCATTACGTCGTCAGCAGTGATAATTCCGTCGACGGCGACGCCGTTGGAGTCGGTGCCCGGCTCGGCACAGGCGATGGCCGCCGCCTCCGCCAGCAAAGCGAATCGGCGGTGGAAGTCGAAGAATGGGGAACGGGTCCGCGATGCCTGCGGCTATCGCCTGCGGGCGGCCGGGATTTGTGCACGCCGCAATTCGGCCGGCGAGTGGGAGTTGTTGTTGGTGTCGGCGCAACGTGGTCCACATGGCTGGGTGATTCCGGGCGGTGGGATTGAGCTGGGCGAACAGATTCATGAAGCTGTGTTGAGGGAGGTAGAAGAGGAGGCTGGAGTCAGATGCGAGATTCTGGAGACGTTGGGCGAGTTTAAGGTGAGTTATTGATGATTTATATGATAAATTTTTGGGTGTTAAGGATAACATTGTGCCTCAAAGTAATAGTAATCACATTTATTATGTTAAACTGACATTTTCACATTAAAAATCACATGAAAGAGAAGGTTATCACCCGGCCAGACATCAAAATATACAGTTTTTGCTAATTTTTATAGGAAAAAAGGTCAATATAAATCGCTATTTTAGGCTAAAAAGACATCTTTTACTAGTATAGACAACATAAAAGTGAAATTTATATTAACATAGACAATAAAACTCTATCACAATCTAATTTTGAGCTCAATTTTTGATTTTTAAACCCAAAAGTCTTCTCCTATACCTAAAACAACATCGGATATCCTAGTAACACCTTTGATAACCCGTATTTCAGTGTGATGACCGACTCCACCGTACCACATTGTTCCTTCTGAACGCCGTGGAAGCGTTGGACGAGTGGGAGGATGGTCGGAGTGGCAGGCAGCGACGATGGGCTGAGTTGAGGCACGCGTTCGAGCTGGTCAAGCCCACACAGAGGATCATGTTGGAGTTGAGTGCACAGCGGATGTAAGTAGCTGCAGTTGTTGAGATAGCCATTGCCTGAAGAAGAAAATATTTGAAAAAAATTTTTGGGCGGGGTGATTTTGAAAAAAAAAAATGGGCGGCGTAATTTTGAAAAAAAAATTTGGGTGGGGTAACCTTTTTCGGGGGTGGATAATTTTTTTTCGAATTTTGGATTTTTTAAACATTTTTTTGAAATTGTAAAGCCTTTTTAATATGTATGTTAATTTAAAATGACATTCCTCACCTGCAACGTTCCAAATTGTGTACTTTTAGAGCGGAAATCGAGAAGACGGCCATGTCGGCACGGTGAGAGTCGTCCGCACGTTCGCGCAACACTTCCATCAAGTTTACTATATCTTCACTGTTATCATTATCCTTCTTCGTATCTTGTACATCTACATTCCTTGACACTTCACCGTTCTGGCTTCTACCGTTATCTACATCGTTCTGATGGCTTCTACCGTGCTCACCATCATCCACAGTACTTCTACTATGAACAGCATCATACCGTGAAGCCGATTCCAAACCAAGTTGACCATTTTTACCATCTCCAACATCAATTTCGCCATTTCCACCTACCACAACATCATTTTGGCCCCTTCTACCATCTTCAACCTCTTTCACAGCCCCTTCACCATGACTGGGCTCTTGAAAGTCCCATCCGTAGGCCTTGAACTGATCATATTGTTCATCGTCCGTCTCGGTCCAACCATTTTTGGTCGATTTTTGAGGGTTTGGCGATGGTTTTCGGTCGATTTTCGATGAATTTTGGTCGTTTTTCCACGAAATTTCACTCAAATTCGACGAGTTTTGACTGGAATCGAAATGATTCTGAAGTTTATGATTCACATCGTCAGCTGTACTCGATTCTGGTTCGGTCGATTCGATGCTGAAGCTTTGCCAGTCGGATAGTTGGGGTTTAACGACCACTTTCATGTTGTTTTCGGTCGATTTGACCTTATCATCGACTGACTTGGCATCCTTATTGAATACCTTAGCGGCCTTATCAACTACAACATCCTTATCGACAACTTTAGCTTCTTTATCGACCAAAAAGCTCGTATCGACCACGCCAATTGGGGTATTTTCCTGTTTTTCAATGAATTTGAAGAGATCGCCTCGAGAGATATTGGAATCCCTTATTCGGCCTTCGATGTGACAGTCGTCTACAATTTCCTCTAGTTGGTCTGATTTGTTCATGAGAATCATTAATGGTACTGTTGGGGCCTTTTTATGGGACTGAACTCGATCTGAAATGACTTTTATTAGATTTTAGGTAACATTTTATTAAAAAGTAGTATTTTAGGTAACATTATTTAGAAAAATAGTGTTTTAGGTAACATTTTGTAAGAAAAATTAAATTTTAGGGCTATTTTTGACTTTTTCTTCTAAAAATAGTATTTTAGGTAACACTTTTTGAAAAAAAAACAAATTTTAGGTAATATTTTTCCAAAAAGTAGTATTTTAGGTAACATTTTTCTAAAAAAAAAGATCTTTTAGTATTTTTAGGATTAGAAATGACCAAATCTATTAAAAAAACAGTGATTCAGTCCCATAAGATACCTAAAACAATGTCCTTGATACATATTTTAGGCTATGATAACAGTCTAAACCCAAGTTCCATACCAAAATGACCTTATTATCTTCATATGACTATTGTAAACCTAATTATAAACATTTTCTAACCTTATATCTTATTCAATATGTATCCTATTAGCAGCTACTGTATCCTATTTATAGCGTCTACCGTATCCTACTAGTAGCTTTTACCGTATCCCCCTATTGTAACATAAAATATCTTTTACTTCAATACCTTATATATCCTATACGACTGTAATTATACATCTCTTATTGTTATTATCACTATTATTCCACCAGTTTCACGTTATATTACCCTTTTGTCTTTTTCTTTATACCAAAATATTGTTATATCCAGTCGACTCTCGGTCGACTTTGCACCATTTTACGGGATTTTCGAAAACTTTTCGAACAAAAACTATTATATTATAATATTAAATGACAGAAATAAACTCTGAGTCACTTTGAGGTCGCATTTTTTTAAGTTTGCAAGAACTTTGTTTACAGACCATAAAATTGCAAGAACCTTCTTTCCCGAACATAAAATGGCAAAAACTTGCTTTACAAAACAAAAAATGACAAGAACTTTGTCTACAAATCAAAAAATGGCATTCATGGTATAAATTGACACCCGCAAGCTGCAAGGTACAAATTAACGCTTCTTTTGGATAACATAAGCAAGAACTTTCTTCCCAAGGCATAAAATAGCAAGAAATTACTTTACAAACAATGAAACGGCAAGAACTTTCTTTACAAACAATAAAATGGCAACAACTTTCTTTGAAAAACATAAAACGGCAAAAAATTCATAAAGCTATACTTGATAGGTCAATGATAGCATTCTTATTATCATCTGTAACTGCAAAAGCTGACAAGATTTTTGGCTAAAACTTTCAAATAAGATAAATTAAACCTTAATAAACTATATATCATAATTTTGTCTTCAAAAAATGTTGTTCGAAAAAGTTATGGCAATTGAAAGCTTGACTTCATGATATTCACGATGGTCAGAGTAATTTCGGGATAACTATAAAAACTGATAGTCCGATAGAAAGAAATTTTGTACAAACATGGTTGATCATATACTTTTTATAACTTTTTAAACAGTTTTACAAAAGAATGTCAAATTTTATACCTAAATTTTTAAAGTTAGACATCTGGCTTGTAACTTTTTTGTAAATTAACATATTTACGGCATTTTAAAAGTCTTTAACATTTAAAACTAATGCGTTCGTGTCCACGTGTCATTGGTAACAGAAAAAATGGCAACTAATCTCGTATTTTAACCTTAAAACCAATAAAACTATAAAGAATATCTTACCAAATGCTTGTAGACTTTCCTTGATCTTCCCCGTATCTGTTGTTGTCTCTGCTACAAAGATTATAGCATGACAATCATCCAAATACTTTGTCCAAAGATCTTGCAACTCCACGTTACCTCCAACATCCCATAAATTTAAAATAAATCCATCAGTTTCAAACTTGACCACTAAAACAAGGTGAATTGAATTAAAAGATTTAAATTTTGTTGATAAAGAAGTATAATCTAACATACAGTTCAAGCCAATCGTTGATGTCGTCCTCTTTGGCATTTTAAACCTCGAATCACATTGAACACGAAGCTGTTCAGCAAACGTCTACAATTTTACATTATTTTAGGTACCTCAATTGTTCATGAAGATAAATTGACATTTTTTAAACATAAAAAAGTGAGAATAACATTTAGAAGTATCAATAAGCTTGCATTCTAACAACTTTTAAAAAGGGCTGATGATGATAACGTATTTTACAACTCTTTAAAGCTTTATTAATTTCTGTCTTGTCTCCTAAACAAAAAACAACAAAAAAAAACCAAAAAACTTACAGTTTTGCCAACCCCTTCTGCTCCACAAACTAGTACAAAGTACTCTTCTTTCCTCACCATCTCCTGATACATTCCTCGGCCCAAAGAAAACATGTTATACTTGATTTTCCTTCTTCTTTAGCCCATTTAACGTTACCAACAGCACAGATGCGTAAATATCAATAAATGCTAAAATGTATACGTAAAATATTAAAAGTCAATTGTTATAAAACCATCAAATTAATTACATCTTTCCTTGCCACATATTATTTTAGTTTTCTATAAAAATATATTACATGAGCAAGATGGCTGCGTCCTGACACGAAAACAAATGATTGCTAAAACTAGTTGGTTTAGTGATACACTGTTGTTCTTGAAACCGATTGTTTTGTAATAAAGTTATTGTGATATGAAGATGTTTTTTATAGATTGATAAATTTTAAAATGGTTTTTAAATTGACAATACAGTTTTATAAATACATAATCTTTTTTTAAAAATTTATCTGGAAACACCTATCTTTTAATGCCAAAGAACCTTTGGCATTCTGTCAATTCTGGTCGTTTTTTTGGAGCTAAATTGCATGTGACCATCACGTCGGGAATTGGTGTCAAGATCAGTGTTTTTTGGAGTCTTTACCTTGTTTACGGCTTCGAAATTGAAGACGTAGTCGATTAACACGCTGTCTATCGTCCTTTGTTCGAGCTTCGTTGGTGTTACAGCAGAAAACACGTCGATTTCCTGACAAATTTTTAATTTCAGACCGGACTTTGTATTATGAAGAGACAGGTAGCTCTTTTACATATCTGTAGACGACGAGTTTTGGCCTCATCAGTGCGATTTACGTCCACGGGTTCGGATGGAAGCGAGAAACCACCAAAGTCGGGGAACTTGCCCGTGCCCGAAGGCACATTGTCGGCCACAGCTTTTGCCGATTGTACAAATTGTGGTAAACCTTTGAAGGGTGCTCCAACTGTTAATTGTAAGTGTTTTTTATTGATTTTGTTTGGTTTTTAGGTGTTGTGGTCACAAAGAAACTAATTCTTTAAAATAACTAGAAAATAATGTTGATGAAGTTAGTTTGATGTATAATTTGAGTGTTTTAGCGTCTAGTCACTATCTAAGATGTTCGGAATGCCAAAGATTGTATTCTACTGGTCGTAGCAGGTCAGAACAAAAGGGAAACGGGCTCAAGCAACAGGATAACGTCTTGAAAAGACCTCCATACCCACAAGAGGTAGGTTACTATAATTTTTTGATGTTTTTATATAAAATTGTTGTTGAATCATTTTGAAACTTTAAAATATTATAATTAAAACACTTTTTATTATTTTTTAACAATAGTTATCAATTATCTTCTTCTGATAAACTTTTTATAACATAAAGTATGAATATAAATCAATATATTTAAAATAAATCTTATTTTCAGATATTCAACTACTTGGAGCGTTACGTAGTTGGTCAAAAGGAAGCAAAACGAACGCTATCAGTTGGTGTGTATCAACATTACAGGCGATTGTCGAATAACATTGAACGGAAGCTTCAAAAGCAACAGAGCAGCAGTGCAGCACAGCTTAACATTGGGGGTATACATCCAGCAAATCAGTTCAACGGCACGTTTGGCACACCGCACATTAGTTCTATACCTAATCAGTTTCACGATCGTGAGTTTTGCTTTCTATTTTGTGTTGATTTTTAGGTGTATATTGACTTTCGTTATCTTTATGGCCATTTATTTTGGTTTAGGCCTTCGAAAGGTCAAGGAAAATATTTTTTGATCTTTTTATGCTTTCTAGTACGTAAGATAACAATGAATGGTATTTTATAGATTTCACGGTGTCAGAATCACATCCAACACCAAACACAACTCATTTAACTTATCATCCCAGCCGAGGGCCGCCAATTACGTCAAACGAGCCACAGAGCCATATACCTGATCATGAAGCGGCTTTCAAGCGAATGAAGGAAGATGAAGAGATGATTCGGCTGGAGAAGAGTAATATCATGCTCTTGGGACCCAGTGGAGTCGGGAAAACCTTTGTGACACAGGTAAAATACGGATTTCTTTAGTTTTATGAATTTAAGCTGTTCAAATAATTTTGAGCTTTTAAGATTGAAAATTTGTTTTGAGAAGAGGCGCAGAATCTTTTGAACAACCTAATATAATACCTATTTCTAGGTCCTAGCCCGAATCCTCGACGTTCCAATAGCCCTGTGTGATTGTACGTCAATGACTCAAGCTGGCTACGTAGGTGAAGATGTGGAGTCGGTTCTCCAGAAACTGCTCCAAAATGCCAATGGCAATGTGGAACGAGCGCAACAAGGTATCGTATTCTTGGATGAGGTGGATAAGATCGCTGCGACAGGTGATAACGGCTCACATGCGTATCGTGACGTAGCTGGCGAAGGTGTACAACATGCTTTGCTCAAGTTGGTGGAGGGCACGGTGGCTAACGTTAAAAGCGGCAGGAAAGCGCCGGGACAACAGGTATGGTTTTGGAAGTTTAAAATTTTGAATTTTAGGTAATATTTTTGAATTTCAAGGGTTTTTTGAGGGGAAATGAATGTTTGGGTAACAAATTGTGAATTTTGTTAATGATTTTGCGTTTTTTGGTAAAAATTGTACTAAGACAATGTCATTTTAGGTAACAAATTTTAAAATTTGTGAGAAAATAAACTTTTAGGTAACATATTTGGACAATTTTAGGCAAAATGCAATTTTTTAGGTAACAGTTTTACGAAAAAATAATATTTTAGGTAACAATTTTGAAAAAAGTAATAATTTAGGTAACAATTATGAAATTTTTTTCAGGACACGGTACAAATGGATACGACCGATATCCTCTTTGTCTCATCGGGTGCCTTCACTGGCCTCGAAAAGATTGTGGGCCAAAGGCTGGACAAACGTGCCGTGGGCTTCGGTTCCGCTTCCAACTTTCATTCGATCACAACCGACGACAAGGTCCAAGCCGAAATCAACCAAAAACGCGACAAATTGTTGTCGGAAGCGGACCAGGGAGACTTGATCAAGTTTGGAATCGTGCCAGAACTTGTTGGCCGCTTCCCAGTCATCGTGCCGTTCCACTCGTTTAACCGGGAGATGTTGGTGAGGGTGTTGACAGAGCCCAAGAACTCGTTGCTCGCTCAGATGAAGACTCAGTTCGCGATGGATGGGGTAAGAATAAGATTATATTGAGTTAGATATGTATGGTTGGTAGAGTAATTGTAGGTCAAGGTTGGTTTTTTAGAGATGGGTGGTTTTGCCATTTTATATAACATCTACTTCAGGTCCAACTAGAATTCGTACCAGAAGCCCTAGAAGAAATCGCTGCACTAGCCCTGGAACGAAAAACCGGCGCCCGTGCCCTCCGGTCAATAATCGAAAAAGTCCTCCTTCTGGCCAAATTCGAAGTCCCAGGCAGTGACATCGAGAAGGTTACAGTAACTCGCGGCTGTGTGAAAGGCAATGGCTCCTACGTGTACAGTAGACGCACGGAAGAGGACTCATCGAGCGATCTGGACGAGAAACGATCGGCCGTCTGTGCCTAACCCAATATAACAATGTACATGACCCATATAACTACACTGTAATTATTATAGGAAGAATGTAAAGTAATTCGAACCGGTTTTCGAGGGTTGTATTTGAGGGAGTGGGGAAAGTTAGATCTGAATGGGGGTCCACTAGGCTTGACTCCGGCCCGAATCAAACTTGAAAGGGGCCGGACCGGATAATGCGGACCCGGGGGCCGGGTCTAAACCGAAACGCTGGGACCGGCCTCTTTACAAGTCTAATGAATGGTGATTTTTGTGTTTCTTATTGTAGTTTCTAGATGGGTGGTCATCCTCTAAAAATCTTTACAGGATCTGGGGGTGCTTTTAGATTTTGATGTTGAGGGGGGGGTGTTTTCAATATATTTGGTGAAGAGAGAAGGGTGTGAAATTGTATTTTTCAAGGTTTAGAGGGGGTGTTCTAAATTTTTTTAAAAGGAGGGGTGCTAATCAAATTTTTTGGAAGGCAGGGTTTTTTTTTTGCCCGGCGTGGGGGGGGTGGTCGTCTTAAAAGTCCCTATCCCAGTCTTTACTCCCAACCCTACTTCTACTCCCACCTCTACCTGAAGCCCTACCCCCAGGTCAAAAAGTAAATCGAAAAAACAGAATGAACCGTTTGTTCTACTCAAACTGACAAATATATTTCCAAAATTTTAATAAAAAATAAGTTACAAGCTTAAAAACTACAATAATAATAAGAAAATAAATGTAAATTAACTTACGATATGTTGTATCTTTCAAAAGCCGAAATCATATTATTATATATAATAATATTGTGGTTAATATTGAAAGGAACTGGGATCATTTACTAGTAAATGTGTTGATGAAGCAAAAACTTGTGAAAGACAATAATAATATAATACTTTTGATATTGAATATGCTGCTACAATTACCGGAAAACACATCAAACAATACCTAAAAGAATATAAAATTGTATGAGATACTATAATAGAAAAAGCCATAATAAGCTATAAAATATATATAACATAGACTTACTACAATAAGAAGCATCGTAATATATAAATAATCAATGAAAAAGGACCTTAATACCTACTACATATAAGCTATTAGATTGTTCAAATAATTCTGAGCCCGCTTCAAAGCAAATTTTCGGGTTTAGAGGCTCAGAATTATTTGAACAATCTGATATATGTACAAAAATAAAAAATTTTGAAATTTCAAAAAATTTTTTAAAACTAAATTTTTAAATTTAAAAGTCAAAAATAGAGTTATTAATGATAAGATCTGGTCGATTTGGTGTCTCGTCGCTGTTTCATACACATAATGGCCAACACGAACAATAGAGTCGACACCACTGAGCCCATACTCATCGCCAACACCACCAACCCATGCCGACTAATGGCACAGCCATTAGTGGAGTCTACACGCTCCGCTTCTACGCCGAATTCTAAAAATTTAAAGTTTCGCAAAGAGGTTCTTAGGCTTAAAAATGAATTTAGCCCTAGACCTATCACTTCCTTAGGCTTAGCTCTAGCCATAGCTTTAGACCTAACCCTATCATAAGTCCTAGCCTTAGCTCGAGCCCTAGCTTTAGCCTTGGTCCTTGCTTTAGCCCAGCCGACCCCAGCCATGCCTGAGACAGTCCAGCCAAGTCCAGTACAGTCCCGTCCAACCTTAGCTTCAGCCCCAATTCTAGCCTACCATGTAATGTAGCCCCGAGAGGAGGCGTTTCATCCAAATCGTAGATCAATAGTTGGCCAGAGATCATCGGAGCATCGCTGTCTGATGGGAACGGATCGTCCTTCATGCGATGTGAGTCCCAGGATACCTAAAATGGCATTGATATACTGTAGAAGTAGATAAAAGCCAGTAGCGTAGGATAATGATAGGGTAGGGGTAAAGGTAGGGTACGGTAGGGTGGGGAAAGGCACGGCGAAACAGGTTATGGCAAGGTAGTTTACGAAAAGGCATGTCAGGGAAGGTTAGGGTAGGGCAGAGTAGGGTAATACTAGGGAAAAAGGTATGGCAGGGCAGGGCGGGGCAGGGTCGGGTAGGGTTATAATAAGATAAAACCAAAACTTACCTCCATTCGGTCGATTTTCTCCCCAGGCTTTCGTTTCGACCGGCTGCCCGGCGATCGTCGTACTTCGCTCTCATTGTCCTTTAGCTAAAACAATATTTATTAAATTATAGTAAAAGGCTTATATGATGACCTAAGATACGGCTAAAAATCAGTTTTAAACAATGATCATTATAGCCATAGTCCCTTATGTATGTTTATCTTCAAAGAGCCATAGGTTAACTTACTTTACTCATCAGATCATCCATACTGTTCAGTAGAGCTCGCCGATCCATCACAGAATCCTTGAGCATCTTCTGAATCCCCTCTTTGTTGATGTCTTCTGGCAGATTGGCCAAGAGTTCAGTAAGAGTTGGCGGTATGGTCACATCCGAGTCATAGTCAACATAATCTAAAAATGGCATACAAATCAGTACCAGTCGGCTTTTAGTATCAAAAAAATTATTGTTTGTTTTGATAGTACGTATAGCATTTTGATGAAAATAATTTGTAGTACGTATACTATTTTCATACTCTATAGTACATATAGTTGTATTGCGATACTCTGTTGTACCTATAGTACCGTAATAGTCTATAGTATTTATAATAGAGTACAAAATTTAATATTTTGTTTTACAGTACGTGTAGTACTGTACAAAACGTGAATGGGTGATAGTTAAAGAAGCTAACAAAATTTAAAAAAACGGTAAAATTAAAAATTAAAAAATTGGGTAGAGCCCGCCCAGCAGAACACAAAAAAAAATTACCAAAAATAGTATTATAATATAGAATACTGTAATGTTACCAAAACTAAAATTTCAAATAATCTTCGTACTGGAACATAAATCATTGTAAAAAACTAAAAATTACTAGTACTACTTCGGATAATTTATAGTACTATTAAGTACTAAAAGCGGTCCTAACCTTTTATAGCATTTATAGTACCAGTACAAACTAAAAACAGCTCCAAAACTAAATTAAAAGTTTATGGTACTAGTGAGTACTAAAAACAACACTAGTACTTATTCTAAGATCTTATAGTACCAGTATGTACTACAAACAAAAAATGTATCAACAGATAAAAAACTACAGCAATAGTACTATTATATCTCGAAGATATTTTAGCACTATGTACTAGTTAAAAGTACTAGACCAAAAACATTTTAGTAGTACTAGCTCGAAGATATTTTAGCACTATGTACTAGTTAAAAGTATTAACTCAAAGACATTATAGTACTAAGTACTAACTTGATGATATCATAGTATTAAGTACTAGTCTGAAGTACTAGCTCACAGATATTACGTTACTTAGTACTAGGTCAAAGTATTAGCTCAAAGGTATCAATTTAGTACTAGATCGAAGACATTAAGGTACTAAATACTAGATGAAAGTATTAGCTCAAAGATATTATAGTACTACGTACTAGTGAAAAGATATCAATGTAGCACTAGTTCAAAAATGTCATAGTACTATTAAGATACTGAAACAAAACAAAACGTGTTAATGGTGCCCAAAAACCAACCTAAGAACCGTCCGAAAAAGCCACCTTTTTTCGACTGTGCACTAGACAATCGTACTGAGCCTTGTGCCGTCGTGGGATGATCGAACTGTTTCGTATCTTCTGGATGTAGATCGTCGTTCGTTTCGAAGTCGGTATGAGACGACTCTTTTCGACCGACCGGCTTCTCAAACGCGTCTTTGTCGGGTGAGAAGCCTGGTCCAAACACGGTCGGAGCATTATCATTGTTATCAGCTAGAATCGGCGAGGAAGGAGGTAGAGCACCGTAAGGTATACCTTGATTCTCGGGGGTGTTGGGGAGAGACGGCACTGGCGCTGGATCTGGGAGGGTGCCTCTGGATCGTTCACTGAAAATTGAAAGATAAATGCTGTAGTCTAGCCCTAAATTTAGCATTAGCCTTAGCTTTAGCCCTAGCCCTAGTCCTAGTCCTAGCCCTAGCCCTAGCCCTAGCCCTAGCCCTAGCCCTAGCCCTAGCCCTAGCCCTAGCCCTAGCCCTAGCTATAGCCCTAGCCTTAGTCCTAGTTCTAATCCTAGTCCTAATCGTAGCCCAAATCCCTATCCCAGAGCGATTAACGCCTTATCTATAGTCCTAGTCCTAGCCGTTGACGAAGCCCCGGCTCTAGTCCTGGCTCAACCCCTAGCCTAGTCCTAGCTTAAGAGAAGATTAGTTTAGGCTTGGACTCATAGATCGGGCCCAAGCCAAGACGCTAGCCTTAACTCTGGCCTCGTTCATCGCCCTAGTCAGCTTTTAAAACTATCCTGATCCCATTATACTTATAGCAAACCCCTGCCATTGCCATACAGCTCCATACCACAATTCTTCTACCTACCCTCTCATAGAAAGCCTTTCATATAGCAGATACAACCCATCGTCAAACCCTGTAAAACCTACTCAAACTGTTTGTTTTTTCGACTGGTCGGTCGCTTCGTAGTTGTTTTGCCCTTCCTCGGCCGCTTCGTCGATGGGCTTCTTTGTCTTGTAGTAGGTGGAGGAGTAGTCTCATCATACTCTTCTTCGATCTCCTCTTCTGTCGTGTTTGTCTCCTCTTCTTCTTCATTATCATCATCTTCACTATCACTGTCTTCATGACTTCCGGGTAGGGCGCGCACATTACTCTCTCGCGTTGAACAGGGAGGTGGCTGAAATACAGTATACTTGAATTCAAATTGAAACCCTACCCTACCCTACCCTATCCTACCCATGCCCTATCCACGCCGTACTCCTGGCCTACCAATTCTCTACCCATGCTCAACTGCAGTCAATCTTACTCCTTCTAAAAAATACAGTAACCTACCGTCTTCTCATCGCACAGCCCATCCTTCTTCATGCACATGCTGATCTGACAGAAGAACCACAGCCCTGGTTTGTCCGCGTACTTAAAGACCTGCGACTCGGCGTAGGCTCGTTGAAGGTCGGCCGAGTACCGTATACCCGTAATCAGAAGCGGATCCACCGGACAGCCTCGAGAGTCAATCACTTCTGATTTTTGGTTCAGGCCGTCTGTCACATAACAATTGTGAATCAATATAGCATACATTGCTGAAAGAATGGCATTTTTTATGTTTTAGGCTTACAATTATAAAAAATTTTTAAGATTAGGCTTAAAAATATGTCATTGTTTTAATTTTTAAGCTTAAAACTATCACAATGTTTAAGATTTAGGCTTAAAATAATAACTTTTTGTTATGTTTTAGGCTTAAATTTATGACACTTTTTAATTCTAGGCTTGCAATTACATTGTTTAAAATATAGGCTTATCCCTTGCTATTTTTTAAGTTTTAGGCTTGTCACTGTGCAATTTTTTTTAAATTTTAGGCTTGAAATAACGACATTGTTTAGTTTTAGGCCTAAAATTATGACACTTTCATGTTTTAGGCTTATAATGATAAAATCTTTTAAAATTTAGGCTTAACCTAACGTCCTTTTTTGTTTTAAAAGTAAAATTGTGCCATTTTTGGTTTTAGGCTTATCATTTTGTTATTTTTTAAATATTAGGCTTACAGTTATGCCAATTTTTATTGCTTTAGACTTACAATTATAAAAAATTTTTAAGATTAGGCTTAAAACTATGCCATTTTTTAAGTCGTAGGCTTATCACTATGCCATTTTTAAAACTTTAAGCTTAAAAATATGAAATTTTTTAAATTTTAGGCTTACAAATAAAATCCAAAATTTGTAAAATACGACACAGCAAATTAAACTTACAATCATCACAATGCCATTGATGTAGCACTTTGTCTCCAACCTTGGCAAATTGAATTGGAGCTCCTGGAGGCTTACCATCGTCCAGGTCTTCGATCGATGACCTATGGATACTGTAACTACAGCCTGGAATGCCATGTCGAGCGTCCAGTTCGGTTGTGGCTATCATACTGAAAATGACGTTTTAGAATGAATTTTATCGACTCGCTAGCCTAGCCCTAGTCTTAGCCTTAGCATTACTTTCAGCCCTAGTCTTAGCTCTACTCTTAGCCTAAAATCTAGTGCATGCCCTAGCCTGAGCTTTATCCTTGGCCCTGGTCCAAGCCCTACAACTAGCCCATGCTCTTGCCATGGTCTATGCCCTACTCCTAGCCCTAGATCAAGTTCATGCCCTAGCCCTAGTTTAGTACTACTATAATATCAAAAAACTGTAATACAGTACAACGTGTTACAGTATAAAATGTTACAGTAAACTCACCTGACTCCCAATTCGGCTGTCAGTCCTTTGTTGACTTCTTCGAAGAAACACTTGACATGAAAGGCTTGATCAACTTTCGTAATGAACAATGGATGAAATGATACTACCAAGGTTATACCATAGTACATACCTCGTGGGTCCATCTGAAATAAAAACTTTTAAAAAACTTATCCATCCCTGATCTTAAACACCTTTCCAACTCTCGTCCAACGCAAGCTTTGCCCTACTCCTGCTTATTACTCTGCCCATTCCCTATTTCTGCTCCACCCTTTCCCAGCTCTTACTTAAACTATGCCTTATCCTTGTACTACCTACACTCTGTTTATGCCTTGTTTTTGCCCTAATCTTGTTTTACTTATAACACACTCTTGTCGCTTCTATGTTCTACCGATACCTTACGCATGACCTGCCCTTGCCCAAAATTTAGCCAACATTTACCCTATTCTCACCCTATCTATGCCCTACCCATGCTATCTATACATATGCTCTACTCTTTCCCTACACACAATTTACTCATGCCCTACTCGTGTCCCACCTAACCCAAGTTTTAGACCCTACCCTTGCATAAAAATTAGTCAATCAATGCCCTACCTATGTTCTATCCATACCTTATTCTTGCTATTTCGTTCCTCTACCCTTGCCCTACCTATGGTTTACTCATACCCTACTCTTGCCATTTCGTTGCTCTACTAATTATGGATAACATGCCGAGTCTACCATCGGGCCTTAGCAAAATTTAAGTCGAGCCGGCCCTGGAAATCACAAAAAAGCCCGACGCAATCCGAAAAGCACGGGCCGTTTCCACGTAAAAAAATTAGGACCGGACCTAACATTCAGCGGCCTGAAAAGTGGGCCCAGCCCGACCCGTTCCCCATGTCTACACTACCCTTGCCCTACCTATGCTTTCCTCACCCCTACTTTTTTCTCTCTCTACTTCTGTCCTACCTTAAACCTACTTATACACCCTTAGTACCACCCTCCAAAACCACCCCCTTCAAACTTACACTCCTCAAGCTCTTCATGCCACACTTGCCCAGAGGCAAGTCAAATTTGGGTTTCTTGCTTTTGTGTTTGCTAAAGTCATTCTTGATGCACTCTTCATCATCGACCTTCCCCATAGCATAGATCCGACCAGCAAATGGCTTCCTAGTCTTGATCCAAACCCTGATTTGGGAATCTAGACATTCGATGTCAGGCTCGCCGATGAGGTCATTGTCGATGGATACGGCTGATATTAAGGTAGGCAAGATGAGAAGGAGGGTGGTCTGAAATACGGTTTTTAAAAAAATTGTCAATTTTTAATTTTAGGTTAAATAAGTTAAAAATTCAATTTAAGCCTAGCCTTAAGCAAAAAGTTTAAAAACGATCTACCTTACCCTATCCTACCCTACCCTACTGTACTTTACAACTTACCAGTTCGAATATCCTTCGCCGAAACCGCATCATATGTTAGTAGGTAGAACTGTGTGTTTGGCCTTCTTTTTCGATGACTATTGATATAAAAAGAATAAAAATAGATTTTTGTCAATTAAGTTCTGTCAGCACTTTGATCCCTTCAATCGTTACACATTCAAAAAATCACCCTGAAATTGAAAAAATTTAAAAAAAAATTAAAAAAGTTTTTTTAAAATTGTCAATATAATACGTTACAAACATAAAAATATGACTTTAATAAAATTTCAAATACAAAAGAATGTATTAGATTTATAACGCTGCGACAAATCTCGTTGCCTATGATAACATGTAAATAAGTATAAAAAATTTTTTATTTTTGTATACTTTATAAAGAAACATATTCTAAAAGGTAGGTTAAGGTAGGATACGGTAGAGTAGGCTCAAAAAGAAAAGACCCACACAGTGTAAGCTAGAGTAGAGTAAAGCCTAAAATAGATTCTAGCCACACGTAAAAATGGTTTTTATTAGAATGAACCAAAAGTAGCGGGACATTTTTTAGTTGAGCCATATATAAAAAAGTGTCCCGCTACTTCTGGTAACCTAACAACTTGTTGATTATTTTATAAAGAACCTTTCTTTACAGTAAGCATTAAATCCAATCCCTACCACGGGAAATATCAAGTCTTGCAAAAACATTCATCAATTAAAAAAGTTACAGAGAAACTCCAGTATAACAAAACCTCTTCGTAACTAACAAATTTGGTATCCCCAAGCCATTTCTTATAAAGAAGTTCCCTTGTAACAGTTAAGTATTGTACTAAAACGTGAAGAAATTAATAATATAAAGCAAGAGCCTTACAATCCCTGCCAATATATATAACTACGACCAATTATCTCATTGTAGCAACATATATTTAACTAAAACTTTAAGCACACCTATCATAGCATCACCCATACCTATCAGCCTAGAATCAAACCATCACTTATACCTATTAGCTTATAATCATAGCCAACCAAACACGTATCCCATTCGTTCAGCCGACGAATCCACGTAATGTTTGGTTTGAAGTCAACAAAAGTAAAAGTATAACGGTGTAATTACGGTAGCGCCGCAACGACCAGTCCGCTTCAAGTAGCGACAAAAAAGTCGCAAGAGAAACGTACGGTCGAAGAGATACGATAGCATGATTTATGACTTTTTTCAAAAAAAAAGAGATTTTAAATACAACTCAAAAAAAATTATTGCTAAAGCGAAGGCTGAGGCTATGCTAAAACTGAGACAAAGACAAACGCTAAAGTAAAGCCTAAGGCTAGAACTAAGTTTAAGGCTAAAGCCAAACCTAGATCTGTAGCTAAGGTTCAGACTAAAGTAAAAACAAAGACTAAGACTAAAGCTAAGGCTAAAGCTAAATCAAAAACTAAAGTTAAGGCTAAGGCTAAAACTAAAGCTAAGACTAAAGCTAAGGCTACGGCCAATAGTAAGATAATATGTAAAGCAAATTTACTACAGTAACTCTTGCGACATCATTGATAAGACTCTCAACCGTGCTTTCAAAATAAACCTTCTTTAACAGAAAAACAGCTAGTCCACACCATATCCCAACTCTACTAGTACTCTAGCCTACTCTACAAGCTAAGACAGCCCACAGTCTAACCTAACCACATCCCATCATACAATATAGCTTAGTCTACCCTACGGCTAAGCCAATCAACATCCTAGCCCTTTCTATACCCGTGTTGCCTCACAAGCTAGTCCAATTCAAAAACCAAGCTTTTACCATACTCTAGCATACCCACATTTAGCCCTTTCCATGCCCGAACCCACACAACCACCAGACCACTCAGTTAACAACCCCTTTCCATAGCCCAGTATATCACGCCCCAAGCCCAGCTGACGCCCTAGCCCTTTCCATACCCAGCCAAACCCACTCCTATCCCTTTTCATACCCCAGCCTATCCCACCCCTAGTCTAGCCAACTCCTTAGCACTTTCCAAACCCGAGCCTACCTCACCCCTAGCTCTTTCCATACCCAAGCTTGCCCCACAAACTAGTCCTTTCCATACCCCACCTTACCCAACCCCTAGCCCAGCCATCACCCTAGCCTTAGCCCGACCTCTTAAGCAGTAGCTAAAAAAGTCAAGTACGAAACGAAAAAAAAGTTTCGGCGTCGAATCCGCTTCGAAACGTATCGTTTTTCGCGCGAAGCCGGTAACGGTACCTGAGGGCATTGAATTGTTGAAGCCGCTGAAACCGGTCCGCCTTTAATAACCTCTTTACCCATTCATAAGGGGGGGGCTGTTTCAGAAGGTGCGCGGAAAGTGACAATTAACCAACGAATTTCATAAGTTCAGCTTGCCGAAATTGCAAAAATCCGAGGCGCGGCAGCAGCGACAAGTCAATTAAATTTGGAATTGTGAAACAATTCAAAATCACTTTCTCTACGGTGAGTCAACGGTCAAGTGGGCTACATCCTTCTAGCTTGAATACCATCAAAATTAATAACGCCTTTTAAGTTTTAAAAAAGAAACAAAACTAACTTATCCTACCTACCCAGTCTTCCTTTTAGCTAGAAATGATGAACAAAGGGCAGAACCTAACATTCAGGACTGAGGACAAGCCCGATCTAAATTTTGCTTAGGATCGGCCCGGATCTTTTTTAATTTGCAAACGGTCCGGGCTTTTCGGGCTGAGCCTGAAAATCAAAAAAGATTTGAGTAAAGGCCGGCCAGTTCTAATGGTAGGTCCGGCACAAGCCGGTTCCTCATGTCTAGTTTTAGCTCAAGTCTTACCGGTAGCTTTAGCGCTAGTCTTAGCCCTAGATCTAGCTATAGCTTTAGTCTAGCCCTAGCCCTAACCCTAGCCCTATACTTGACCTTGTCCTTAGCTCTAGTCCTAGTCTTAGACCTAACATTATCCTTGTCTGAACCTTATATTAGTCTACCCTACCGTACTGTTGCCCTACCCTTGTCCTACTCTTCCTCTACGTTTGCTCCATCTAACTACATTTACCATACCCTATAAAACCTTACCCCGAAAAACATACATAAAAACTATAAAAAACGCAAGCTGTAGTACTAAAACTATTCCTTTTTCCACCCAAAAAATACCTCTTACCTACCCCATCTAATACCTCGTACCCTCCCCACAAAAATAAAATGAAATATTAACTTTGTCCGCCTCTTAAAGTTTGACAAAAAGTCAAAACTAACATTAATAAGAGCAGAAATCAGCGTCAAATTATAAAGACGTAGGGTAAGAAGATAGGGCTAAAGCTAGATGGAATAGATGAAAAATTATAACTAAATTGGAGATTTTTTTTGTAAAATACGTCATCCCTAATTCTTATTCTTTTTTTCAATACAAAAACACGCAGCATGCTTACAAAAAGGCATTACGAAAGAAACAAAACACGAATCGTCTCGAAGTAGACTAATTTTCGAGAGAACACATAAAAAGTAGGTTACTTGCTTCGAATGAACTAAGTCTATGCTATGACATCGAAATCCATGTTTTAGGTTTCACAAATTCATATTTCTTAAGTTTTTGTCAACAAGAGTTGTGCACGCTGTACTAATCGTAAATTACGGCAAGATGAGAGGTCACCCTACTTTTTGGCTCGGTAAGTTTAAAGCTAGGACTAGAGCAAGGGTACGCCAAAAAAGGTAAACCCAAAGAAAAATTTAAAGCCAATCCTAAAAGCAATGGGCCAATACTAAAAATGCACCCTAAAAGGTAGTACAAATGGCTATAAAAAAGTAAAAAATTTCTTTACGAATTCGACCCCTCCCCCAATCTACCATACCCCTATACCTACCTGTGCCGATTTTTTGGACCCCTGCCCCCAGACCAAAAGTCTCCGCCCGGCCCTGCCTGTAACTATCTCTACCCATACCTCTACACCTACAAGAAAGTCAGTAAAAGCACTTGTAGCCCATAATAATTATATAGCACCATATGTACTACATTTCACAAAAAACCGTTTTTTTATTTCAATTTTTTAGAAATGAAAAAAAAATTGAAAGAACTGAACTTGGTCCCCCTGTTAATTTTTATTCAAAAAAAATTAAAAACAGGTTCATAAAGGCATCAAAAGCAATAAACACTTATACCAAGTGTACCTTAGTTTAAGAAACACGTACTTTAATTTTTTTTTAATATAAAACTTTACAGGGTGCAATGAAGACTTAACTTTTATGATTGTACAATAAAAAAACACAAAGAATGAGTTAAAGTAAAAATTTTAAATAATTTAACCGTAACATAGAGAAAACTACCGGTAAAGTTTTGTAACAGAACTTTTGGCGCACTTTGTACAGTTCGTATTATTTCGTTTCAAGCCAATGCCATTATTCTTGCCAATGCCATTAATAATATAAGAATTTATGTTTCAAATCATGCAACAAATAGAATAAAATACGAAAGAATAAGCAGTACCAGAGGAGATGCACTAAAATGCTAAAAATAATTTGAAAAAAAAACCGTTTGGCAATTAAGTTATTGAAGAGTTACAGTAAGGCAATTCGAATGTTTGTACTTTTAAATTGAGAAAAGCGACTTGATAATCCATAAAAAATGACATAAAGAGAATGAAGGTCTGAATAGTGGTACAATAGTGTTGAAAGTGGTACAATATAGTTTGAAAAGTGGTTCAATATGATTTTAAAAGTGGTACAAGAAAACAGTATTCTAGTGGTACAATATAGTACTATTTTTTAGGAAAATATAATAGTATGTCTACTACAACATAAAATGATAGTAATATAGAAAAATACAAAAAACTGAGCTTCAAACTAACTTAATATTGTCATTTTGACATTATACTAATTAATTTATGTTAAAGTACTCAAAGATAAGGCATTACAACCAGACTTAAGCCAAAAAACCATTAATAAAGCAAGGATATCTTTAATTTTATGAAAAAAACCAGTGAAAAAAATAAATAAAATTGTAAAAAAATTTACAAAACGATATAATAAACGATGAAGAAAGTGCAAAACAACATAGAAAATGGTACAGAGAGTACTAAACAACATAGAAAAGGGTACAAAGAGTATCAAAAAACATAGAAAAGGTTACAAAGAACTCTAAACAACATAGAAAAGGATATAAAGAGTTCTAAACAACATAGAAAACAATGGAAAAAACAAAGAATAGTAAAGAAAGAATCAAAAACATGTAAAGAAGAATCAAGAAAGGTAAAAACACCAAGAATAAGTACAAAAGGTATTGAAGAATAAAGAAAAAATAGACAAAATGCAAAAAAACAATATAGAAAACGCTAAAAAAGCAATAATAAGACCTCACCAAGAGTAAGAACTAGCCAAAAAGTCACAGAAAACGCTAAAAATAAGTAAAACTTTACTTATATCGCTATAATAGAGGAGAGGGTAAATTGGGGTGGATACCTCCGACAAAAAATCTGTAGAGACGTCCCTGTTATGAAGCCTGATTTTGAATTTCAAAAAAAAGTACAAATTAACCCAAGAAAGCTTAAAAACAAAGCTCATATCATAAAAACACCAACATTCTTAAAATTTCAAAAAATTTTTAAAAATAAAAAAACCTAATTTCGAAAAATTTAAGTTATTGACTCAAAAACATTTCAAAAAGAGCGTCAAAGCCATCAAAATCATCTTAAACTTTTAAAAAATTAAGAAGTTCCATCAAAAACAGTACAAAATCCTTGAGAATAAGACTGAAAAGCACATAAACAAGATCAAAATTCCTAGAAACAAAGAGCAAAAACCTCAAGAACAAGACCAAAAACCCCAAAAACAAAGATAAAATCCCTAGAAACGAAAGCAAAATACCTAAAACAAAAAGCAAAAACCTCATAAACAAGAGCAAGAACCCTAAAAACAAGACCAAAACCCCTAAGAACAAAAGCAAAATCCAAAAAACCCTAATTACAAGCGTAAAAAGAGCAAATATGAACCATAAGCAGTAGTACAAAAACACACCTGAAAAGCGAAAGTGGATTTCGAAAAAAGTCGCCTCAGGTCGAGTACTTAAATTACTTTATAATTTTGGAAAGTGAAATTATTGGGGTCAGCGGCGACTTTTAATGATTCCTTTCGTTGCGCTGCGGCCTCTTCTCGCGTAGTGCTCTCTCGTCGTTGGCTGACTTCTTCGCGGGACGTTGATCGTGCTTCTGGCGTTGATCGTGCCGATGGAAGCCGTCCTTCGCGCGTTTCAGTTCGTGCCAATTCTCACGCCAAATGTAATGTTCTTCCGAGTCCGGACTGTCGGCATCGTGACGCCGGTTTCGGCCGTTCTCACCGTGATTCGATCGGTCGTAGCTTTGACGATTGTCATTGCCTGGTTGAATACCATAGCCTTGACGCTGGTCATTCCATGGCCGATTGTCATAACCTTGTCGATTATCATGATTCGGCCGACTGTCATAGCCCGGTCGATCCATGAAACGTCGTCGATTCGAATCTTTCCTCTCGTCCTGACTTCTCTGAGGCGCGTCATTTGGCATGGGTCGCTTTTCCGAGTTCCGCCACGACTTATGTGAAGCTCTCATTACAGCCGTGGGAACGTCGTAACTTGTCGTTGCTGAATCCGTGTTGTTTCGTTGCATGAAGAGAGCTCTTGAACGCTGAAAATAAATATATTCTTCCTTAAATCCATTAAAATTCGATCAAAAAGGCTAGAAATACTAAAAAATAAGCAAAAAATTGAAAAACTAATACCTTCGCCAGAAAAATTAATTTTGACATTTCGTCACAGAACTATAAATATAACTAAAAATCCTAAATTACACTTCAAAATCATAAACTTTATCTTATAACGGCATTCTTAAAGTCAAAAATTTAATCCTAACCAAATTCTTAGCCATTAGATAAAAAAGCAATAGTGACATTTCGTCAAAAATTTTTTTTCAATTTTTAAGCAAGTAACTTAGAATGCTCCTTTTCATCTTATTAATCTACCTTTAAGCCTTCGTCTTTAATATAAAAAACAAAAAAATCAATAATATCAAAAAAATCGATATTGACACTTTGCTATATGCTCAAAAACTAAAAATTCTCCATCTATCTTCCAACCTTCCTTAGTTGTTTTAATAACCTTCTTTTCTTATCCTTAATCCCTTGCTATCATTCCCTTCACCTACCTCATCTTCCTCTTGTTTATCCTTATTTCCTTCCTTGACCTTTTCCTTTGCTTCTACTTCTTTTGCCACTCCATTCTTTTCTTTTTCCTTTGCTTTTTGTTTTTCTTGTTGTCTTTGTAGGCTTTTCGGTGGTCTGTAGAGGCGTTTCTCCTCCAGCTTCCTCATTTCTTCTTTGTTCCGCGACCTGGCCTGAGCTTTGTTAAGCTGGGCCAATATCAAGTCGGATGGGTTTGATGGTACTTTTGTTGGTAATCTTTCCGAATCCTTGTTGTTTGGAGATGGATCCGCTGGAATTGGGTCTTCTGGTTTGGTTTCCACCGTTAGGCCAAGGTTTTCCGGCTTGGTTTGGCTAGATCGGGGTTGATCTTGATAGCTTAGGCAAGACTGATCTTGATCTTTCAGTGGGTTGGACTGATCTTGGCCCTTGTAAAGCCTGGACTGATCTTGGCTTTTATGAAGTCTAGACAGATCTTGGTCCTTGGGAAACCTGACCTGATTTTGTTGATCCCTCCACAGTCTCGACTGATCCTGCAGAGGCCCGGTGTGCTGATGAAGATGCCTCGAATCTCCGTGATCTATGCCATGATTGTAGTCTGATCGTGATCCGGCTGATTTTCCGTTAAAGCTTGATCTGGATTGATCTAGCCTTGACATCTGGCCTTCTTTTGGCCTCGAGTTTGAAGCCTGATCTTGTAGTAGTTTCGAGCTAGCTGCTTGATCCTGTGCGACCCTCGAACTGGCTTTGTACTGGTCTTGAGCTTGCTTAAAGTGGTACTCCAGTCTGTTCTCCTGTCTTGAGTAGTAGTCATCTTGCTTTCTGTCGTTATCAAATCTACTTTCTTGCCTTCTATCGCTTTCTGATCTACTTTCTTGCCTTCGTTCCTGATCCAGCCTACTCTCTTGTCTATTCTGATAGTCCATTCTGTTCTTTTCCATGTTATTATAGCTACTTTCAGACCGATTTTGGTAGTCTAATCTCACATCTTGACTAGCTTTCGCTTTTCCCAAGCTGTTTTGGCCATTCTGATACGGTTTTGGGTCTCTTTTATCCGGCTGGACTAGCCTTTCATTCTTTTCAAACTGACTTGCTCTGACATCATTCTTCTCAAACTGGCCTAATCTTGAGTCCTTTCTTTCTAGCTGGACAGAACCGTTTTCATTCCTTCTGTCATTCTGATATCTATCACCTTGATACCTCTCATTCTGACTTCCTCTAGCTTCATTCCTATCGAAGTGTCCTGGCCTGGCCTCATTCCTATCAAAGTGTCCTGGTCTTGAATCCCTCCTGTCTAGCGGAATTCGATTCGAATTTCTTTCGATGTGGACTGGTTTAGAATCGCGTCGTTCTAGTTGGACTGGCTTCGTTTGAGGACGGTCCATTTGGAATGTCTTTGGGGATGATCGGTCTGAAGGTCGATGGAATTGGATTGACTTTGGGTAGGTTTTTCTTCTGGAGACACTAAAAATAAAAAATTTTAAAAAATTTCAGATTTTTAAAAAATTCAAATAATTTCAAAATTTCAAAAAATTTTTTTTCATTCAAATTGGACAAAATTCAAACTTTTCGAAAAATACCACCTAAATTTCAAAATATTCAAATTTCCATTCCAAAAATAAAAAAATTTAAAAATTTTTTTCAATTTCATACCTAAAATTTTAAAAACTTCATTTTTCAACCCTTAAAAATTCAAAAACCCCCCCAAATTCCACCCAACCCTTACCCTCAGGCTTCTTCCTCTCCATTCTATTCACCGGTGATATCTTTTTGTACCATTTCTGGGTGTAAATGTCGTCTACCGTGTTGAAGGCCGCCTTCTTGTGGTCCATTTCCAGAACGTCGGCCACGGTTCTCAGAATCTCCAGTTGGCTAATTGATAAGGGTCTTGTTGGGTTCTTGAGTACATTCAAGAAGTAGTTCATGAATCTGAACCTCAGCCTTAGGGTGAGTTGAAGGTCAGTGAAGTGGCCTTTGAAGCCGAGCCAGTTCTCCAGTTCGACGTAGTATTCTCGTTCGAACTTGGATGGGCTTGGTGGTGAACCAAAGGATGGAGTGAAGGGGTCGTATTCTTCTTCCTGTTCCATTTTCTTTTCTTTCTTGAGTTCTTTTTCTTCTTCTTTAGCCTGTTTATTGCCTTCTTTGGCTACTTTTCCTTCTTCATTACCTTCTTTTTCTTCTTCATTGCCTTCTCCTTCTTCTTTATCTTCTTCCTCTCCTGAGACCGTGTTATCCTCAACTTTCTCATCTTCTTCAAACTCATGTTCAGCTAGTTCAAAGTCATCAATGATGACTTTACTCATCTTGACTGGTCCAGCAAATATGGCCACGGTCATAGGAGGAACGGCGGTCACCGTTCTTAGCGTGAGTCCCTCGTCAATCCTTGACAATTCCTGATAAACTAGGTATTCAATCTCTGGTTCGACCTGTCGTTTTTGTTGTTGTACTTGACGTTTCAACGACGACGATGGATGAAGAGTGGCCATGTTACTGGTGTTGGTCCTGATTTTGCGTAGCTTTGATCCTGACCTCACAAATGCCACTCCTGGGTAACATCCGGCCACGATTGCGCCCTGGACCATTGGCCATGAGTTGGAATAGAGGTTGAGGTCGGGGTCTTCTGATGAGGCGGCATCTTGTGGTACCAGGTGGAGGCGCCGCATCTCCAGGAAGAGTTGTTTCCGGATTCCGACGATCATCTTCATGGCTGTGAATGACATAAAGTTCTGACGACAGGTTTGGATCGACCGGCTTGTGTTTGGTTGTTGACAATAGAGGTTTAGAGCACGAAGGAGCATCAGATGGTCGGACATGTCGGTTTGGCAAAACTTGTCTCTAGCTGATAGGGCGTCGCCACGGTCTTCCCCAAGGGGTAGAACAACTAAAATTAAATTTAAAAAAAAATTTTAAATATATAAGTGATATAATAGCTATCAATAATGCTCAAAAAAAGCCTAAAAGTACCTCAAAAGCTTAAAAAGTACCACAAAATCCGTACAAAGTACCCCAAAATCCCTAAAAAGTACCCCAACAACCCTAAAAAGTACCTCAACAACCCTAAAAAGTACCCCAACAACCCTAAAAAGTACCTCACCAACCCCAAAAATTACCTTAACAAGCCTAAACAGTACTTCAACAACCATGAAAAAGACCCCAAATCCCTCTAAAACCCAACTTACATGGATCCCTATGACTCAACGCAGCCACCAATCCTAACACTGGATGCACACACTTTAATGCCACTCCAAACAACAATAGTCTAGCCAGTTGTGGATCTAACGGTAGATGAGCGACCAGTCGTCCCAATTCAGTCAATACTGGTTCTGGATCTTTCTGCTTTTGTTGATTGTACTTGCTGGCTGCCAGCCGGTCGGCAATGGAGACTGCCCCCAGCTGCTCCAGAAACTCTAAGCTGCGGTCGATTGCGCCTGGTACGGGTGGTTCTGGAGCCAATTCCAGGAACTTTCGGACCGGCATCTTATCCGGGGCAAACATTTTGGCGTGTAGACATACATCGTGGATGGCTACACGCTTCATTTCGGCGACTTGAGTCGGTGACATCATTTCAAAGTCGCGTTTGCTGTAGAGGCGGAAGCAGTAGCCGTTGCGGCATCGTCCGGCACGGCCGGAACGTTGGTCCGCGTTCGAACGGGCGATCCATGAGACTTTGAGCTGGGAGATACGACTTACGTGGTCGTAGGTTTTCTCTTTTACCTTGCCACAGTCAATCACAAATACGACGTCGTCGATGGTTAAGGAGGCTTCGGCTATGTTCGTACTCAGGATCTAAAAGTCGATTGTTAGTATCAATTACAAAAAATTTTTTACCACTCCCATCCCTCAAAAAAATTTTTTACCACGCCCTTCTAAAATACCATACAAAACCTCCGAGTCATAAAAGTAAGCAAAATCACAAATCACCCCCCTCCACGCAAAAAACAAAATTTACCCCTCCTTCGAAAAAAATTACCCCACACTCCAAAAACCTACCACTTTCTTCTGCCCATGCCTGACCGGATCAAAGACCTTCTGTTGGTCTTGGCTGTTCATTTGACTGTGCAATGTGAAGATGACTGGCTCGAACACGGTGTTGGCGAACTCCTTCACCTTGTCCCTCAATGTTAATATGTCATCGTAGCCTGGTAGAAACACTAGTATTGCGCCGTCTAACGGGCTTCCCAGACAGAACCTGATCACTTCGGCTGTTAGGTCCGGGTCCACCGCATCCGTCCACTGTGCTCCACCATTGTTTAAGTACGACTCGATCAGTTGTTCCTTGTTGCTCACGTTGGCACGGCTCGTGTCGTTCGGGTCAAAGAAGGTCTTCAACTGTGCCGTGCCGTGATGTTGCACGCTGTCAAAGCCATTTTTAGTTGGAACAGTCGGATAGGCTGCTGAATCGTGATACGTCGTACCGTGATGGTCTTGGTACGTACCGTAATCGCCGTTCCAGCCGTTATTGTAGGTATACCCGTTACCGTGACCATACCCATTGTAGTTGTTGGCTTGATTAGTCAAGAAGAACGTAGAATCGTAGTAGCCGTGGTGACCAGTGGTGTTGTGGTATGCTTGAAGATTTGATGGAACGGTGGTGGAACGATGGAGGTGGTCGTTGTAATCGTTAAAACTGCCAAATCCCGAGGTTTGTGGCTTTTGATAGTCGAATTCTGATATCGAAAACGTGTTACCAAAGGTGTTGTCACCAAAGCCGGTGCCGAATATTGACTGAGGTTGGTAGCCGGTAAGAGCCAGAATGTCACCGAGGAAGAACTTTTGGACGGAATGAAGTCGAGATGGGACTGAAAATGCAAAATGTAGATAGCAAATAAAGAAAACGTTTTAAGTAACAAAAATGAATAAAAATTATGGTTTCGGTAACAAAAAGTTAAAAACTCATCGTTTATCAAAATTCAAATTATGATTAACAACACCATTTTAGGTAACAAATATGTCCAAAAACACTATTTTAGGTAACAAAAAATCCTCAAAAACATTATTTTAAGCAACAAAAATCCTCAAAAACAGTTATTAGGTAACAAAAACCTCAAAAACCACAAATTTAGGAAACAAACCACTCAAAAATCATTTAAAAACCTTACTGTCAATGAAGCTCAATGTGAAATTGTGAAAGTAATTCGAAAACGTTTCTCGATTCCCCTCCATCGTGGCTGACATCAGAATCACTTTCAGATCGTTGCGTTTCTTCAGTGCTTGTCTAAGTACGATGAGAAGATAGTCAGTGTTCTGTTCTCTTTCGTGTACCTCATCCAGTATGATATGGGTAATGTCTTTGGCTACGTCATCGACTGTCAACATTCGTAGTAGTACTCCACTGGTGCAGTAGGTCAGCAGAGTATTATTGGAGGTTCTAAAAATTGATTTTTAAAGATTTTAGGTAACAAAACTCCTCAAAAACATTATTTTAGATACCAAAAATCCTCAAACACACTATTTTCGGTAACAAAATCATCAAAAACACTATTTTAGGTAACAAAAGTCCTCAAAAAAATTGTTTTAGATCACAAAATCATTGCTGAATCCTCACGCCTTCCCAATTACCCTAAAACCAAAAACAAAATCCAAAAAAACTTACTTCTGCTCCAACCTGATATGGTATCCAACCGTGTCCCCTAGCCTTTCATTCCTCTCCTTGGCCACTCGTTCGGCCACCGCGATAGCCGGCAGTCTTCTTGGCTGAGTACACACGATTTTGATGGGTTTTCGCTTTTCGTTCGATTCCTCCAACAAAAACTGTGGAACTTGGGTGGTTTTACCACACCCTGTACCGCCCGTGATGATTGTCACATTGTTCGCTTCAATTTGGTTTAAGATATCATCTCGGTATTGTGAGGTTGGTAGAGTTCGGCGGAAGTGCCGCATCTGTTCGGTGCATTGAGATGGTGGTGCTACAGCTTGTTCCGTCGATGAGGTTGAAGTTTTTGAGCGATTCACGTTGTGACGCACTTAAATGAAAGTTATGATAAATACTCTACCCTACCCATATTCTACCCTACTCACCCCTACTCCACTGAATCTTACCCGTCCCTAAAAACTCATTATCCAGCCCACTTACTCTTCATATCAGCCCTCTGATGTTCCTCTAGCTCCTCGATCTGAAGTGGTTTATCCACAAACAGCTTCTTGATCGTCTGCTTTTGATCCGCATCCAGATACAGATTTTGAGTATCAGTTAGGCCGACAACTCGATCGAAGAAGGCTTTTGTGACACGAGTTCGTCGATTCGGTTCTTCGCCAAATGAATGGGTTCTCAGGTTATAATCCTTGGCAACGATGTGAACAATGACACGTTCATCTCGAGTCATCGGCTGGAGAATGACTTCTGAAGGTGGAAGTGAGGTTAATTGGGTTATTTTTTGAAAAAAGTCAAATTTTAGATAACAGTTCATCAAAAAAGCCCATCATTCAAATGGTTTCACATCTCAAACAATCTCATTTAATACCTAAAAACCAACAAACTAATCAAAAACCTTACCCTGAACATCCGATGCTCGGAACTCCTTCAACTTTGTCCTCATCTCCTCCTCGAACTGCTCATGCCCAGCGAACATGTCTTTTCGCGTTCTCTTCCCCATTCTTGCTTGATGATGAGCTGGTATGTATTTTAGCCAATGATTTCGCTCTCGCATTTAGATTTCCCCATATGGTTTTTTCAAAAATTCGAAAATCTTTGAAACAACCTGAAACTTTGAATTTTTAGTTTAACTTATGATTTTGGGTATCAAAATAATTAGAGTTTGCTATTTTGATACCTAAACATTGAAAACATCACGAATAACACGAACAAATAAGTAAACTATAAACTTTGGGTAACTTTACATATCAAAAAAGATACAAATCTCTATTTTGTTACCTAAACATTATAAAATCAAGAATAACAAAAATTGAATAAATATAAATTTTACGCATCAAAATAATAACTTAATACTGTTTCAATACCTAAACTATCAAAAGATTAAAACAAAATCAACTAAAAATTGCAAAAAATCAAACTTATAATCAAAAACCACATAACAAAGTATCTATAACAATATAAACCAGCGTTCCTCGATCAAATCAACCAAATTAAAATTCGAAAAATCGCGCAAAACACGTAATATGAATAAACATAGCTAAAAAATAAACGGAAAAAGCGAAAAGCAAATGTTTAGTCTGACAAATAAGATAAAACCCCCATTTCGTCAGTTTTCCGTCTAAAACAACATAATTTCACGTACTTTGAAAGGTATTAAAATGTACAAAATTCTTTTAGATTTTTACAAGTAAAAACAAACTTTAAAAGTCTAGTTAAAAAGTAATAAAAAAGAATAAACAAAAAATCAAAAAAAGAACGGACAAAAACATTATTAATGTTATCAATGGCGTTTTCGAAAAAATGTTGAAAATAGTAACAACGGTCAAAAAAATTAATCGTATTTTACAAAAAACAAACTAAAAAGAAAGAAATCACAATTCGATCACCATCCAAAACAATGAAAATTATATTATCCATCTTTTAAGTAGAGCCCTGTAGGAGAAATTGTTCTTTAGATATCAAAAGCTTTCTAAAATAGACCAAATTTATGTTCAAAAGTTGAAAACTGCTAAAATTCTAAAAATGTTAAGTTTTATTCAAACCAAGCTGCAGTTTTCCCAGACATTAAATTTATATTATCCATGCATAAAAGTAGGCACTTTCCAAGAAAATGCTACGTTTCTACATAAACACCCTTCTTCAAATGGCTAAATTTATACTCAAAAGAACGGTTAGATGATAAATATTCTAAAAATACCAAAAAGAATCCAAATATATTTTACTTTTCTTTCCGAATCATTAAAAACTTGTGATACCCATACACCTTTGATGACAAACAATAAAATCCTTTTAACTTCATTCCTCTTCGCTCTGCCTGTTATGCCTAAAATTCAAGAAACAAAAATAGTAAAACACCAACCTGTTAGAAGCTACACTTTGTTAACAATAAAAGTGAGTCATTGTCAACTTTCCATTCGTTCAAAACCTGAACTTTAATCCAAAAATCCCGAAATTCTACCTCAAACTCCAGCTCCTCCAAGAGGGAATTTAAGGTAAACGCGGCGCTAACCTTGACCTCAACCGTCAAACCAACTTCAACTCGCGAACGTTTCGTACAAAATTCTCTCAACTAACGGACAATGTTATGGAAAGAGGTTTTAGGACAAGGAAATGCGGAAAACCGGAGCCAAGTGGACAAGACGAGAATTTTTTTGGTTAAGCGCGCGCCGAAACGCAGCTGAAAACCCTCAAGTTTTTTTTTCTGTCCACTCTCTGCAGACTCTCGACTGTGGTGGCGCGCTCGGGAACGATAGAAAAGAAGAATTGTTGGCAAAAAAAGCGAAATTTGACCAGAGAGAGAGTTGACGCCGAAAGGTCAAGTGTTGTTTTTTTTTACGGAGACCAGATTTTGAAGGAAATCGAATGATATTTCGCCTGATACTATGATAAACTAAAGTTTTTATACAATTTTAGATGTTTCAAAGTTTTTTCTATTAACTTTCATTATTATTGGCAGATATTCCATGCCAAAAACATCAAATTTGCAGTCCGAACAAAGGAAAAAGCGACTAAAGATTTTAAAAATTTTTAAAAATGCAAATTTATTTCAAATTCAGATTTTTTAAAATTTCATTTTCAATAGCACCTGACTTTTCAAAATTCGGTCAGTTTTATGATATTTCTTCGAACTGACCGGTCGAATGATGCGATTCGCTCTAGAACAGACTACTGTAGCGCCGGCTGGCAGTAATGCCACTTTGAATCGATGGCCGCATATCATCATCGAGAAGAACGCGGTAATGGGCTTCGTATGTTTGTGGATGGCTTGTGTATCCTTCGTCGTGTTCATACTGCATCGTACTCAGGCGTGGCCACAGTTTGATGAGTTTGGAATCGATGACAATGACGTGGGTTCGAAATTTTAAAATTTTTGAAATTTATTGTTTTGCCTTTTTAACAAAGTTCTTGCCATTTCAGGTCAAACTAGGTAGACTAGAGAAGGGCGAGAAGAAGAAGATCAAGATCCCAGCCCTAACTCCCCCCGCCTCTTCTGCCTACAAAGAAAGACCTGAGGATTCTGTAGAAGCAAAGCCAGCTGATCCCACCGCCAGGCCAGCTAAGAAACCAGATGCTCCTAAGCCTACAAAGACCACACCTCAGACATCGGTTAAGCCTAGAACTCCAGAAGACGATCCAAAGCCGACTAATGTAAGTGTGGAAACAAAGTTTTTACTGGTTTATAAGCTGGAAAGAAGTTTGCTATTTTGTAATTTGTAAAGGTAGTTTTTGACATTTGATCATCTTTAAAGAAAGTTCTTGCTATTTTAAGTTTTGTAAAGAAAGTTCTTGCTGTTTTAGTCTTAAAAATTAGAAAATTAAGGTTTGCAGTCTGCGGGTGACAAGTTATACGACAAATTTTATCTTTTGGATATTTTGTAGAAAGTTTTAGCCATTTTATGTTTTGTAAAGAAAGTTCTTACCGTTTTTAGCATTTTTTAAAGGTTTTTAAATTTTGTGTTTTCCTGAATCTGTAAACAAAGTTTTGAGCGTTTTAGAAGATCAAGATCCCACCCAAAGCGGAGCCAGACGTTATCATGCCCGCTTCTGATTCTGAATGTATAGATATCAAGGTAACTATTTTGTAAAATTAAAAGAATATTTGATACTTGGAGAGGATGTTCTTGTTATTCTAAAATGATTTCAGAGTCAGGAAATGAACACGATGACACCGTACGATCAACAGAAGATGGATCGACTGAAGAGCAAGAAGGTCTACACCAAACCAGAGCCCTTATCAGCTGAGGCCATTGTTGATAATGTAAGTTTTTGGATTTATTAGTCATGGAAACCAAGTTTTTGCATATTTATTAGTTTTGTGGGCCATTTTGAAAGCTGTAAAGAAAGTTTTCGCCATTTTATACTTTGTAAAGAAAGTTCTTTCTATTTGTTTATTTGTAAATAACGTTTCTGTTATTTTCTGTTTGGTAAAGAACGTTTTTGTCATTTCTTTACTAACTCACCTTATTTCAGCGTCGCAACAACCTAAAAACGGCTCCAGCCCCTGCTTCTCGTCTGAATACACATGGCTCTCCGGTGGAAACAGCTCGCGCTCTCCACAGCCCAACCTTGGGTCCAGAAGCACCTCGTTAAAGACAGATTGTGGGTGTGGTTGGGGGTGATTAATACCAGAAAGATTAACAGTTGAAATTGTATTACATTAAACTCTTGTAAATAGCGTTATCACAATACTTTAACTATGGTAAATTTACAGGGTGTTCTAAGAAAAAAGTTAAAAACTAACGAGCTTTTCTTCCCAAGAAAGCTACAGATGCCAAACTTGGCACGATGAAAGGTTGGAACCACAAGTTTTATGCCACAAAATTTTGAATTTTTTGAGTACATAATAAGGGCGTTATCATTTTTGAAAAAATGGTCATCTTCCCCGGAATTACACACGTTTTCAGTTGGAAATACCTTTTTTGGTAAAATTTTCGACAATTTTTTGTTTGAAAATGACATTTTTAACCAAGTTTTTGATTTTCAAACGTCGGCGGAGACTCGGCGGACGCCGAAATTTCTTGGCGGAGGCTTTAACTCGCTTCAAAAATAACGTAGAGACGTAAAACAAAAAGCTTTAAAATTATCAAGGCAATCTTTACTAATACTGTTCTTGGCTTCAAAGTTTTTAAAACACAAAAAATTATAAAAACTTAAGAAAACGAATAAAGAAAACGTGTTTTTAAAATTTATTTTGTAAATTGGACAAATAATTTTTAAAATTTTAACTTATTTCATCGTTTACTTTGCTTAATAACACAGAAGCTAACAACATACAACATATGATATATTTGCTGTTTAACCTTTGAAGAAAATGAGTATCATAATTTGGAACATAAGTACAATTTTCTGAACTTGGGAGTATTTTTGAACTTTAATAACTTCTTTAATTTACCTACCCTACTCTACCCTACCCTACCCTACCCTACCCTACCCTACCCTACCCTACCCTACCCTACCCTACCCTACCCTACCCTACCCTACCCTACCCTACCCTACCCTACCCTACCCTACCTTATAAATTTTTAAAATTTTTAGGTTTTGCTTTTTAAAATGAACGACGTGCGAAGACCGGAAGCCCGAGCTAAGTTTTATTAAATCTAAGAAGGCAATGATACTATATTGTGAATAATCTCGTGTACGATTTTAGGTTTAGAATGAAGATGTGCGAAGGCCGTAGGCAGGGTTGGACGCAGGGCATGGGCCCTGTAACAGGGCATTTTTGAATTAATTTTTTTTGGCTAGGCTTAAAAACGCAAAAATTTCTAGAAATGGGTTTTAAACACTGCTAATCCATTTTACGTTGTTATTTTCTTGACAGCTATTACAGTTTTCAAGATATGAGTTTGGCGGGAAAACGAATTTCAAAAAAATGCCCTGTTGAAATGCCCTGCCCTGTGTCCGTAGGCCCGAGCCACGTTTTAATGAGATGTTTCGGTATTTACAATACTTGTATGAAAATTATTGGCGTGCGAGGGCCGCGGGCCCGAGCCATTTAGCTTAGATATTATGAACTGTATCAAACTTGCACATTTAAAATACAGTAACTTTAGATTAATAAAGTAAAGTAGAAGTACAATAAAAAGAAAAAGTAGAGCCCGAAGGATCCTTCCCAGATCATAAGACGTCCGTTGATCTTGTTCTTTTAAATACGTTCTTTTTACCGTGACATTTAACAAAGCTAACTATTATATTATTTACAAAGTTGAGGATGCTACAAGCTCATCAAAAAAATCTTTATTTTGGTATTAAAAGCGACTTCAACGTGGTTCTTCTGGATCCAAGGTTGGGCTGTGGAGAGCACGAGCCGTCTCCAACGGAGGGCTTTTTGGTCGGAGACCGGATGCTGAAACTGTAGCCGGCTGGAGGTTGTTGCGACGCTGAAACATAGCAACTTAGAAATAGAAAAAAACTCTTTACATAACATAAAGTGACAGAAACTTTCTTTACAAAACACAAAATGGCAAAAACTTTCTTTACAGCTTTCAAAATGGCCCAACTTCCCACAAAACTAATAAATATGCAAAAACTTGGTTTCCATGACTAATAAATCCAAAAACTTACATTATCAACAATGGCCTCAGCTGATAAGGGCTCTGGTTTGGTGTAGACCTTCTTGCTCTTCAGTCGATCCATCTTCTGTTGATCGTACGGTGTCATCGTGTTCATTTCCTGACTCTGAAATCATTTTAGAATAACAAGAACATCCTCTCCAAGTATCAAATATTCTTTTAATTTTACAAAATAGTTACCTTGATATCTATACATTCAGAATCAGAAGCGGGCATGATAACGTCTGGCTCCGCTTTGGGTGGGATCTTGATCTTCTAAAACGCTCAAAACTTTGTTTACAGATTCAGGAAAACACAAAATTTAAAAACCTTTAAAAAATGCTAAAAACGGTAAGAACTTTCTTTACAAAACATAAAATGGCTAAAACTTTCTACAAAATATCCAAAAGATAAAATTTGTCGTATAACTTGTCACCCGCAGACTGCAAACCTTAATTTTCTAATTTTTAAGACTAAAACAGCAAGAACTTTCTTTACAAAACTTAAAATAGCAAGAACTTTCTTTAAAGATGATCAAATGTCAAAAACTACCTTTACAAATTACAAAATAGCAAACTTCTTTCCAGCTTATAAACCAGTAAAAACTTTGTTTCCACACTTACATTAGTCGGCTTTGGATCGTCTTCTGGAGTTCTAGGCTTAACCGATGTCTGAGGTGTGGTCTTTGTAGGCTTAGGAGCATCTGGTTTCTTAGCTGGCCTGGCGGTGGGATCAGCTGGCTTTGCTTCTACAGAATCCTCAGGTCTTTCTTTGTAGGCAGAAGAGGCGGGGGGAGTTAGGGCTGGGATCTTGATCTTCTTCTTCTCGCCCTTCTCTAGTCTACCTAGTTTGACCTGAAATGGCAAGAACTTTGTTAAAAAGGCAAAACAATAAATTTCAAAAATTTTAAAATTTCGAACCCACGTCATTGTCATCGATTCCAAACTCATCAAACTGTGGCCACGCCTGAGTACGATGCAGTATGAACACGACGAAGGATACACAAGCCATCCACAAACATACGAAGCCCATTACCGCGTTCTTCTCGATGATGATATGCGGCCATCGATTCAAAGTGGCATTACTGCCAGCCGGCGCTACAGTAGTCTGTTCTAGAACGAATCGCATCATTCGACCGGTCAGTTCGAAGAAATATCATAAAACTGACCGAATTTTGTCAGGTGCTATTGAAAATGAAACTGAAAAAATTTTAAAAAAATTGTATTGTTTTGTCTTTCCCTGCTTTCCCCTGCTCTGCCCTGTCATTTGAAGCCCAGTCCAGCCTATTCCAGCCCAACCCTGGCCACTTAAGTTTAGCTGAGTCTATCCTAGCTTGTCGTAAAAGTAGGTTTTTATATAATAAGTCCATTACATCATAACGTAAAACCTCTTTACGTCGATAAAAATCATGCTCGAAGTAAAGTCCATGTCCGAACATAAACTTTGGTCTGTTACATAACCGAATCAAACATTTTTCTTTTGACCCTTCTGCTTTAAATGACTGTAAATAAAAAAATGAGCGCCTTGAACATATGATCGGTAGACAAACCATCATGCAGAAAATTAACATGTATACATACACATCCTACACCTAGCCATTTCATTCATACATTGCCGGCTTATCGGATTGTTGCTTTTTACAAATTTGAGTCTACTGTATTAATAAAAAAACAAAGTAAGTTTTTTATACTTTACTAAATATTTCCCCAGCTGCTTTTTTGTAATATTCTCAAAAAGTATTGTGTGTATAATGTGTCTTGTGAACTATAAAGTCAAACTTAAGTAATGCGTTTTTCAATACTATTTTTGTTTAGAATGTCATCAGTTATGACCGTCGCCGGCCCTGCCTTCACCTCGACCTCTGCTAGCTCGGCCTTCGCGGAGATGTCTTTTGGCTTTCGGCTGTACCGTCAGGCCAGATTGATTCGAAAGTCCGCACACACAGATGAAAAAACCAAACAAACCAAAAACCTTCCGGCTAGCCTTAAGATCTCTGAAGTTGGTCAAGCTATCTTTGTGGAGCCAGCTAGTTCAAACTTGGCAAAGAAAGAGAAGAAGGAGAAGCAGACAAATTTAAAGAAAGCAGAGTCACCCGAGCCAGCCGAGAAGATTACCGACAACCTACAAACCTTCGCCGCCAACCCAGCCTCTCCTACTCGACCTGACAAACGTGGTTATGACGCCGAGTCAGCTGCAGAATCATCTGACCCGGCTTTGAAGATCCGGTTGACTGGAGCCGTGCCAACAGTCCAGCTAACGTTGGATCAGGCCGTGGAGAAGCCAGCAGTGAAGGAAGAAATGTGGACAAAGTTTGGTGCTTTGTTCAATGGCCAAAGAACGGCCAAACCTGAAGAAGTTAAAGCCTTTTTAAGACTTAGCGAGATGTCCTAGGTTTTAATATTAATAAATATATGTAACTTTGTAGTGTTTTAGATTGTAAATAAAAGTTTAGCATTGTATAGTAGAACACATATTAGTACTATTTAGAAGTCTGTTACACTTTGAAACTTATTCAATCAACCAGGTCAATGAGTGTATGAGTGAAACGTCAAATGTATGTGTATTTATAGTTGTGAATTTATCAACCGGTAAAAAGTTTTGGAATATTTGTGTTGAAATGAGCAAAAGTTGGCATTAAACGTAAGCCCAATTTTTTTTGTAAGTTCTCTGGAGCTACTTTTGAACTAAAATTGCACATTTCATCAGGGTCAGTACGGTAAATGTAATCAGGTTTGTGTTCAAAACAACTGCCGTCAGCCGTACAATTGTGGCATCTAAAACACATGAAAGACTTAAATTTAACATTACTTTATCCTACCCTAATTTTACTTACATTCTGATAGCTGGTTCTACCTCATCTTCAAACCATCCATCAGTACAATCGTCGCTTAACTTAAAAGTCCATTTTCTGCTGTTGTTTCAACGTCAACAAGGTAATCTGTTATAGGGTCAAGTTCCCATAGTGTAACAAACTAAAACAGTAAAAAATATAGTTTTAGATATAAGTGTAAGTATGCACGGAGCAAAAGCCGAGAAACGACAAGTGTACGGATTTTCAAGAAACTTGAATTTACTTACATTCTGTCGGCTTTGCCATCCCACTTTGCATGTAATGGTACCACGGGCATAGCAACGGTCCGCAGCGACGACATTCAAAATGGAAATAACAAAAATTGAAACTTTCAAGAAGGCCATTGCAATGTCAACAATCTTCATATTCAAATTTCTAAAAAGTTGTAAAATACTGAAGATTGTCTTTTCACAATTAACGCATCAACTTTACCGTGGTATTGCCCAACCCCTCCAGTCCGGACCGAACGATCAAAATGAAAAAAATTTTGGACCAGACCAGAAAAAAACCAGACTGGTACGGTCCGGATAAGACCAGAGAAAAAATCTTACTCCGGTCCGAAAAAAATTTTATTTTCAAAAAGTTTGGCCGTATAATAATTGTATAAAACTCTCTGTCGTAAGCTTAAAACCGTCCGTCGATACCTTTTTAATATATCCCACTAATTTTCCGGTACATATAAGCCAAAATTAAAATAAACCCGACCAATTCGGATTAGTTCGGACCGAATCCGTCCGGACCGGTTGTTTGCGAAAAAAATCAGGGACGGGCCGGACCAGACCGAAAACTTTTACGTCCGGACCGGACCGAACAAAAACTCGTCTGGACGGTTTAGGCAAAATCCTGAACTGCGCTATTTTGATGATAACAGTGCTATATATACTGTCAAAATTAAGCAAAAGAGGAAACAGATCACCAGATGAATAATAAAATATGATGATTTTGATTATTCACTTTCATTTTCAATTTTGATTGCAGTTGACAACCAAAAAAAAAACACTTTGTGATGTTTTTAATTTTAAAAAATTAATCATGAAGAAATAATTTCAAAAACCACAAAATTTGCATAAATTAGCATTCAAATTTCGAATTCGTTTTCAAAGAAAAGCCACTTTATTACCTAGCGCTAAGGTTAAACCTAAAAAAGCTAAACTTAAGCGCTTTAATACGTCCTACCGGCCTAACCCTAAACTTAAGCAAGCTAAGCCTAAACCCAAGCGGAGTAATACTAAGCCTCAGCCCCGGCCTAAAACACACTTAGCCTATGTCTGAACACCTAAACATAATTTTAAAAAGACTAAGCAAAAAGATTAACGATAAAACTTAAACGAGATAAGCCTAAGCTTACGCAAGCTGAGCTTAATTTTAAGTGGTTTAAGCCCAAGCAAGTTCTCTGAGCTTTAAAGAGCTCAACCTAAGCTTTTTAAACTAATTCTAAGCTTAAACAAGCTAAACTTAGCACAACTAAATCAAAGCTAAGAATGAACCTTAAGAACCTAAGCCTAACAAAAGCTTAAGCAAAAAAAGCCAAGTCTAAGCAACTAAACGTAAGCTTACGCAAGAGAAAAATGTATTAAGCCAAGGTTAAGACTTTTTGACCAAAAAAACTTTGATCCTTACCATACATTTGATACGTGTGAACACTGTCCATAATGACTGCAACAGCGTAAAGCGGATTCAAACAAGCTACACAATTCAAAAGAACGTTGAAAAGGTCAATGCTAATTGTGTAGTATAATAACATCAGCCCAAACATCCCAACAAGATTGGCACAGATTGCAAGACCAGTCGTTTTGAATACGGTAGCGCATAAGAGAGAGAAGGCCACACACCATGCCGCACACAATATTGTTGTCAAAAGCATTAGCAGAAACAGGTGGAACTAAATATAGAAAGTTAAAACTAGTCAAGCTATAACCAATTTTAAGGCTAAGCTTGGAGCTTGGGCTCAGGCTAAGGATAAGGCTAGAGTTCTGAACTAAGGGTTTGAGCTAAGGCTAGTGCTCTGAACTAGGGCTCTAAGCTAAGGCTATAGATTAAAGCTCTGAGCTAAGGCTCTGGGCTACGGTCTGGGCTAGGGCTCTAAGCTAAGGCTCTGGGCTAGGGCTCTGGGCTAAAGCTCTGTGCTAAAACTACAGGCTAGTGCTCTGAACTAGGGCTCTAAGCTAAGGCTATAGGTTAAAGCTCTGAGCTAAGGCTCTGGGCTACGGTCTGGGCTAGGGCTCTAGGCTAAGGCTCTGGGCTAGGGCTCTGGGCTAAAGCTCTGTGCTAAAACTACAGGCTAGTGCTCTGAACTAGGGCTCTAAGCTAAGGCTATAGGTTAAAGCTCTGAGCTAAGGCTCTGGGCTACGGTGTGGGCTAGGGCTCTGGGCTAAAGCTCTGTGCTAAAACTACAAGCTAGTGCTCTGAGCTAGGGCTCTGGGTTTGTGCTCTGAGCTAGGGCTCTGGGGCTAAGGCTCTGGGCTAGGGCTTTGGGCTAAGGCTTTGAGCTAAGGCTCTGGGCTAAGGCTCTGACCTATGGCTCTAAGCTCTGGGCTAGAGCCAGTACAACTCCCTTGTATAATACAAGTAATACACCTTACCTTGAAGACAAAAACCAAAGGTAATACGAGAATGAACATAACCAAACACATTCTGCCAAATCCAAACAGATAGTGAGAGAAGTAGAAGCTGTAGCGAGTCACGCCGGTTATCAGCAAGTAATTCTGAAAACTTTTTTTTTATAAAATTTGAAAAAAAAATTAAATTAAAATTAATAAAATTTTTAAAATTTAGGTTTAAACTCACTTTAATGTCAGTTTCAGTCTCCCAAATCAAGTCATTGATGTTAATGGCCATTGGAATCAAACTCAATATGACCAAGTAATGGTAAAATGATAGAGACACTTCATTAATAAAAGATCGGTTGAAAACTGCTTGAGGCATAACATCAACTGCTGGCTGAAATATTGAATATTGAAATTATTTAATCAAGAAACACAACTAATAATTACATTTTTTGCCTTGCCTTACTCTTTTTAGCAAAAAATTTCAATGAAAGATAAGAAATACCAAAAACTTTCTTTACAAACGTAAAACAACAAAAACTTTCTTTACAAACGTAAAACAGCAAAAACTTTCTTTACAAACGTAAAACAGCAAAAACTTTCTTTACAAACGTAAAACAGCAAAAACTTTCTTTACAAACGTAAAACAGCAAAAACTTCATTTGAAGCTCTCAAACACAAACTTCTACCAAAACTCATATATAAATTGCAAGAACTTTGTCTCCAAATTTAAAAACGTTAAACCTTTTTTTGGGTGACATTTACACCGGCCAATTGCAGTAAAACCTGGTTCACATTGTGTTGAATGACCGTGTATTCCCATTGTCTTACAGTAAACCTGTCGTAATCCGTTAAACGGCGTTTTTTGTATGGTTGATTGAAGATCCATCCAACACCGGCCAAGCTAGGCTAATTCGAAAACCCGTTCAAAAAGAAGAAGAAGAAACTAGTTTTGACAGTAGCCCAGCCGCAAACATAGAAGCGTCTGAGGCTGATCAACCCATCTGTTTAGATATGGCCAGTCCAAAAACAGACAAGGAAGAGAAGAAGAACAAGAAGAAAAATAAGAAGGAAAAGAAAGTCAGTTTAAAGAAGAATAAAACCGCCGAGCCGGCCCAGAAGACCGTTAAAAGCCCCACCACATCTATCACTAGACCAGCCACGCCCAGCCGATGCGTCAAACGTCGCCACGACGCCGAGCCGTTTTCAGAATCTTCTGAGCCGGCTTTCAAGATCCGGCTGACTGGCGCCGTGCCCACGGTCCAGCTAACATTAAGCCGGGCGTTGGAAAAGCCAGCCAATAAGGAGAAAAGATTGGCCACGTTGAAAGCGTTATTTAATGGCCAAAGAACAACCAATTTTGAAGAAGCCGAGGCATTTTTAAGGCTTAGCAAGATGGCCTAGGATTTAATATTAATAATAATATATAACTTATGTTCATTTTAAATAAAACAATTTTTAAATAGGTTGAGTTTTACTGATCTACAAAAAATAAAATTTTTTGAGTTTTTTTCTCTTCCCTTTCTCTATAACCCCACCCTCTTCTTCAGCATAGTATGCGTTATGCAATAAAATCAAACCAAAAACACAATTTAATTCCAAAAATACTGGTCAAAACCTAATCCCTTTTGCTAGTTTGCTCATACGTCGCTCCAAAGTAGGCCACTCCGCCCACCATGGCGGTTACGGTAAAAAACTGCGCCATAATACGGTATTGCATGTACTTTTGTGTCCCGGCACGGTCTCCAGCCACCGATCGCTTTATCATTCCCATCAACGCGGCTGCCGTCAGTGCCACACCAACAATGACGAAGGGGTTGGAGACAAAGTGGGATAGCATTCCACCTTGCTGAACTTTGCCACTGGTTTGTTTCGAGGCTTGAAACCCAATGTCGGATGGGATGTTGGGGACCTGAAATTTGAGGTTATTGTAGGTTATAGTTATCGGATATTACAGTACAAACAAAGTTCAGTCAATATCATACTAAATAGCATATACTTACTCCACTGTATCGTTCTTTTTTGTCTTGAACCTTGCTTAGTCTGTATTCTTCTTCTTTAGTGAGTTCTTTTGTCCACGCCGTTCTTATGCCAAAACTTTTCACCACAAGGGCAGAAAACGTCATTATCTAAAAATGTGAAGCATATTACTACATACTACTATATCAGAGTTGAGTCATTCCTAAAATTAGATATTTAAGCCTGAAAAACGGTTAGGGTAGAGTAAAGTAGTGTTAAAAACCTTACCCAAACTTATATCCAAGTACTTTAACGTTGTTGACCAAACAGTTTCATCAAATTTATCAACGACCGACTGTTACAAATAAGAAAAGAGTATGAAATGAATTGTGACATGAATATTGTCATGTGCAAACTTGATTTTTACGTGCAAAAAATAAAAATAAAATAAAATTTTTAAAACAAATCACACTAACAAAGTTACAGAGAAAGTACCCAACCTGCACCGCTCAGAATCAGCTCAAAATTTTTATATGCATTCTTTGTATAACCAATAGTACTCATAAAAAAACTTTAACTTGCGCTTTTGAAAAATTTGAAATTTTAAATATTTAGGTTTTCTGCCAACTTGACAAATTTGGCATTGTGTTGCAATCACTTTTTTTTGACTTTACAGACAAGCTACGCTTACGAAATTAAAAATGTAGGTTTATTTAAAGGTTTTCTTCTAATATATCCAAAAAAAATGATTAAAAGTCGAAAAATGACAAAGTTGTAAGCATGAAACACAATGCCAATTTGCCGAGAAGTTCAAAACGTAATTTTTTGATTACAATTTTTTTTTGATTTCCTGGTACGTAAACGCAATTTAGTACTTTACTGAAGGAATTGTGTTTACATGTCTTTCTATATAAAGTTAGTTTGAAGTCAATCAGAGCGGAGCAGGTTGGGTACACTCCCGTTAATCAAAAAAAAATTTTTTTTAATTTTTCAAAAAATTTTAATAAAAAGTAAAGCCAATCTCAAAAGACAATTTTATTAAAAACCAAAGCATCAGCCCTCAACACAAGCTAGCACTTCGATGAACATGATCTCCGAAGCCTTTGAACAACTCGGTCAGCAAGGCCACGTTGGAAGAGGCTGCCAGCTCCTTCCAGCCTTTCGTATGGACAAACTCATTGTGATGTTCGATTAGAAAATCAATTATTTCGGTCTTTAAAGCTTCCAAGTGTAATATTGATGGGTGTCCAGTTAGAATGTCACAAGCTAGTTCGCATGTCATCGACGCCATCAGTTTTACTGAGCAAAAGTCGAGCAGATTCTGAAGTAAAACTCATTACAAAACATAAAATGGCAAGAAATTTCTTTCCAAGGCAAAAAACGGCAAGAACTTTCTTTACAGATTAAGAAATGGCAAGAACTTTCTTTACAAAATTAAAATGAGAAAAACTTACTTGAATATGGTACTGATCAGCCAGATACAGTAATTCCCTGCCAATTTCATCAAACTGATGAATTGAACCCGTATACAAGAACGATAACATAGCCGCTACAACATTGGCACGAACGTCTTTCAAATCAATGACACAAGTTCTGGCTTCTGTGAAGGTACCACTTAACATTCGTTCAAAGACTGGTGAACTAGCCGCTAGGATCAGCTTGTGAGTCTAAAATTAGATTGATTATGATAATAAGTGCCACACCCTACTCTACCCTACCCTACCCTACCCTACCCTACCCTACCCTACCCTACCCTACCCTACCTTATTCTACCCTACCCTACCCTACCCTACCCTACCCTACCTTAAAAATCTCTCCATCCGATCGTATTTCACAGTCAGTAAACGACTGTGAATGTAAAAACTTGGCCAGTTGAGCACATATTATCCTTGGTTGATTCCTCTCGACTGATGGTACTCGAGTTTGAGCATCTCGTAGAGATTGTCGTATCACAATATGACCGCTCACACATACGTAGTCTTCACAGCGCGGTAAAATGTCATCGTTGTCGGTTAAATCGACCGAAAAACGGACTGTTTCATTCAGAATCCGAGATTTTTCTGAAATAATGCAAAAACTTTCTTTACAAATTATAACATGACAAAAACTTGCTTTACAATGTACAAAATAGTAAAAAATTGCGTTATCGTATAAAATGTCACCCGCAGGCTGCCAAACCCATAAATGTTACTTTTAATATAATTGGCAAGAACTTTCTTTACAAGTCATAAAATGGCAAAAACTTTCCTTACAAACTAAAAAATAGCAAGAACTTTCTTTACAACAACAAAAATAAAATTTCAGAACCGTCCCTTACCGGTCACACAATGCTTCTTATCATGTTCACCATCCATCAGCCACGACTTGATATGAAAGTAGAAATTCACGTTCGCCGGCACGTTGTAATTGTTCCATCTGAATTGAATTTTGGCTCCATTAGCACCAGAAACACCCTCCATTTTCAAATTGATCTGGTCGAATGGCGACCGGTCGACTATTTTATCTCTGGAATGGCTTGGACTGGACGAAGTTGGCTCGGCATTTTCTGGTCCTAATGGTACTACTAAGCAAAAATCAAATTCGTCTACTTTTGGAAATTGCTTAACTTCTTCTGGCACCATCTTACTGAAATTTTAAAAATTTTAAATAAAAAAAAATTAGGAAATTTGAAGAAAAACGTAAAAAATTTAAAAAAAGGAGAAGAAACTTTCTTTACAAAGCAAAAATTAATTTAATTTAAAAGCATTATGACTAGGACTTTCTTTACAAGCAAACATAACACAAACCTTCTTTAAACTAAAAAAAATGAAATTCATCGTATAACATGTTACCCGCAGGCTGCACGACTCAAAAGCGCTTCATTTTAAGAAGAATTAGCAAGAACTTTGTTTACAACTCAAAAAATGGCAAGAACTTTCTTTACAAAGCAAAAAATAACGAGGACTTTCCTTACGGATCAGAAGTTGACAAGAACTTTCATTAGAATCCATAACAACGCAAAAACTTCCTTTCCAAAACATAATATGGCAAGAACTTTCATTACAACGCATAAAATTGCAAAAGCTTTCTTTACACAACCAAAAATATCATGCGAACTAAAATATTTTAAAAACTCAATGACTTTGAGATTTTGGCTAGCCATAACTCATCGAAACTGAAGCGGATCATAAAGCTCTGGAAGCCGACAACAATCCCATTTGTTCGGCTAATTCGAATAAAATAAAGAGAAAACCATTCGAACGGTCATTCCAAACAAATAGCCATTCACATTATGATAAAAAAGGAAATGGGATGATATATGATAATATGAAGAAGCATAACTACATCTCCTATTTTTTAAATTTAAATTTTGAAAAAAATAAAGTTCTAAAATACAAAGAACGATGATACTAGGTTGTTCAAGTAATAATAAGCCCTATAAAAGCAAATTTTCAGTGCTAAAAAGCACATATATATTTGAACAACCTAATAGATTTACTCACTCCTGCATTAAGACTAGAGATAGGGCTAGGACAAGACTATAACTAGAGTTATAGCTAGAGCTAGAGATAGAGCTAGAGCTAGAGCTATTTAAATTTTGGTTAGCCATTTATCTAGAGCTAGAGCTAGGGTCTGAACTAAACCTAAGATAAAGCTTAAAATAAAAAAAAACTTTAGACATGTGAATTTTAAACGTTTCTCAAATCAAAGAATACCAAAAAAGGTCAAACTTGGCCCTTAAAACCCCCTAAAACAATGTAAATTCTTACATATAACGCATAAAACAAAGTTTAGTCATAACACGTCTAAAACAATATAAAACATATCGGGTTTTGTGGAGAAAAGGTCGTCGCTCTTGAGGTCACGTGAGCTTCGAACAAATTAGAAAGCAAATTTAACGTGTAAAGGAAATAGCGTGCCATATTCGATTTGCTTCAAAAGTTGTTTGTAATAAAAACAAAGCTTCAAGAGGGTTTGTTTTTGGCGGGAAAAGTAGAAGTTTAAATTTTTTAGTTATAAATTATTTTTTGAACAAACCGCCTTCTATTTTAATTCTGGAAAAAATCTACCTTAACTCAACTCCAGCCCCAGCCCTGAGCTCTAGCCCAGAGCCTTAGCCCAGAGCCCTAGCCCAGAGCCCTAGCCCAGAGCCCTAAACCTTAAGACAACCTTGCCCTCTATTAAGATCTTAAGACCTCATTTGCCACGTATAGTCTGTGATATCAACTATTTCTTTTTGGGTCAATATCCTAAAAACTACCCTAAATGATGGAGTAGCCATGTTTTACCTTTTGCTTGTAAAGATATGACAAAACTACAACAACATCGTTCTATTTCACAAGGAGGTCAAGAATTAATTCCCACTTTTTTCACCGCAAAAAACTTTTTTTTAATAAAACGTAATGCAACAAACCGGTTGACACTTCGTTATGTCAAAACAGTCCCCAGTACTTTATGAGTATATATATCAAGTTTGGTCCATATCGCTCCACTCATAGCCAAGTTAGATGGGGGGGGTCAGAACTCAATGCCTTCAGTATATTTAACCTACCCGTCCATCTATTATATCATTCCTGAAATTCTACTCTACCTATACCCAGGGCCGGGCGCTGGGGGAGAGGAGGGGGGAAGACCCCCCCGCAGAAAAAAGTTTTTAAAAAAAGTTGAACGTGGCCACCATTGTAGATTTTTCGAAAAAATTTTTTTGATCCCCCCTAGACCAAAAATCCCCGACTGGCCCTGCCTATACCTACAACCTTATTCTGAATTCTCTCTTTCGTACTCAACATACATCAGAACTCCGGTATAGCAAACAACAGTACAATAAACGCGAGTGGCTAACTTCAGCAACCTCCATACACAATAAGAATCCGGAGAAGACTGGTGTGTTTATATGTGAATATTACCTCCCTACTATAACACATCCGTAACATCTGCCGGCTGATTCACTACCTGGATCATCCCCCTATTTTTGACGCAAAACTCAAAACATTTTCGCTTTTAATCGTTCATGATTTGTGGAGCAAATGTTCTGGATTGATCGATCGTTTGGCTGCGAATCGCTAATTTATTGACACAGGTTTTTAGGTAACAACACGTAATGGCAAGAACTTACTTATAAAATTAGAAAATAGCAAGAACTTTCTTTACAAGATAGAAAATGGTAAGAACTTTCTCTAGAGAACATAAAATGGCAATAACTTTCTTTACAATAAATAAAATGGCAAGGACTTTCTTTACAATTCAAAAAATGGCAAGAACTTTCTTTACAATTCAAAAAATGGCAATAACTTTCCTTACAGTCCTTAAAATAGCAAGAACTTTCTCCACAGACCTTGAAATGACAAGAACTATCTTTACGAAGCCTAAAATGACAAAAACTTTCTTTACAGTCCCTAAACTTCAAAAATTTTAAAACTGAAACTAAAAAATCACAGACACTGCAAAAACTTTCCTTCCACCCTTATCAGTACAATCTTATGGTCACTGCCAATAAAAATTGATTAAAAAACAGCTACCCTCTCGCTTAAATACTCGAAAAACTCGCCTTATCAGTTGGTTTTTTCGAAAAAACCGTAAAACGGTCACATTGCCTAAGGTCAAGTAATCTCGCGCTAATGGTATTGTAAAAAGGCTAGCGGAAGCCCTTTGAAAATGGCCGATTCTCACTTTTTTCGTTCATTCTCAAACCATTTGTCAGACAAAAGTGATTGCTAAAACTGCTTGGGGAAGAGGGCGGGTGCACTAAATGTCTTTTAAGAATGTTAAAGAGGCTGGGGAAGGGGGAGGAGGATTTTCTTTACAAAATAAACAATGGCAAGAACTTTCTTTACAATACATAAATTAGCAAGAACATCCTTTACAAGCCATAAACTGACAAGAACTTCCTTTACAAGGTAGTAAATAACAAGAACTTTGTTTACAAAGCATAAAACGACAAGAACATGCTTTACAAAGAAGAAAATGGAAAAAACTTTTTTAAAAAACAGAGAATGGCAAGCACTTTCTTTACAATAATTAAAAAACCTATTTAAAACAATATTACTCTAAAAACACTAAAAGTAAACAAAAGTAGATCAAAATCTCGCTGTTTTCTCTGTCATTTCGTCTTGAAACGATCCAATTCGAACTCAAAAAGAGAATTAAAAAGTGCTCGAGACAAAGTTGATTAACATTCTTTAGTATCGGAAATGAAAAACCAAGTCTGTGGAAGGGGGGGGAGTGGAATTAGGTGAAATTAACCTTGAGATTAAGGGCAACACTTGACTGCGGTCAATTTAACAAAGGTCGACTTGTTACAGTTTAAAATAGCAAGAACTTTCTTTACAAGGTATAAAACAGCAAGAAATTTCATTACAAAACATAAAACGGCAAGAACTTTCTTTAAAAGCCACAAAATAACAAAAACTTTATTTACAAATTAAAGGATGGCAAGAACTTTCTTTACAAAAAAAAATGGCTAGAACTTTCTTTACAAAACATAATAGCAAGAACTTTCTTTAAAAAACATAAAACGGCAAGAACTTTCTTTACAAGCCACAAAATGACAAAACCTTTCTTTACAAAACAAAGAATGCCAAGAACTTTGTTTACACCACTAAGAAGGAAGCAATATACCGTATTATAGTTTAGATTACCTGTGGCTTTTGAAATAGCATAACAAACACTTGTACATTTTTAGACATAGGATCTTTGAACAGTACAAAATCAAACTTGGTACAATTTTTAAAATAAGTCTAGTATAACATCTAATAATAACAGTACTATTTTTACTCTAGGTAGACTAATAATAGTACTTTAAGGTTTGCTATTAGTAATGACAGTACTATAACAAGTAAAGCATAACCAACGTTACTATAACAAGCCTAATATTTTTAGTTCTACTATTTTTAGTTCAGTCTAGCTAATAGTCGTACTATAATAATAGTCATTTTATGTCATAAAACTTAATATAATAGTGTAAAGCTTCACTTCACGTCTAACTGTTATACAAATTAGTACCACATCAACTCCAATATTACAAATAAAAATACTACTTTGTAGTCCAATGAATTTTAGGAATATTGCTTAAACCTTCAGAATCCTAAAGCATTTCAAAAAGCAATTGAAGCCCCGAATTAGCCTTATATATGGTTGTTTTCAGCAGTCCAAATCATGTTCTGAGTCATGTTTGGAATCGTGTATCATGCATATCTGCTTAAAGTTTCGGAAATTGCTATTCCTCGGGGGGCGATTTGTCACCGTTTCCGAAGAAAATAAAATTCAAATCGATGTTTTTTAAAAGTGTGGAAGAAGAGGTGGTCTGAAAGCGAAGTGTAGCTAGGGCTCTTGGCTAAGGATAAACATGAGGAATGGGCCGGGCCGTGTCTGAGCGTTAAGCCCGGCCTGATATAATTTTTTCATAGGCCCGGCCCAAACTTGTTTTACGTGCAAACTAGCCGGGCTATGACATTCAGATTAGACCCGGCCTAAATTTGACACAAAACCGGCCCGGCCTGCTTCTTATGTCTAGCTAAGGCTCTGGGCTAGGGTTTCAGACTTCGGGCTAAGATTTTGGCCGAGAGCTCTGGGCTAGGGCTCTAAGCTGGAGCTCTAGGCTAGGGCTAACGGTTACAGCTAGGGCTATTGCTAGGAGTTGGGCTATGGACTAGGGCTTTGGGCTAGGGCTCTGGGCTAAGGCTCTGGGCTAGGGCTCTGGGCTAGGGCTCTGGGATAGGGCTCTGGGCTAGGGCTCTGGGCTAAGGCTCTAAGCTAGGGTTTTGGGTTAGGGCTCTAGACTAAGGTTAAGACATAATAAAACACACATAAGATGACATTTTATACTACAATAATCAATCAAACATTGTAAAACTTGGAGCCATACTATAAAGTATAAAAAATCTGAGCAATGTCTCCAGAAATGAGATAAAATCATCCCCCTAATTCCCTGGAGCCCTTCGCCCCGGCTCTCAGAAGCTTGGAGTTTAAGAGTTTCGGAAAGCAAAAACAAATTCAAGGACAATGTACAAGCATCGTGGAGTGGCTAATTAGCCGCTTCGACAGAGATTTCCAACAAAAACAACAATAGACAAAACAATGTTATATTGTGATACAGTTGGGAGGGGGTAGGAGTAAGGTTTTGAGGCTACTATTAGATTGGGCTAAAGTGTCAACAATAATGCCAAATCAACACGATGAAAATTATAATAAAAACGATTATAACAAGGGAAGTATCCGATCTGCTTCGCTCTGATTGACTTCAAACTTTTTACATAGATAGATCATGTTAATATAAGGCACTTATCAAAATACTAAATTGCACTTTACCAAAAATTCGAAAAAATCTAGATCAAACAATTACGTTTTGAATCGCCCGCCAAATTGGCATTGTGTTCCAAGCTTATGGCTTTACTTTTTTTTACTTTTTATTATTTTTCTGTAATGTATGTACCAGCATAAGACCTTTAAATGAACCTAATTTTTTAATTTTGTAAGTCTAGTTTGTCTGGAAAGTCAAAAGAAGTGCTTGAAACACAATGCCAAATTTTGCCAAATTGAGATAAAAGCCAAAAAACTTCAAATTAAAAACTTAAAATTACAAGCTAAATTTTTTTATATATATTAGACTATATATAAAATTTAGATTTCTGGCGCTGGACGAGCCGACAGCCGGCGTGGACCCGGCGACACGACGTCACATCTGGGACCTGTTGATAGCGATGCGAACCCAGAACAAGGCCATTCTGCTCACGACCCACTCGATGGAAGAGTGCAAAGCGTTGTGTACCAGGATCGGCTTCCTACGTGCCGGTCGACTACGAGGCATTGGTACTAGTCAGCACCTAAAAAGTCGGTACGGCAACTCGTACCTGCTGACAATCGTACTGAAGAGCACGAGGAAGGAGGACGTCGAGTACGTGAATAAGGTCGTTTCCAAAGCGTTTGAAATCCCGCTGACAGCCGATCTGGACCACAAATCGATTAGTTTTGAGATTCCGAAAAGGTCGGACGTCTCATGGAGTGGAATGTACGAGAAGGTGGAGAGGGTTGTCAGTGAGGTCAATTCTCAAGGAAAATCTAAAACGACATCACACGAATCACAAGAGCTTAAGAAAATGATTGAATAAACTGAAAAATCTGCCATTTTGCGTAAGTTAACACACTTTACATCAAGATACAAAAAAAATATATTTATTTTTACAAAAATTGCATAAATTAGCATAGTTGTCTTAAATTCGTTTTAAGAAGATTATTCGACATTTTTTCGCGTTGACCAGTCGATTGTTTTATCAAGTTTCATCTTCGTTCAACATCAAAACCCATTCGAACTACAGTATTTGTCTTTCGTCCTTTGTTGTGTATTATTAGAGTAAGTTCTGATATTTGTAAAACCAAATTTACTATTAAACATAAATTATTTCGAAGTTCGAAACATTTTTAAAATTTAATTTTTTTGATTGTTTTAGATAACCAATGGCGTTAGGTCAACAATTGGCAGCATTGCTGATCAAGGACCTCAAGATCACATTACGGAGTAAGAAAAGATTCTTCCTCGAAATCTTGTTTCCGTGCTACACCCTGACGTTCGTGTTATACAACTTTCAAAGTGAGAGGAAGCCACAATTGATAGAAGCCAATTTCTTTATGATTTTTGGAAATTGGTTGCCAGAGTTGCAAGTGGAGTAAGTTACGTTTTGAACATATTTTCGCCTTTGGTTTGGCTTTAGCACAGGTTTTGGTCTTGACTTTGGCCCTTGGCTTTGGCCCTTGGCTTTGGCCCTTGGCTTTGGCCCTTGGCTTTGGCCCTTGACTTTGACCCTGACTTCAGCCCTAGTTTTAGCATTGGCTTTGGCCTTGCCGTTAATCCTGGCTTTAGTCTTGACTTTGTCCTTTGCCATTGCTTTGGTCCTAGCTTTAGCCCTTGCCTTAGCTCTGGCCCTAGCCCTATGTCGTCTATAAAAACTTTTCCCGTCTTAAATTTTTAAAATATTTTAGAAACCTGACCAATGAACAATTTCGACAACTCCAGGATGCTGCCAATGCCATGAACAACACTTTCCAGCCTCGGCCTTACAACACCGTCTCACCGTTGGTGATTAGATTCGAAAAGTTCTCTCCACAAACCAACCAATTTTCGTATTTTATCGTCGAAACGAAGCGCAAAATGGCCTTGTACGACGCTAATGTTGGATGGATATTCAACCAACCGTACAAGACGCGCTACATATATGATCATGATCAATTTAGTATGGGACTCCACTCTTTTGCGGTAGTTCAGTACAATGTAAACGAGGTTCTAATGAGTTTAACCGGGAGAAATACAAGTGCGAATAAGGTGAGGGATTCAAAATGTTATGGCATTTTGGTTTTATACAAAGGCTAGAAAGTTTGTTTTAAGTCGGGGGGGGGGGAGGAGAGTGGAAAGAAGAAGAGAGAAGGGGAGGAATAAGAAGCGGAAAAAATTAGAAAAAACTTTGAACAACAGGTAGGGATACTCAAAAAAAATTTTTTTTGAAGGTACAGGCAAAGTATTATCTAAAAAGTCTCTTCCTCCCCCTCCTTCACGTTGAGTTGCCTCGCTTCCTTCTCTTTTTCCCAAATCAAAATTGTCTGCCTATGGGTATAAAGTGATTAGTAGTCTTTGCTCAAATCATTTCACTATGTAATCTTTCAGCCCGTGTTCAATTTCCTGCCACAAGCAACTTTTATTCACAACTACTTTAATGTATTCTGTCTGAAATGTTACAAACACATGGCAATTACGAGTTTGGCTCCCATGGCCATCATCATCAAAGATCTGATTTCGGAGACCGAGAATGACATCAAGGTGGGTTTGAACAAATCAATTTTCAAAATTTTAAATTGCACTGGTTTTAAAAACTTGTGATAAATTTTGAAACATTTTTCAAATTCAAAAATTTTTAGTTTTTTTATTTTAAAAATTTTTTAATTTAAAATTTTCAGAATTACATGTTGATAACTGGCATGACTCGCTACAGCTTCTACTTCTCTCACTACCTATTTGGATTTGGGAAAATGCTTTTGGTTATGTTTATTACTTTGTTATTGTGATCTTAAAGGTACGACAAGATGGTTATTAAATGGTCTTTCAGCCTTATCCTAAAAGTTAGCTCGAGACTTTGTGTTAGCCTTAGCCTGGATCTCAGCTGTAGCCATAGTCTAGAGTCGCCCAGAACCTTGTATCTGGCCCTAGTCTACTAATTTTGAGTTTATTTGTCCATTTTTGGTTCAAACTGTTTCTGTTGATGCTTTTGGCTACAATACTATTTGTGGCATGGTGTGTAGCCTTCGCTCTCTTATGTGGTACGGTATTCAAAACGCTGGCAATCTGCGCCAGTATTGTTGGGATGCTTGTGTTGATGATATTGTCTTACCTAACCAGCATTGACCTCTTCAACATTCCTTTGAACTGTTTGGCTTGTTTGAATCCGGTTTACGCTATGACACTGATCATGGACAACATTCACACGTATCAATTCTACCGTAAGTTTTAAAGTTTATTTTGGATTTAATGTTATCAAGGCTTAGCGACTTTACTAGCGAATTGCATTACATATCTTTTGGCTTTTAAAACGAGACCTATATAAGATAAAAGGGTGTAAGAAGTTACCGGGAAAGCTGTTTTCAAAAATTGCTAAACGGCCTTGGCTAACGAGTTACAGTATACTTGATATTGTTTTATGTTTAAAAGGTATAGCTTTAAAGTTCAAAGAATTATAAATTTTAAAAAGTATTTTTTTAAAAGCTGGCCAACTAAAACAATATCTCTCTCCACTGGTATTGATTATTAGAACTTAACATTTAGCTATTCCAATGCACGCGGCCGAACGCTTCTTTTCGAGTTTTCATATCCTCATGCTTTGATTAGTCTCGGGATTGGCACTTGCATACTGATAACTTTGACATTCATTCTGGAGAGCGTATTGCCTCGGATGGGTAATGCGTCGATGAATTGTCTTGTCGGAGTGAAAGACAAAATGAAAGAAAGTGAAAAGGAATCGATGAAGTTAGACCCGGAAGACTTTGAAGTTGTTGACCATCATGCTGAAGTTGATGTTGATGTAAGTGTCTTTTTTAATTGTTATCTGACTATGCTTAAGGAGAGGGTTTAGAGAATAGGAGGGAAGCGAGAAAGGTAGGGGGTAGAAAGCGGTTACTTCAATGCCTTTCACTTCCAGGTTGTTGAACTGAAGAAACGTTGGGGATACGGTGAATGTGCTGTGAATGGAGCCACTTTCCAAGCCTACCGTGGAGACATTACAGCTTTATTGGGACACAATGGAGCTGGCAAATCGACCACGTTTTCCTGTTTGACTGGATTCACTACACCAACATCTGATGATATTACCGTAAGCGTTTTACCTAGTTTAGCTGGCTTTGGTATGAGTAACTATGGACTGTTTTACTTTATGATTTCATTTACGGCTTTTCAGTTTAATGCATCTTAGCAAATAAGTAGAGGCCTAAAAAGGTAAGTCTAGTCGCATAAGTCTATGAGGAAGCGTAGACCTAACTCTGAGTGGCTAAGCATAATTGGTCACGACTATATCCAAGCCTATGCTGAACCTGTCAAAGTTTAAGCTTGACAAGTAAACCGGAAAGCTAGGCAGAGTAAGCCTTTTGTCAGGTATACTGACGGCTAAAACTTGTATCAAGTTTGAATAGCTTATAATAAGCCTAAGGTTGATTGGCTACTTTTAATCGGGTTCAGCTTAAGTTTTAGCGGTTTAGGCTAAGCCTAAGCCGCCGTGAATGGCCAAGTTGAAACTTGAGTGGCTACGCTGAAGTGGGCTACGTTTGATAATAAGCTCAAATGAGTTAAGCCTAAGACGAAGCAGCTAAGCCTAAGCCAAAACCTTGCTAACTAAAAAAATTTTTTTTGATTTTTGTCTTCCCCCCCCCCTTCTTTTTTTTCACCTAGCTTTAACACAATGTATTCTTTAATTTATGCTGAGAGTTTAGTCGATTTCAGATTTGTGGGATGAAAGTGGACTCCAACTTGAACGATATCAGACAGATTATTGGCTATTGCCCCCAAGGAAACCCACTCTTTGACAAACTGACCTGTATGGATCATATCAGATTGGCAACACGGTTGAGATTGTCATACTGTGGAGCCGAAGACTGTCACGAAGCCTTAAGACAAGTCGGCCTGGATGAAGCGGCTAATGTTGTTAGTCTTCTGAAATTTAAAATTAAAAAAAATTTTTTAAGTAAACATGTAGTGTTTTGTTCAAATTAATGTATATATTGTCTTAGCTAAAAATAAGAAGTATTGTTTTAGCTGGCCGAGAAGCTGAGTGGTGGGATGAAGAGAAAGTTGTGTGTAGCGATGGCATTGGCCGGTAACAGTCAAGCGGTTTTGTTGGACGAACCCACAGCTGGAATGGATCCAACGGCTCGAAAACAGATTGGCCAAATTCTGGAAGGAGCTAAAGACAATAGCTAATACTGATTTGGTTATTCTAGGGCTGAAGCTTTAAGCTAAAGCTCTGGACTAGGGCTTTGGGCTAGGACTAAGAAATTATAAATTGTTTTGTAATCTGTATTTGTGTGGTACTATCATATTGTAAATGACCAAATGTTTATGCAGAACAATCATTGTCACAACGCATTACATGGACGAAGCCGACCTACTATCCGATCGTATCTTGATCATGGTGAAAGGCAAAGTAATTTGTGCCGGATCATCAAATTTTCTCAAAAACCGCTTTGGCACCGGCTTCTTGCTTACGATCACTCTGAAACCCACCGTGAACGTTGCGGAAGCAGCGGCGAAATCTTTGAGAATCATTCGACGCTTGGTCGACGACGCGCAGTTAGATGCCAACCCAACGGCCCAGATCACCGTAAACCTACCGTATAGTGCGAAAGACAAGTTTGTAACGATTTTCAAGGAATTGGAACAGAAGCAGGAGGAGGTGGGGATCGATGCATTCGGACTGTCAGTCAACACATTGGAACAAGTGTTTATCAGTGTGGGGGAGAAGGCGGAGAAGCGGCCGAGCAGGAGGATCACGGAGAAGATCGAGAAAGATGCCAACTTGATCAATGAACAAGATGGTAAGTTTTAGATTCTGAGTTTGGGTTGGTGCTGGGAAGGCAGTTTTGGCAATGAAAGGGCATAAGTGAAGATCAAAACAGACTTGTTTTTAGATGACAGACAGCCCACAGTTGCGAAAAACGTTGCCGCGCTTATGATAAGAAACTACATCTACATGTATCGGGATTGGTCGAGGACATTGGCACCGTTCTTGGCCGTTCTATTAAGTCTTGTCGCAAATTGGCTGAAGAATCAAGATGGAGGTGGCGTTTTCGATGTATCAGATGATAAGTTTTGAAGTGACATACAAACAGTAAGGAGAAAAAGTTTGGTTACTTTTTCCCAAATGAAACAAAACTGTTTTAGGCACCCTCTCCCTTCATTATATCAAAAAAAATTTTTTCCCCTCCTCCCCTACTTTTTTTCGGTTATGCAAATTTATTTTCAGAATCAAAATCGATTGTTTCATTGTCCGAAGTGCCAAAGTCAATGGTGATTGTGAGTTCGAATCTGTCAAGTCGAGTCAAGACCCTCTTCAACAAGGCATCTGACCATTTTGAGTTTATGGAAAGAGAATACCACGATTACGTGACCAACTTCGGCTACAGCCAGTTCGACTACCCTCCCAAGTCTTTTGGCGCCTTTGATAACTCGGGGGAGATTGTGGTGCTGTCCAGCCTCTACCTGCATCAGAACATCATGCTGGCTATAAACATCTATTACAACTTCATGTTTGGAGACGATTCAATGGGTAGGGTTGGGTAGGGTAGAGTAGGGTAGGGTAGGGTAGGGTAGGGTAGGGTAGGTTAGGGTAGGGTAGGGTAGGGTAGGGTAGGGTAGGGTAGGGTAGGGTAGGGTAGGGTAGGGTAGGGTAGGATAGGGTAGGGTAGAGTAGGGTAGGGTAGGGTAGGGTAGGGTAGGGTAGGGTAGGGTAGGGTAGGGTAGGGTAGGGTAGGGTAGGGTAGGGTAGGGTAGGGTAGGGTAGGGTAGGGTAGGGTAGGGTAGGGTAGGGTAGGGTAGGGTAGGGTAAAATCGCTTGCTCGTGATAGTCAACGTTGTTTGCTTCAGATCATATACGTACTGGATACATCTCAGCAGCGGGCGTGACAAAAATTAGCCTTGGGAAGAGCTACCAAATCTATACCACGTACCTTGAATGTATTGTCACTACATTTGGGATTGGTTTTGGATTGCCAATGATTCTGTCTTCTGTTATTGTGGAAAGAGTCAGAAAGTTCAAACATCAGGTAAGCATGGGTAACGTGGTATTGTGCTGGTATCTTGAGGGGGAAATTTTTGTATATAAGGCCATTCTTTCTTATTGTTGTTACACTAACATGATACTTTTTCTCTGATATTGGTAGTTACAGTATGATTGTTTTTAGATCTACCTCGCTTCAGCCAAAACTTTGGTCTACTGGTCGGCTCAGACCCTAACTGATTTCACATTGTTCGTCGTGATAGTGACATTTTCGCTAGGATGCTATCTGCTGACAAACCCTCTCTTACCTACATGTGCTGTTGGAATTGTACCGTACTACGTACTGTACTTTTGTGCCGGGTCATTCTTAAGCTACACTCTGAGCTTTGGATTCGATTCTACAACGAAAGCCTCGGTAATCATCGTGGCATGTCACACATTGGTGCCATTCTCGCTGTATTCTTTAATTGAGATGACGAGTCAACAGGCTTTGCCCGGGTACAACATGACAGACAAAGCAAACTATTTCCAGGTAAGTCCTCCTACCTTCTACTCCCCGATCTCCCCGCCCCCACCTTCCTCCTTTTTCTTTAACCCCAGCTTTAACCTTAGCCTAAAGCCTTAGTTTTAGTAATAGCTATGGTCCTAGCTATAACCATACAATGCCCCCAAATGACCCGTCTTTTAAATTTAGGCTTACTTTACACTTTCAGTTTGCTTTTACCGTGGTATCCCCTACCGTTGGTCTATTTTCTGCTCAACGCACATTGGTCTCTATGTGTGGTGCAACAAATGGCTGGGCTGGTTCAATGTACACAGACTTGCCTCAAACAGCTCGAGTTTTGGGTTCTTTGTTCGCCAGCTTCGTGTTTTATCTGACACTTTTGGTTTTGATTGAGAAGAAGGTGTTCAGATTTAATTAGAGGAAGCCGGTGCAAGTTGTGAGTTTGATTTTATTGTGTAAGGTGAGGGTAGACTAGGTATGGATTTTGTCCGAAAGACAAGTTTAGCGTAGACCCTTACTTACCCTATTCTACCTTATGCTACCCTTCCCTAACTTACGCGACCTTGTCTTACCATTCTTTGCCTTGCTTTGCTCTATCTCACTTTACGCTACCTTTTCTTGCTCTTTCTTACCCTTCTCTGGCTCTGCTTTATACTACTCTACCCGGTCTTACCCTTTATTGCTTTTTGTTAATCGACTCACATTGCTCTCTGCTCTGCTCTGCTCTGCTCTGCTCTGCTCTGCTCTGCTCTGCTCTGCTCTGCTCTGCTCTGCTCTGCTCTGCTCTGCTCTGCTCTGCTCTGCTCTGCTCTGCTCTGCTCTGCTCTGCTCTGCTCTGCTCTGCTCTGCTCTGCTCTGCTCTGCTCTGCTCTGCTCTGCTCTGCTCTGCTCTGCTCTGCTCTGCTCTGCTCTGCTCTGCTCTGCTCTGCTCTGCTCTGCTCTGCTCTGCTCTGCTCTGCTCTGCTCTGCTCTGCTCTGCTCTGCTCTGCTCTGCTCTGCTCTGCTCTGCTCTATTCTGACTTTAGTTTGACCATTGTAATGTACATTTTTTAGGTCGATGAAGCTCAGGAGGACGTTGATGTTGCACAAGAACGTGAACGAATCAATGGACTGTCGGATGATGAGTTGGCATTGGCTGTCCGGAACCTATCCAAGCATTACGGTAGGAAGTGGGCGGTGCAAGGGCTCACTTTCGGAATGAATTCGAACGAATGTTTCGGACTGTTAGGTAAGATGGGATTAAACTCTTTCTCTACCTACCCTACTTGAGCTGTGATGGGGAGAGGGACTATCTTAATCTCCAATCCGCCTCTCTTCTACGACAGTCTAATCAAGTCGAGAAGCTCAATAAGAGAACGTCAATTTTAGGTGCGAATGGTGCTGGTAAAACCACCACTTTTGACGTGCTGACAAACCAAATACGCTCCTCGGACGGAACAGCTGCCATATTGGGTGTGTCAGTCGTGTCTATCCCCACCATCGGCTATTGTCCTCAATTCGACGCTCTACCCGACAATCTGACTGGTCGACAGACCCTCATCTTGTTGGGCAGGTTGAATGGCTTTAAAAATGTCAAAGACAGAGTCGAGTTAGTGCTGGAATGTGTGTTGCTAGCCGAAATGGCAGACGAGCTGATCCGAACTTATAGCGGCGGTCAGAAGCGGCGCTTATCAATCGCTGTCTGTCTTATGTCTGGCTCCCGATTCCAGGCATTGGACGAGCCGACAGCCGGCGTGGACCCGGCGACACGACGTCACATCTGGGACTTGTTGATAGCGATGCGAACCCAGAACAAGGCCGTTCTACTCACGACCCACTCGATGGAAGAGTGCGAAGCGTTGTGCACCAGGATCGGCTTTCTACGTGCCGGTCGACTACGAGGCATTGGTACTAGTCAGCACCTAAAGAGTCGGTACGGCAACTCGTACGTACTGACAATCGTACTCAAGAGCACGAGGAAGGAGGACGTCGAGTACGTGAATAAGGTCGTTTCCAAAGCGTTCGAAATCCCGCTGACCGCTGATCTGGACCACAAATCGATTAGTTTTGAGATTCCAAAGAGGTCGGACGTCTCATGGAGTGGAATGTACGAGAAGGTGGAGAGGGTGGTCAGTGAGGTCGATTCTCAAGGAAAATCAAAAACGGCTTCAAACGAGTTAGAAGAGCGTAAAGAAGGTTCAAATGAGAATGATTTGTCCAAAGAAGTACCAAAAGAAACAGGTCAACATAGAGAAGTATCAAAAGAGGAACAGATTATATCAGATTTTTATCTGGTCCAAAACTCTCTGGAACAAGTTTTTACTCGACTGGCTGCTGCACAATGAACTTTTATAAAGCTCTATTGTTAATACGTACAGACCTTAAAAGAGTAGTGATAAAATGATAAGTAACAGGAAGTATTCTTTATCAACTGTACACGCCTTTTTCCTAACGTATTATATATAAAATTGCTTGTTTTAGTCTAGAACTAACATAAAACGTCTTATTTGGAAAATAAATGAAAACAGCAACGGTTTTTCTTGTTCTTACAAAGCTAATTACTACGGTAGAATACGACCAAAGTAAGATTTTTAAATCTATTTTGTTCTTGCCTTGCCTTGCCTTGCCTTGCCTTGCCTTGCCTTGCCTTGCCTTGCCTTGCCTTGCCTTGCCTTGCCTTGCCTTGCCTTGCCTTGCCTTGCCTTACCTTGCCTTGTCCTACTCTACTTTGTCATAACATTTATCATTCTACGTTACCTTACCCTACAATACCGTACTTTACTCTATTCCACTTTCTGGAAACATACCTTATCCTACGTTGCCTTAAATTATCCTCACCGTATCTTACTATACCATTTGCAACTAATTAAAGAAATGTGTTTTAGAAGCAAGTAAAGTCACTCTATCAATTGGTAATGTGGCCAAGACTAAGGTACCGTTCTACTTGAGTATAGTGCTAGATGAAATTATTGTATTTGGGAAAGAATGTGAAGAACCAGGGAGTTGAATCATTGGCAATCCAAAACCAATCCCAAATGTAGTGACAATACATTCAAGGTACGTGGTATAGATTTGGTAGCTCTTCCCAAGGCTAATTTTTGTCACGCCCGCTGCTGAGATGTATCCAGTACGTATATGATCTGAAGCAAACAACGTTGACTATCACGAGCAAGCGATTTTACCCTACCCTACCCTACCCTACCCTACCCTACGCGACCCTACAGTAGCAGTGTGAACAAAGTGGCTCGGCCCACTGTCTAGATCGCGAAGCGATCAGACTTTACACTCAGTTTTTTGGAACGGGACGACCCAGCAAGAGGTCGTCCCTAAATCTCAAGCCATCTAACAAGGCAGCCTGGCAGTAGGCTGTCTTGTATCATCAATGTCTTATCCCATATATGCATGTTATATGAAAGATAAATAAATAGTTTGGGCCCTATAATTTAGGAATATATTTATGTAATTTATAAAATTGCAATTCTACCCTACCCTACCCTACCCTACCCTACTTTACTCTACGTTACCCTCCTCAACCACTAGTACGTATATTATGACAGCATTTTTTTAGCCGTGACAATGTTTCACTAGAGCAAGGTGAAAACAAAATCAACTGGTTCAGGACAAAACTTGCCAGAAGGGTTGTCATTAATGTTTGTTTTTTTTTATTTTTTTCATTTCCAGTTCTGGCTAGAGTAAGGCAATTGAATTTTAATTGTAGGGTGGTAACAGAACGTCAAAGCACGATGTCAGTGTTATCTTTAATGTCACCGTCGATTATGCCAAACACACTAACTTTGAATATGATGCAATCCTTGGTGTCAAACCTGGCAAAGACACGGCATTCGACAAGCTAGTTTCGGTTTATGACAAGAATGACCAGTATTTGCTTTTGGTACCAGCAATGATAAATGTATGTACGTAGGGTAGGGAATTATGGGGTGGAGGCGGACAAAGATTCGACAAAGATAAGACCATATATGCCATTTCAGGATGACACCAGCAAAGCCAAAGCCTTTTTGGGCGAAGAACCAAGCAACGTTTGTGGTGAATTCAATCTTGTCGATTCGAATTCGAACGTTTGGACAAATGACTATGTGTAGGTTACTATTCCTAATATAATACTATACTCAGGGTAACGTAGGGTAGATCTGGTTATATCTCAAGTCATATAACCCATTTCCAGCCGCAAGGTCCATAACGTGAACATCACGTTCAAAGTTACTCCATCGTTCGACTCACATTTCATTGTCAGTTCGAAAGGCATCTCTTTGCTGGGAGACCACTTAATTACCAAAAAACAATACCGTAATCTTCGAAAATTCAACGTTTCTTACGGTGGCGTTGACTTGGAAATTAATCCCCAGGATGCTTACAAGCATATAACTCAATATTATGGTCTTGATGCCTTCGTACATGACGACTGTGGGTTTGACTTGGGATTGCCAAACCATGTTTTCGAAAAACATTGCATCAAAATGGCAAAAGACGGCAAGAAATACAAGATTGGCTTGGCTGAACGAAAACAAGGATAATATAAGTAATTTGTAGCTTTTCGGTATAGTAATTAAAAATGACATAAACTTAAAAATAAAGGCTTTTTAGATGGCAAACCTCGTTTTTACTACCCTACACTACCTTGTCTCAAAATGTCCACCCCCAAGTTTATCCTCCCCCAAAGTTCCTGATCCCCCTTGCCCTACTCTACTTTACCTTACTTCGCCCTACCCTACCCTACCCTACCCTACCCTACCTTACCCTACTCTACCTTATCGTACCCTATTTTAACCTACCCTACTATATTTACAGTACTACATTTAACCTTACAATACCCTACCCACCCTATCCTACCCTATTCCACCCTACCCTACTTTATCTACTGTACTACACTTGATCTTACTGTACCCTAAATAACCTTTCTGTGCCTTACTTTATCTTACTGACCTCTACCCTAAGGTTATAATTCTAATACATGAAAAGTCAAGAAGCTGTTAAAGACAACAGAAAACAAAGCTATTATATATCTTTAAAGGTCGAAATAAAGACTTTAAAACAAGAAACATGCTTCAGAACAAGAAGTAAAGCGTTTAAAACAAGTTAAACTTAAGATACTTATCAAAAAGCGGCCAAAATTACAAAAAAATATTAAAAAATCATAACAAAACTATCAAAAACCTTTTAAAAACCTTGAGTTTAAGTATTCTTAGCCCCAAATTTATAGAAAAAGGAAGATTTTAAACTCATTTCCAGTAAGATCTCCTCGTATAATACGAAAAACATAGCTGAAATATAAAATATAAGCAATAAATATCAAAAAAATCAGTTGACAATGAAAAAAAAATATTTAAAAAGCCCAAAATAAATCAAATTTTTAATCCAAAAAAAGAAAAATCAATCAATCGGCCATTACTTCTTCTTCTACTTCTTTTCCTCTTTCTTCTCATCTTTCTTCTCTTCCTTCTTCTCATCTTTCTTTTCATCCTTCTTTTCTTCCTTCTTTTCTTCTTTCTTCTCCTCTTTCTTTTCTTCCTTCTTTTCCTCCTTCTTTTCCTCCTTCTTTTCCTCCTTCTTCTCTTCCTTCTTTTCTTCTTTCTTTCCTTCCTTTTTATCTTCTTTCTTCTCTTCTTTCTTTTCCTCTTTCTTTTCGTCTTTCTTACCTTCTTCTTTCTTCTCTTCTTTCTTCTCTTCCTTCTTTTCTTCCTTCTTCTCTTCCTTCTTCTCCTCTTTCTTTGCCTCCTCCTTTTTCGGCGTGGCTGGGGTTTGCATCATGGACTGGGTGGGACCGGCGCCAGGTCCTTTCTCGCCCACCTTCCACTCGCTTCCGTCCGTCTTGTGGAAGACGCACGGTAGTCGAAGCACACCGTCCGGCTTGGATTGTGGCGCCCAAACCGTGCGCGGCGGTTTCTTCTCGTCCGACGGCATATGGTAAACGGCAAAAAAGTGTCGACCAGTCGGTGGGATCTCCTTCAGCAGGCTGGTCACGCGGATCTTCATCGACTGTTTGTCATCAATGTAGCCCAGTGGTGGGCGGACGCGGAACGCCTCGTTTGATGTGCATTTGACCTGCAAGAATGGGGGTTGTAAACAAAGTTCTTGCAATTTTTAAAAATCAATTTGCAAAAAAAGTTCTTGCAGTTTTCAAAAAAAATGTAAACAAAGTTCTTGCTGTTTTTGAAAAATCAATTTGTAAAGAAAGTTCTTGCAATCATCAAAAAAACTTACCTTGAAGGCCTGTCGCTTGCCCGTGTTGTTGGTGACGGTCCATTCACAATGGGTGGCTTCATTAAGAAGTTTGTCGCTTTTGAAGTCGACAGCTTTCAAGGGCTCCAGCTTCAGCCTAAACTCTGGTTCATTGGGTTTGTTTGCAAGGGGGCCCGCTGAAAAAAAAGTGGTATCATTAGCTTTAAGAATTAGACTTAAATATTAGTTTTAAAGACCAAAAAACTTGGCTTAAAATGGAATTTTAAGCCTCAAAATAAAGCTTAAAAATCGAATTTTAGTCCTAAAAATAAAGCTTCAAAATCAGATTTTAAGCTTCAAAATTAAGCTTAAAAACACAGATTTTAGTTCAGCTTTCTAAACTTAAAAATCCGACATTAGACTAACATTAACTTACGTAAACCGTCGTCTGGCTTCTTCGCGTCCGCCATTTTTACGGGTCAGAACTGAAAAAATTCATCAAAAAAAATTCAAAATCTACTCCAAAAGTCACCCCGCCTTACCTCGGTAGTCTATACTTACCACGGCAGGTTCAAAATGAATATCCGCTTGATTCACGGTCACAGTAGCTTCTGATTCACACAAATTTGAACCAGAGTCGCGGTAAACTCGACTACCCACCCGTACGGCTCCAGAACAAAATGAAAAGTGTTTTGGAACGTATCGAATTCAGATGTGAAAGAGATTCGTCGAGAAATGGCAAAAAATTTGCATAATTGCGTAATTTTGAAATATTTTAGCTAAATTTTCAAAATTTCGAAAAAAAATTTTTAAAAAATTAGAAAAATAATTAAATTATAACCACGAAAATCATTTTGTAAAATTTTATCAGTAAAAATATCAGTAACAAATATACATACTGTTATTTATATATACTCTAGTCAGGTTTCAACTGAATATCAGTTACTCGTCCGTCTTCTGCTGCTTCTTCTGATAGTCCTTCAGCGCCGCTTGAATGGCATCGTGAGCCAACACTGAAAGAAGTCATAATTTGTATCAAAAAGCTAACAAAAACTGATGAAAATTAAAAAGTGGCATGTTAAACAGATATTCCACTGTCCAAAGCCTTTTAAACCGATATCATACGTGACAAAACCCTTAAAACAGGTAACCAATGTCATAAAAAAACGTACCAAACCGTAAACTACAACTGAAAATCAAAAACTTACTCGAACAATGAAGTTTGACAGGAGGCAAGCACAATTCCTTAGCGATATCGTCGTTCTTCACCTTTTCGGCAAAGGTAATCTTCTTTCCTTTGATCCATTCGGTTGCTAAGGAAGAACTAGCAATCGCTGAGCCACAACCAAACGTTTTGAACTTGGCATCAATGATGTTGCCGTTGTCGTCAACCTGAAAACCATGTAAATTAGCAAAAATGTTATATTAGCCATGAAAGTTGACGCAAAAATAATTGTATCAAGTTCTAGAAGTAACAAAACTTTGTAAAATCAACACAAAATATATTACTCATAAACATTCTTTTAACATTTAGCATTCATTACTCGATATTTCCAACAAGCGGCAACAACAATGCTAATTTAAGCACCAAGAGCGTTCATGAATAATATAAAACAGTCCATTCTCCAAACAGTATTGGTCTAAATTCATAAAAACTAAATTAAAAACATACCCTGATCTGTAGTTTCATCACATCTCCACAAGCCGGAGCTCCAACAATGCCAGTACCAACTGTGGGATCATTCTTGTCCATACTACCAACATTCCGTGGATTTTCGTAGTGATCAATCACTTTTTCATGATAAAAACGAACTGTAGGTGCTGAGGAAGCCAACGGCGTTCTCAACAAGTTTGCACCAATCCGAGAAATCATTTTTCAACTTCTAAAATTGCTTATTTAACTTATGGCATCAAGAAAGAAGGGTAATATAGCGGTTGTAATGTAAAATAGAGAAATAATGTCACAAGTAACATCAAAATCAATGATATTTCACGCAAAACCACGAAATAACAAACTCAAGACAAGTAAAACAGAGATCATAGGGAAAGAAACGGAGTTTGTTTACTACAAAATAGAAAAAATAAAAAGAATTTCTCAACTGCGACGGAATGCCAAGAAGCTGTTTCGTTGCGAAATTCGCGCGCTTTCCAAACAGAATTTTAGTTTTTTGATTATTTTAGGTATAAAATACAATGATAAGATTAAAAATAGTTAGAGTAAAACTTTCTTTTTCAGTTTTAGATATTTTTATTGAAATTTGCGTTAAATTTCACAAATTTTAATCTAAAAACGTCAAATTTCAAGTTGAAAACTTCAAAAATCTCGGTTCATTTATTTCCTAAAACCAGCATATTCCTAAATCAATGTCAACATCCCAATCAACGTTGAACTCTGTTAACAAGCGGTGGCATGCCCGGATTGGGTGGGGCGGGTGATCCCATGGGCGGGGTTTGCAGTGGTACTCCATAAGGTGGTACCGCTCCTGGCGGTGGACCGAGTTGTGGTTGTTGTCCCGGTTGTACGAAGCCTTGTCCCAGGACACCAGTCTGTACGCCGGCTACAAATTGTGGTGTGGGTGGCATTGCTCCTGGCGATGCTGGTCTTGGTGGTACACCTCCAAAAGCTGGGTCTCCTACCATTGGTGATGGTCCGCCTGGCACTGGTCCTCCTGGCACTAGTCCGCCTGGTACTGGACCGCCTGGTACTGATCCGCCTTGTACTGGTCCGCCTGGTATTGGTCCACCGGGTACTTGTCCGCCTGGTGGTTGAGCGGCCGGAGCGCCGGCTGTGGCCGCGTGGGCTGATTGCTTGGCCGCTTGTTTGGCCGCGTCCGACTCCGCAGTGGTCTCATACTCTTTGATGAAACGTTGGACGTACTGGAATTGGAAAGTAATGTAAGTTCCTTATATAATACAACAATTTTCGTAAAGTTAAGTTCATCTTACCTTACCGTATGTTATCTTATCGTGCTATACCTTACCGTAAGCTACCTTACCGTTCTCTACCGTACTGTACTTTATCCTACCTTACCCTACCCTACCCAAAACTACAGTAACCCTTACCGGCTTCAAGTTTTCAATTTTTCCACTGATAATGTCCTCTTGCTCGGCCAACCCAATCATCACTCTATAGACAAACACCAGCTGTGTAGCTGTTTGTACACAGTGCATTCGCATAGCTAAAAGTGCAATTTTTAAAAATTCAAAAAGATTTCAACTTTCAAAAATTTTCTAATAACCCACCCCTCAAATTCTTGACCACATCCACCACATTCAGCTTGATGGTCGACGTCATCAAGTGTTGATAGCACATTTCAATGGCCAAGAACGCGCCAGTTCTACCAATTCCAGCCGAGCAATGGACAACACTTGGCCTGCTTGTACACGACCTGGCCACCTTTAGTAGTTCCAACGGCTTCATGACCTGACGTGGCACGTCGTGATCTGGCCAACCGTGCCATTGAACGTGCTGACATTGGAGGACGGGTTGGCCATTTACCGAGACGCTTAAAGCCGTGTATTCAGTGTTACCGTCCATTCGAGATTCTCCATTGGTTATCATGTATTCTAGAGAAATGGGTTAGTATGGTGAAGATGGGTCAAAACTTTGTTTACAAAAATTGAAATGGCAAGAACTTTCTTTACAAAGGTTAAAATCACAAGAACTTTTTTTACAAGTCACAAACGGCAAGAACTTTCTTTACAAAATACAAAATGGCAAAAACTTTCTTTACAAAACATGAAATGGCAAGAACTTTCCTTACAAATCATAAAATGGCAAGAAATTTCTTTACAAAACTAGAAACGGCAATAACTTTCTTTCCACATTTCCTAAACCTTATAAAGCCTTACCACCAACCGCAAGAGTTCCTTTAGGATCTGGTGACCAATATCGTTGACACTTTTGTTTGCCATCTTCAATACATTCACACAACATGAAGATGTAGCCCACGTTTTCTTGGACACACATTCTCCAGAACTCGACTACAGTATTCGATAGAGGGCCTTGAGTAGCAATGAATCGATTTTTGAAAGGATCTCCGCCAACAAAATTGGCATGGATGTAGCTGCCATCACGGAGAACAACACGGGTTGCGTCGGCACAGGTCACATCTGAAATGGCATTTAAATTTTATTTACACTATCCTACCCTACCCTACCCTACCCTACCCTACCCTACCCTACCCTACCCTACCCTACCCTACCTGCCCTACCTGCCCTACCCTACCCTACCCTACCCTACCCTACCTACCTTTCCCTCCACTCAACCTTAACGTAACTTACCCTTATAAAATCCACTATACCCTCCATATATCCTACGATACCCTATCTTACCCATGCCTTAAAAATATCAAGAAAACCAAAAAAGAAACCTTAACCTACCTTTATACCTATTCTTGTCCATGTGCAGATTGAACTCGTTGCTAGTGTGAGTCTTGGGAATGTAGATCTTCAGCTCTTCGAACTGATTAAAGATACCATGCACGCCCAAAGTAACCGTATCCCTGACAAACTCTCCAAATAAATATTTTTGTTGCTCAGTAAAGTTGCATTCGCCTTGGGTTGCGGGCGGAGCTGCGGCTGGAGTGGGTTTGCTCATCAAACTTGGACCATCGTTGGCTTGTTCTTCGCATGTTGCTTCGACTGAAAGCGGTAGTGATTGTTTGATGGTCATAGTAATAACTTTTGTTTGGGTTTATTAAATGGCAAGAACTTTCTTTACAAAACATGAAATGGCAAGAACTTTCTTTACAAAACATGAAATGGCAAGAACTTTCTTTACAAGGAATAAAATGGCAAGAACTTTCTTTACAAAACATGAAATGGCAAGAACTTTCTTTACAAAACATGAAATGGCAAGAACTTTCTTTACAAGGAATAAAATGGCAAGAACTTTCTTTACAAAACATGAAATGGAAAGAACTTTCTTTGCAAAACATAAAATGGCAAAAACTTTCTTTACAAATCAAAAAATAGCAAGAACTTTCTTTACAGAACGTAAAACGCTATAAAATCTGCAAATAAAACTTCAAAAGCCCAAAAAATTACAGTAACCCACCGACAGTAGCCTGCGCTTTCTTCTTGCCCTTGGTCGTCTTCTTGGCCTGCTTCTTGGCGGGGGCGGCTTTCTCCGGGTTGGGCACGGACCCCATCACCGACTTTTGCTTCTCATTGGTCTCGACCGTCTCTTCGCGCGTCGCTCCGCCCTTTTTCTTCTTCTTCTGGATCGAAGTCTTCTTCTTCGGCGGCATCGTTCCGCGGCCGTTCCACGTCGCTCAAAATGAGAGAAATGAGTTGTAAATGGGTTCGACCGGTCGAGAAGGCAATTGTCGGCGTTTAGAACTTTAAAAAAATTTTTTTTAAATAATTTTAAAAAAATTAAATTTCAAAGTTTTAAATTTCAAAAATTTTTTTTAATTTTAAAAATTTCAAAAAGTCACTTTTAGGTATAAATAAAATTTATTCTATAATCTACAGTAAAATACACAGGACCAGTCTATTGATATAACAATGGTTAGGTTTATTTGCCGAGCTCGGCCGTCATTTCGGGTACGGCCTTGAACAGATCAGCCTCGAGGCCAAAGTCGGCGACCTGGAAGATGGGGGCCTCCTTGTCCTTGTTGATGGCCACAATCACTTTCGAGTCTTTCATGCCGGCCAAATGTTGGATGGCGCCGGAAATACCGACGGCAATGTAGAGCTCCTGAAATTTTTGGTACTTTAGTTATGAACTGCATCTTTTAGGTGTAAAACAATATAAACTATGTCTTTTCTAACCTAAAACAATATGAAACATCAGACTTTTACCTAAAAAAAACCCTTTGATCTTAATAAACCATGCCTTTTGTAATCTAAAACAATATAAACCAACCCTCAAATCCCCCAAAAAACCTACAGGAGCAACGATCTTTCCAGTCTGTCCAACCTGCATATCATTAGGTACGTAGCCAGCATCAACGGCCGCTCTCGAAGCTCCGACAGCAGCTCCAAGTTTGTCGGCCAGCTCGTAGAGGATATTGAAGTTTTCACCCGACTTCAGACCTCGACCTCCCGAGATGACAATCTTGGCAGTTTGAAGGTCGGGGCGATCGGATTTGGACAGTTCTTGGCTCACAAACTCGCTTATATCAGTGTTGATGTTACCGACTTCAGCAGCTTCAGTTGACGCTGATCCACCATCATTGGCACTGGCTTCGAAGGCGGTTCCTCTCACCGTGATTAGCTTGAATTTGGCGTTGGATTTGACCTGGAAATCATGGTTAATATCGATAAAATGCTTTAGAGAAAGTATTTTTAGAAAACAAAAGTTAGAATGATTCTTTGATCAAAAAGTATCTTCATCATGACCAAAACAACTAAAATTTAATAAAAATCAGCTAAAATTTAACAAAAAACCAGGCTCCTCACCTTTGCAACAGCATTACCAGCATACATAGCTCTGGAGAAGGTGTCGACGGAATGTACATCACTAATATCCGAGATCGGGCTCACATCAAGCTTGGCCGCAACTCTTGGCACAATCCCGCGGCCGAACGACGATCCTCCGGCCAAAATGTGAGTAAAATTGTGCTTCTTCTGGGCATCAAGAACAACTTCAGATACTCTTTCCGGTAACAGATCCTTCAGCTTCGCATCCTCCGCCACCAACACTCGTTTTACATTGGGAATCTTGGCCGCTTGTTCCGCCACCTTCTTGGAGTTGGCCCCAGCCACCAACACACTGATTTCATGGCCAATCTTTTGAGCAGCAGTGATTGTGTTCAAGGTGATCGCACCGAGAGCTTGATCATCGTGTTCCGCAATAACTAAAGTGCTGTTCAAGCGCTTCTAAACATGGAGAATATCAAAAAAGAATGAACTTACTTGAATGGAGCCGAATGAACGGAAGAACAAGGTCTTTGGTGAGAACATCTGAAAAGAAGAATAATATTAGCTGAAAAATGAAAAACATGTATTTTTAACGCTTGTGAATCAAAAGATCATGTAAATTCATGTAAAAACATCAAGATCACCCAAAAAACCTTAAAAATATTGTCCAAGTCATAAAAATAACAATAACCAGACGAAAATGTACAAAACCAAGATCAAAACAACCAAAAATAAAAGATAAAAGCCAAGAAACTACAAGTTGGCTGGTCAAAAGCAGTTCGCCATTTATTTCACAAAATCCAAAGTACACTCATTAATGAACAAAAAACAAATGTTTTGATCAAGAATAGCGGTCATGAACCACATTATACCCAAGTTAAATTAACTTAAACACAAAAATAAATCTATTACCTATAAAATTGTTGCAAAAAATATAAGAAAATATTTTAAAAATCGACTGGTAAATGCAAATTTACAATAATAACCTTCCATCACATTATTTTCCTTTTATAACGTTTTATTCAACTGCACCCGTGGCGAAAAAATCGCAAAATGCCATTTTATACGATGAAAAATATCCGAATAAAACCTTGCCCTCCATGAAATATCTATCTAATGTAAATGTTCCCATATTTAAATAGCAACAAATAACAATTTATTAGAACAACAATGGACCAGTATATCACAAATTGAAACCGTATATTATGATATAAAACTTTCGAATTCACCCGTTATTGGACGTCGCAGTAGACGTCGTATTCCTGGTCGATTCCGAGGTAAGAATCGGACATGACGAACAAAGTGAAGATATGTGGACCACTGAAAGTATGTTTTATCGTTTTTACATGATATTTTGTTATAATTTAGGCTTTGAGATACATAAATATCAATTTTAATTCAATTCGTCTTCCTATCAAAAAACGTCAATTATTACCTAAAATAATATAAAATAGCTACAATATTGAACTCTTACCGACTTTCTGGAGCAAAAAAGTTCAAATGGAATGTGTGGGGCTTGTCACCGAGCAGTAGTCCAGTTTTTCTGCACGCCAACACGCTGTTTGTGTCTTTTTCACCGAGTAATAGTACCAGTCCAGGTGACTTTTCTTTTGGATACTTTGGAGAGTAGGTGGCTTTCTGATTCTAAAAGTTAATATGAAATTACTGTAGGATACCTTGTTCATCTTTTACTTAAATTTCAGTCTAATCGGAGGTTTTGGGATATTATACATCAAGCATTATATTGAGGTAGGTCATGTTGTAGTAGGCTAGGACGCAGAAAATGGGTTTTACGGCCAAAATATTTCCCTTACTTATCATTAAAAATTTAAGAATATCTTTCTCACATACTTTACTACCTTAAAATCCTCAAAACTACCTCAATATTGTCTATGAAACCTTTCCAATCTCCAAAAACCTTACTTTAGCAGGTCCAATAATGAGAATTTCCACTTTAACTCTGTATTCCTTGCCACTTTCCAATGGAATTTCAGTTTTTTGTTTCTCAAATCGTTCAAACAAGTTCAAGGGAGCTTGCATCAATCCCTTTTGGAATTTGAAGTCAGTGATACGAATCGTTGGCCATGCGAACAGGGCTTCGACCACTTGTTTAGTTTCGAATTCACTCAATGGGAGACGTTTTTTCATGCGATTCATCACGTTTTTGTGTTCTTTCTCTGATGGTTCTGATCTGAAAATAGATGTATTTAACTATAAAATTGAATTTTTTAAAACACTGCTTTCAATTTTCATAATTTTTTCGAAAAACTTCATTTTTAACCTCCCAAAAGACCAAAAGTTTCGCAATTTAAAAAAAAATGCCCACAACCCTTACAATTCATACCTCAATTTCCTAATGCCCAACTCTTCCTGTAACATTGGGATCGTCATTTCTTTTCCAAAAGACTTGGCCAGGCTTGGACTGACATTTGGAAGGCAGGTTAGTGGATGGTCATCGTACCATCGTGCCTGAATCACCTGTTGTAGCATGATGATGGTCTTGAGTGATGTGCTGAGCCATCCTTTCAGTACGGCAAAGTCGAGGATGGCTTGGAAGATACGAATACAACTTTCGATTACACTTCGTTGATCTGTGAGGTAATCGACCGGTAATTGGATTCGACTGAAGTGGGTTTGGTATAGGACCATGGTTTTCGAGTGTGAGGATTCAAAGTCGGCGTGGTTTGGCATTTTGTAGGGGAGGAGTTTGTTCAGGTCACGGTTGATGAGGTCTTCGTTGTGACGGCAGGGTATTTCCGAGTATTCAGGGCAATTCTGAAAGCATTTATAGGTAATAATATGGTTTTTTGAAAGGTTTAATTGTTTTTAGCTATTTAGAAATTAATTATCTAGTTAATTGTAATCAAAAACGACAATTTTATATCTATTTTCATTCAAAAACCATCAAAACTCACCACTAAAACATTCAAAAATTCGTCGGTCTCCATCTTTTCCTTCAGATTCTCGGCCAAATGTCTGATGGTCGTGTGTTCCAAATAGTACTTGCTAGCCAGTCTTCCAAACGGCGTGCAGATCAAATGCTGTTCTTGTTTGATATACTCCACACATCTTGATGTGATTAGTTCATCGACTGTTTCATCGACCAACTTCGTCAGGAACCTCACCAAACTCTTTTCATCAAAGTCTTCGATGCCATAGTAGGATGGGTTGGCGAAGATGCGTCTGTAGAGGTAGGTACCGGACAGGTAATCGACCATTTGTTGTTTTGATGAGATTTGGCCTGCGGCCGCTTCCGCATTGACATGGTTGGGTAGGGCGGTGAGTAGGGCGGATTCGACTGGGAATGGTTCGTAGAGGAAACGCTTGTAGAACTTCTTCTTCATGTCCTGGACGTAGACAACGGCTACGGCGGAATCGTCGTACTGTGGACGGCCAGCACGGCCAATCATTTGGAGGACGTCGGTGACGGGGAAGTCAATGTATTTGTGGGTTTTACCATCGTAGAACTCGGTGCCTTTGACGATAACGAGGTGGGCTGGACAGTTGATTCCCCAGGCCAGGGTGGCTGTGGCAATTAAGACCTGAATCTTCCTCTCAACAAACAACCTTTCCACAATCGACCGCTCATAACTCTGCAGGCCAGCATGATGCATCCCAATGCCAAATGGCAACGTCAGTTTCAAGTTCTCATCTCTCAACGTGGAAACAACGTCATGGAGCTCTTTTTGGTCCATGTGGAGCCACTGGCGTGGGTCCGGCTCCAATGCCAACATCGAGACGAATGCCATCGCTGTCAATCTGGTTTGACGTCTTGACGCGACGAATAATAAGGTCGGTTTGACTGGGCTGAACTGTTTGATGGCCTGGAATGCTGGTTTGTTCATTAGGGCCATTCTTGGGCAATAATGTTGGCCTGGGAAGCCTTGGATGTGGACTTGGATCGGGACTGGCCGGACTGATGGTCGGAAGTTGAAAAGCCCACTCTGAAAATATAAGGTTAGTACTATTTAAGACGTTTATCAATAATTCGAAAATTAGATGAAGTCCCATTTTTAATTACAAAGTGTACCATTTGATCCAAAAATAAAATTAAAATATCAAAAATTACCTAAAGTTTAAACCCTCACTCACCTCCGGAACGCCCAGCCAATCAGCAATGTCGAAAGCATTGGCCAAAGCGGTTGATAAGCCGACAATCCTGACCGGATGTTCTCTGTTTTTTCGCTTCGAAATCGACTTCAATCTGGTCACGATGGCTTCGAGCACGGCGCCACGTTCCACGCCCAGCAAATGGATTTCGTCGATGACAACCAACGTGACGTCTTGAACATACTGTCTTGTGTCGTAACTTCGAGTAATTCCATCCCATTTCTCGGGCGTGGTAATTAGGAGTTGGGCTTTTTTGAGTTCGTCTGGTTGAGGGGTGACGTCGCCGGAGACTTCGACAATACTAAAATTTAGGTAATACTTTTTGGAAAATTGACGAATATGAGTGTTGTAATAAGCAGGAACGGTGTCGGAGGGATAGATTGGGTCATATAGAGAAGAAAGTGGGTGAGGCGAGGGGGTGAGTAAACAGAAAATATTTTTTTTTGAAAAATCAACAGCGGGGACCAAATTCAATTTTTTTTAATTTATGAAAGTGGAGAAACTTTTTCTTCAATTTTTTTCGAAAACCCCTCATAGGACCATGTTGAACCTTAAAAAAAATTTATTGTGGGAGAGGGGAGGGAAATATATATCAAATATTTTACAAGTTAGAGAGGATGAAAGCCATTTCTAAAGGAAAGGAAGAGTAAAATGCCAAAAAAAAATATTTATTTTGGTCTACACATAGCTAGCCTACCACAGTAAAAAACTTACTTGACACCAAGTTGCTTTTTGAATTTTTCCGACCAATCCAACACTCTTTCTCTGACCAACGCCTTTAGTGGAGCAATGTAGACGCACTGAAAACAACAAAATCAGTTTTTGGCCCATAAAAAATTAACTAGAATCCCGTTCTAAACACTAATTTGAAAACAATTTTAGAAGTCCAAAACCGAAAAAATTCATGTCGTTCATTTGCATAAAGTTGTACGTTAAAAAACGACAAAACTTTTTAACAACAAAGTCTAGTCTTCAATTTACATTGATTTTCATATCGAAAAACAACATAACTTCTTAAAAATTAAGTCTTGTCGTCAATTTACACTGATTTTTAAATAAAAAAAACGCCAAAAAATACTAGCAAAAAATTTTTGTCGTCAACTTGTACTAACTTACAAGTAAAAAAACGACAAAACGTTCTAACGTCCTAAAACCTTTTTAAAACCCAATTCAAAACCTCCAAAAATCCCCTTCTCAAGCCCTCACCTTCTTCTCCGGTCGATGAAGCAAAGCCCTAAAGATAGCCAGCTCTGCACATAAGGTCTTGCCACTGGAGGTTGGAGCCCCCAACAACACGTTGTCCCAGGTATTGTACAAGGCAAAGAAGACTTGAGTTTGGACTGGATTGAAGAACTCGAATGGATACAGATTTTCAAAATCTGGGTTGTTCAACGCTGACAATGGCAGTGGGTCCAGTGGTAACAAGTCTGTGTGGGCTTTTGGCTGTTCAGGCAGGATGAAGTGATTCAATGTTAGGGTAGTGGCAGTCTCGTCCACCACCCAGCTGTCACTGATCAGACGAAGCTTGAAGTGGTGTTTGACTTGGTGGTCTTCGATGGGTAAAGTGATTGTGAGGTGTTGTTCGGCTTTTTGTATTACCTAAAAGAATATTGTAAAAGGCTATGTTTACAGCGTTAAGTATTAGGTTATTCACATAATTATGTGCCCCTTAAACAATTGTAATCCCAAAAATATCACAAAACTTAATTTTTTTAGTATTAAACTACCAAAAAACCCAAAAGACGTCCATTTTCCTGATAAATCCTTAACTTTCCCTTGTTCCCAAAAATTTTCGACCCGAATTCATAACAACCCAGCACTATCTTACCTGTTTCTTGTTGAACAATATGATTTCATGATGAAGAATGTGGCTTTCATCCGAATCTTCGACAATCAACCAGAAGCGCTCCGCTCCACCATGGCCAAGTAATCGATCACACCAGTTGAATTCGGGCCATATTATGGCGTCTATCCTTACAATCGTGCTGAAAATGCAAAATTCATACACAAAGTATTAAATAAATGATTGTCAAAGAACCAAAACCCAATACAAGACCATCCTCAAATACCAAAAACTAATAAGCATCCCCAATTAACCAAATAAATTATTATCAAAGCACCAAAGCCCTTACGGAGTGATCGGTTTGATAGTGGCATCCACATCCAGCGATGGAATCATTCTCAGACACTCGTACAAAATAGCACCATCACAATGGAACTGAGCACCCAACTCCTTCTTGTCATACTCCAGCAAGTCGAAGAAGCTCAGATTTCGTTTGGCTTCGATCTTCCGTACCACAATATCTTTTAGAAGCCCAACATCAACAAGTTGTCTTAGTGGACTGTTGAAGACCCACAACTTTCTGTTGATGTACTTCGAGAACTCGAGGCATTGAATGGCAGTTGTTGACCAATTCTTTCGTAATGTGCATTCGAATAGAGCTCTGGCCACTCTCGACGCATTTTGGCTGATGTAGTACATTTCGGTTTGGAGGGTGAAACTAGCCGGTTCTACTCGAGATATGTAGTTCTGAAAGGATTTGGGTTAATATTACACTACAATTACATATAGCTAGAGTTTGGCAGATTTGGGTAATAGAAAATGGGTAGAAGTAGGAGTAGGGGTAAAAGTAGAGGTAAAGTAGGGTAAAGTATGGTAAAGTAGGGTAAGATAAGGCAAAATAGGGTACGGTATGGTAAGGTAAAGTAAGGTGTAGTAGGGTAGGATAGGTTAGGGGTAGAAGTAGTAGTGGAAATAGAGGTAGGAATAAGGATAGGAGTAGAATTAAAGATACAAAACTAATTGTACCTGTAGCAAACAATTGACTTTTCCAGCCGAATTGGCCAGTACACCATCTCTGATCGGCAACGTACAGCCCGACTTCAGCATTTCCAAGTCCATCATCTCTGTTTCTCGACACTGAAATCGTATTTTATACGTTAAATCTTGATTTTTTTTAAATTGACAAACCGCAGCAAAAATTTTAAAATTTTGAAAAAATTGTTACCTAAACTTCATTGAAAAAAGTTTTTTATTGTAAAATACGGGAAATTGTGCGCAAGTTGTATTAATTCTTTTTTCAAAATTTAAAAAAACCAGGCTTAAAAAATATTAAATTTGTAAAAAAATGCCATTTTTAACCTATTCCCTTACCGAGATGCCGACATCAAGAACCCGTCTTACTTTGCCTGTAATTTCCAGTAAAACATAGCGGGTTCTTTATGTCGACACCTAATATAAATGTAAAGCTACCTGAATTTGTGTGAATTCCGATGAAGAACAAAGCAAGGCCATAAGTTGATCATCTGTCATTGCCTCACACAACTTTGTATTGGCACTCGCATCGAAGAAGGTTTCCACCGATTCAATTGTAATATAGAACAAGGATGCGATTCGCCCGAGATCTGTTGAGCTCAAGTAGTTGTTGCTAAAACACTTTCATTCAAAATTTTCAACCTCTACCCCTGCCCTTAAAACTCAGAGCTAAAACAACATCCATATGCCTTCGAAAACCCTTACTTAGTATCAAACCTGATCATCTGATTAGTATCCAATCTCTGCGCGGCCGAATAACACAAATCTTCTAAATAAACTTGCAAATCCGGGCTCTCTCTCACTTCTCTGTAGTCAATTCCGTAGGCAATCGGGTTGATTCTGGCTCTAACGTAGAAATAGGTATATCTTAACCATTCGGCCGCTTCGTTTAGATTTGTCACCGTTCCTCTGGCAATTTCCGCATTCAAATTGTCATGAATTTTGTCCTGGAATTTGGATTCGATCGGGGTTTTTCGTATCAACATCCCAAGGTATTTGTCGAGTTTGGCCATCTTGGTGATGATGACACCATGGCCAGAGGATTCGAATTGAGGACGACCGGCACGACCGAAAATCTGTTGGACATCAAGGATGCCTAGATCGGTGAATGAGCCCTTGTTTGGGTCGAAAACGTCAGTACCCTGAAGAACAATTATTAAAAATAGCATAAACACCTAAATTTTTAAAAATTTCAAATTTAAAATTTAAAAAAAAATGCCAAAAATTTTCAGAATTTCAACAACATAGTGGACAACAGTCAAAAAATCATAGTAATATTCCATTTTTAATTCAAAACTTCAAAAAATTTTATATTAAAAGCCCAAAAAAAGTCCTGTCGCCAATTTACCTTACCTATAACAATAAAAAACGACAGAACTTTTAAATCCACAAATATTGTCTTACCCTGATAATAACAGCATGTGCTGGTAAATTAACACCCCAAGCCAAAGTCGCGGTACAACATAAGACCTTGATATGACCTTCGGAAAACATTTGTTCCATCAAGTTTCGATCCGTCCGTTTTAGGCCGGCATGATGAAGACCAATACCGTAGTCGAAGAAGAAGCGCAGGTCTTTCGAAGCCACGTTTTTCATCTGTAGGTTTGAATTTTAACTTTTTTTTAAACAATTTAACAAAAGTAAAAGTAGGAGTAAAGAGTTGTAAATGTAGGAGTAATCAAAGCAAGAATAGGGGTAGATGTAGGATCAAAGTTAAGAGTATCACAGTAGATCTCAAGTTATAATTCAGAATAAAAGTTAGAGTAAGGATATTACTCGCTTTGTATTTTACTATCTCTAACTCATAAAATTTTAAACTTATTATCTTACCCTTTTACATGCATTAGCATATTGAGGTTTTCCAGCGTGTTCGGATTCAAATAGAGGTCGTTCTTGCTGAAATACATCAGTATTAACACTTTTTTAGACGTATTCAAATCAAATACAAATATCATTAAAAATTTTAAAAAACGAGATTTTCACAAATCATATCATTACTTATAACCACATAAACTCAGATTTCTTATTTTCAACTTCATATCATTACCTAAATCAATATTAACTCAAATTTTTAACTTCTAAGTCCATCTATTACCTAAACAATCAGAATTCTAATTCTCAATTTCCACCCTCATATTAACATCTAAAACCTTAATAACCCACATGTTGTCCAGCCCGTTCGATCAAAAAGTTGGCGACTTGCGCAGTGGCATTTCGGCTGTGCACAAACACCAAAACTTGATGTTTTTCAGCCAAGTATTCGATACATTTGTCGTAGCAAGCTTCATCCATCGCTTTTTTGAGGTCTCCAGAATTCGGATCTGATACTCCCACAAATCTGAAAAATCGAGTTTTTAGTATAGCATGGCCATAAAATACTATTTAGTACAATCAATCGTTGGCAGCAAAGCAAGATTGTACTGAAGACAAAAATGAAATTTATTCCCAAATCAAAAAAAAAAATTTTTTTGGAAAAAATAAACCCCCCCCCCCTGCACCCCCTCCAAAAAAAGACAAAAAATTACCTCGCCCAAAAAAATTTTTTAGAGTTGATTTTGTTCCCCCTTACTGTTACCCAAAAAAAACATTAATATTATAAAACATGTTTCATCACAATACACTTCTAATATCAACTTACGTTTGAGTCAAGGGTACAGGCCTGAATCGTCCATCAAAGAAGAACAATCCCTTTTCTGGGTCTACTCGTAAAAATGTGGCTACATCAAGATAGTTGGGTAGTGTAGCTGACAGACCGACTATTCTTACTGATTGTTGAGATACTTCTGCCTGTAATAATATTACAAATTATTTCAAAGTAATATCAATACATATTGATCAACAGTATCACCAAAGTCGATGAAGTTGTTAAGAAGAAGGTCAATGTTAATGTACCATTGTTAACATATTATATTAAACTTTATGATAGGTAATATACCGTTAAGAGATGATTCTTTTATAATAGGCATAATAATATCACAAGTTAAAAATGCTAAGATAGTGTTCTTTATAAAATGTTACCATACCTGTCTCAAAGTCCTCGCGACGATAGTTTCAATAACTGGACCTCTTTCATCGTGCAGTAAATGAACTTCATCAATGATTAACAGTCGGACAAGTTGAGATAAAGCTTCGTCATCTGATTTTCGAGTCACTACATCCCATTTTTCAGGTGTGAGGACCAACATCTAAAATAAAAAGTAAAGAATACAGTATAAAAAAGTAAAGCGTATTGTAAGTTAAAAGTAAAGGCAGATTTAAAGGTAGAGCATACTGTAGAAAAAAGAAAAAGATACTGTAAAAATAAAGGTAGAGGAGTAAAGGGTACAGGGCCAATTAGAGGTAAAATTAGAAGTGAAAGTAAGGCTAGGAGCAAGAATAGGGATAGACGTAGGCTTAGAAGTAACGATAAATATCCCACCTGAGTTTCGTCGATCTCCTTCCGACTCAGCTGCGTATCTCCAGTCAGCTCCCTAACAGTCAACCCCAATTTCTTCAATCGTTTCGAAAAGCTGTTTGTCATTTCCGCGGCCAAAGCTTTCATTGGAGCAATGTAGATGATTTTAAAAGTGTCTTTGAGAATCCGTCCATGTTCATCGCAATGATCTCGGATGGTTTTTAGAATCGACAACATGGCCACATTAGTTTTACCAGCTCCAGTTGGGGCACAAATCAGTAGATTCTCTTTGGTGTTGTAGGCTTGTTCAAATACAATCGATTGGATAGTGTTTAGCTTTTCAAATCCTTGAAATGCTGCTTGGCCTAGCTAAAAAAATAATTTTTTAATTTTATTTAAAATCGAGCCTTTAAAATAAAAAAAAATTGAATAACCTTGGAAATGTTACCTAAAATACTAAAAATTTCAAGAATATTAGATAGTGTTACCTAAAAATCAAGAATATCGTTAAAATGATACCTAAAAGCCAAGTTCGCTTAAAAATGTTACCTAAACATCAAATTTAACCCTGCAAAACCTAATTCGCTGTCTCTTACCGGATCCAAACTGCTGATCATAACACTATGCACATCCATGTTCAAGCTTCTATCCTGTGGCGGCACAGTAACCTCCTGTAATGTTCTTGTAATTTTCCTCGTCGTTCCTTCTGGCAATGAGAACTTTGTCCCAAACAAATCAACATCTTTCATTGGCGACGAAGAGAAGGCATCAAAAACAAATGGCAGCTTCCTTCTAGCTGATTGAGATCCAAATTTGGCACTAAAATCATTAGCATCTTGTAGTTCACGTTGTCGTTGCTTCATTTGCTCAGCTCTGGCCAGTTCCAATGCCATTTTATCCTCGTGGCCCATGGTTAAGACAAGCTTCTTAAATTCCTTTTCTGTTTTCTTTTCTTCTTTTCTCATTTGCTTTTGAATTTGGGCTTCTTTTTTGGTCTTAATAGTAACACTACCCGCATATCGAGCTGTTGGGTCTGGTGGTCCCTGAAACTAGTTAGAATTAACGTCATTTTGAAAATATTAGTTTGAAAAGCTGCGTAATACAATAGAAATTCAATTGCAAACTTTTTCAATTAAAAACAAGTTATAAGTTTAACTAAAAATCAAATTACACAAAAATATTACTTTAGGTAACAGATTTTTCCAAACATTTAAAACGAAAACTTCTAATAACTGAATATAAACCTACAGCTTCTTGAATCCTTTGTTCCTTGACCTTCCTGACCAAAAAATCAGGTATTTCTTGAGCCAACGTCTTTCGATTTTCGATTAACGTTTGAAGAAGATCAAAGTTTTCCACACCTAATAAGTCGACTAGCTAAAACAATAAAATTACAAAATAAAATTTTTTTAAAAATAAGCTGAATACCACATATATTAATAGAACTATTAAAAAAAACCATTTTTGAAGCTTTAATTATCAAAAAGCTATATTAACATAGGCTAAAATTAAGTTTTTACAACCTATTTACCAAAAAGTAAAAAAAACAGAAACATGACAATCAATATAACTTCTTAAAACATCCTTACATCTTGTTGAATCGCATCATCAGACTGTCGACCATTTAGCAACTCTGACAACCTTTGCATCAAGACAGTTGGTTGATCGTACTCCCTTAACATCACAAACAAGTCGTCAGCACTCAACACCGCACTATTGCCGTTTGTTTCAACATCATCCAACACTTCATCGTTGAAATCAATCTTTTCCAACACCGAATTTCGCCATTGCACTTGTTCTGCATCAAATTTTATCGCATCAGCCGGCTTCTGCCCAACAGCTGATATAGATATCCCCAAGATTCGAGACGCTTCGTTCAATATTCGATTCCCATCTCCAGAAATTATTCCAATCTCCGGTTCTATATCATATTGTGACTTTTTGTACAACACAACAGATGGGGGATCGACTAAACACGAAGGGTCGAGAATAGCTTCTTTCCAGAAATTGGCCACTTGTTCATGAAGATGTTTCATTCCCACCAATGTTCTCACGCCGCTAACAGCTGAAAAATTGTTATAGTCAGACAGTCAAGATGCTTATCTAGCATTACTATGTATTTCAAACAAGTATCTTCATTATTCAACCTGATTTCAGCAAAAATCTTCACCTAAACATTCAAAAAACAAGTAAAACAATATCCTTACCTTTGCACAAGCTCTCTGCCGTCTTTTCATTCAAACTCTCTGATAAATGTACCCTCAAATACTCTAGTTCAAACGAGTTTGGTTTCTCCTGACAATCTACCAATGCTTTGAACACAACCAAACATCTGTGCAGCACGTTATCAACACCTAAAATAATATAAGTTTAATAGTTAAACTAAAACCCCCTCAGCTTACCAAACACATTCACAGTCTTCTCAACAAAATTGAAGAGTTTTGAGAGTGAGATGGCAGCATCAACATCGTCGTACGTCAAGTATTCAAAGACTTTGCGCTTGAAACGATAATATACATGATTTTCCTCCTTTTTGTCCTTAAATTTGATATCAAAAGTTTTGGCAGTCATATCTAAAATATAATATATACTCCTATGAACATTTACTTTGTTATTTGCTTGTTTCCTAAAAGTCTTCCAATTTTATAAATTATTTTATAGTTTCTTCATTCCAATCAATCGTGGCACTTTGTTCCCATGCTATCGAATTTTTTGACACATTGTCACAAATGTAAGTTTTAAAAAATTTGAATGTGTTTAAGCTCAGATTTATATTAAATAAAAATTTCCAAGCCCATTATATTGTTTTATAACATTATATTAATTTTAGCATTTATGATGTTCAATATAGGCTTAGCTTTGGCCCTAGTCTTAATGTTAGCCTTAATTTTATCTTCTACTTCTGTCGGTGCACGACGGTGGTGGAAAGATCATTTATTTACTATACTATTCACAATATATCTGCATGAATAAGCTTGGGTAGGGCTAAAAAAAGCAAAGGTAAGCAGAAATTTCAAATTTGTTGGTAATAAAGGATTTTGGTATACAGAAGTCTTAAATGTACGGTGCACGTCAAACCGAAACGTGAAATCAGAGAGTAAAATAGACGTTTTGTTTAGCGCATAAAAAAAAAGAGAGCGTGCATAGAAAAAGCGAACGAGAGAGCAAAAAACCGAGAGAGCGCCACGCAAACGAAGAGAGAGCGGTTAGACATTTTGATATTTCACTCATTTCTATTAGTTCGGTTTGACGTGCGGTGCAATGTTGGCTAAAGTCTTAAAAATCGTTCGTTATACATGATCTTCTTTATGTGTGAGTTCGTTATGTAGGAGTTCTACTGTAAAATGTTTAGACAGGGTCTGTTAATATAATCGCACATTACTGTAAACGTGTGAACTATTTGCAGGCTTTGGGATAAGAAAAGAATATATTAGGTTGTTAGGTAAGTCGTGGGCCCCCTTTCAACACAAATGTTTGAAAAATCAGGAAAAAATTAATATATATCGCAAATTGAAAATTTTGATGTCCTTTTATAGTTTAAAACCTATATTTTCAGAATATGTAAGTTTCAAACCTCTTTTAATTTTTTGTTTTGTTGTTTTAGTGGCCAGAACATTATAGGGCAAATGACGACTTTGGGTAATGATGTAAAAGAGTACAAAACAAGTCGTAACGTTAAAACTACGGCCGGATTCATAAATAAGACACATGGAAAAAGTATTGTGAGCTACACAACAGCAAAAATTTGGTTCCAAAAGCTTCCTTCTGGAGATGAGACGCTTGAAGAAAAGTGGAGGTCCTGTAGAGTAGTTCTCTATAATTCCTTGAAACTTGGCCAAACCATAACTGTTAGTACGTATTCTATTAATATTGACCAAATGCGCCACTATCTACCTTCAAAGTTGAGAAACAGAAGGTCAATTATTGTTCATGACAGTGTCCGCCCCCACTTGGCAACGATGACCGCAGAAAAACAACGGGTTTGGATACAAAGTTTTTGACCATCATTTGTATTTACTCGACATGATAGCTACATATTACCATATTTTCAAATCTTCGACAGCATTTATGTGTCAGCGACAATCCACTGAAGATGACGATGTCATGGAAGCCATCAAAATTTTCTTAGGCTCTAGAAATTCTGAATCCTATACTACTGGGATAAAAATGCTTAAAAACGTTGGACACATTGTGTTAATGTTGATGATAACTATTTTGATTAATATTTAGTTCTTGTTGTAACGCAAAAAAATTTTTTTTCTGATACACGGTTAGGGGGGGGCCCACGACTTACCTAACAACCTAATACTTTTGTAGTTGTAGTCCTTAACAATGGAGATAATGATTACACTCTTCATTCTATCCAGACGTCATTCCGAGATCCATCTGACTTTAACATAACGATCCTTGACGTAAGTTAATGTAAAGCATTCACTAGTGATAGTATTTGCATAAAAAACACAGAAAAATCTAGCTTGTGTTAAGAGTTATCGCATGATATTGTGTATTGCAAAGTGAATAGACGGTTCCCCACCACCGACAGAAGATTGAAAACTTTATTCCGATGTGGCTTTTTAACTATTTATTATTAGGTTGTTCAAGTAATTCTGTGCCCTTTAATCCCAAAAATCTGCTTTGAGAGGGGCACAGGATTACGTGAAAAATAGACATTGTAGGCAGCCAAGTTCTGTACTAGGTTAATTCAAGTCGACTATACTGTTGAGGAAAGTTGCTTTACTGATACCAACAAGTACCTCTTATCTCCAAAGTATGTCTACCAAAAACTTGTGTAAATGGTTTGAAATAGCCTAGAAAATTCAAGCTGCAGAGACCATGGAGGGAAGCCTAGAAATATAAAAGTTGAGACACTTTAATTAATCAGCTATAGACACACTTAGTAAACTGCTATGACATCAGGTTGTTCAATTAATTCTGTGCCTTCTCAAAGCAAGTTTTCGCAGTTAGGGATACAGAATTATTTGAACAACCTAATAAATAATATAAGACAATCTATATTTAATGATGAGGCATAGGCTTTGTATAATAATGTAAATCAACTTACTTCCACAGTCCGATGGCTCAAATAAGTAAAAAAACAATTGGACATTACCTGATTGACAAACTGTTCTAACTTCTTCTTCTTGAACATTCCCTTTTCCTAAAGAGCGAGGATAAAATAAAAAAAAGACTTTAATTAAGAATATAGATTAGATTAGTGGTTTGATGCCGTAGATTGTAACGAGTAAAATGTCTGTTAGCAGTAATATAAGTAAATGAAATATGGGTAAATAGTAGTCCAAAGATTCTGACGAAATATGAAGTAAAGTGAATCACGGTTATCGAAGTACCATTTCATTAATATCAATCCGTGACAACTAAGGTTCGCCGCGACTCCTTTACTCTCCGTCTCTTTAGTAATTTCACCTGCTGGGCCGAGGCAACAAAACGCGGAACAGAAGGCCGATAATGTACACAAATACTTCTCGAATTCCGCTATTTTTCATTGAAATGCCAAAGCTATTAATTCTCCAGAGATAATCAGTCCTTGGATTATATACATGATGCATATTAGTTTGTGTATCCAAAGAGTGTCATTGGGGTTTGGATCGGCCATTAACCAAATTCCGTAGACCAAGTTACCGAAGTTGATTAGCATGAGGGATGTGCAGGAAAACAAGTGCTTTGCATCTTTCGTATGGTATTCCCTCCTAATGCTTTTTTTCATAAGATCTGTTAATATTCTACATTAAATTACTGTAAAATTTTTTATTTATTTGTCTGTTTACAAATATCTCTCTTTATTTAAATATCTATCAATTTTGAAATTAAGCGTTAAAACTTTTTTAATAATAGTACAGAAAAGAGAGGAGGGCCAAGATCATTGAAAGAAACAAATATTTGTGTAAATTGTATGAAATCCTTCTGTAGGTCTTGAAAGTGACGGCGGCTACGTCGACAAATGTGTAGAGGCAGTTTAGCACCACGAAGAGAGTTTCAATTTGTTTGCTCAAGACCCCTGCATTGCCCAGACAAGTAAGACCAGTCATTACAGAAGTCCCAATCGCGCAAAGTTTGGAGACTGCATTCATGTCCAATTTGAAGTATATAGACCAAAACTCTAGTGCGAGAAGAATGGCTTGGATAATGTATAAGATTAGCATAACCCAATGGAGCTCTTGGGTGTTGCGTTAGTGATCAGGGCGAGGGCGTAGACCAAGTTGAATATGTTGGCACCCAGTAGCCCAATGCTGATCAGTAATGTGTTACGTTGGCTTCTTGAATGGTCTGAGCGTGTGTATACCAGCCTAAAGTCACAAACTTGGTCATTGTGTAAAAAACTAGCTTAGGTGAATATTTGTTAATAATTTTACTGAAGGCTGTTTTATATTTAATTAATCATGTCAGGCGGGGAAACCCCGTTTTACTCTTGCCTATAATCTTAATCACATCTAGTTTTGTTTTGTCGTGTTCTCTATTACGTTGTAATTAAAGACAAATTTGACTTAATCGTATTGTTGTCCCCTTGCTTTGCTGTTAGCATACTGTAGTTTACTCTACATTATTCCTATCGTACAGTAATTTATCTTGTTCTACTTTTATTAGGGCCTAAGAAACTACATTATGCTAACATTAAGACAACATAACCTACAGTATACTCACGCTAGCGCATGGGAAAATACATTATGCTAATATTAAGGGAAGTTAAACTACAGTATGCTTACAATTAGGTCATGGGAAACTACAGTATGCTCACATTAGGGCCTAGGAAACTACTTGGAGGGTTGCTCAAAAAATGATTTTCTATACAGAAAGAGCACTGTACATACGTTTTCTGCATTATTAACAGTACACACAAAAATCTCTTAACGTAAGTATACGAAAACGGCGAAAGAGAGCAAAATAATCCAAACATGATGTTTAGTTAAATAATAAACGGCTTCACGGTTTTCGACGATCCATAACATCATGATCACTATTTGACAAATGAGGTTTCCTAGACGTAATCCCTCTCCATCTCTTTAGTGATGCCCTGCGCTGGTGCAATGCAGCAAAACGCGGATAAGAACGCCGATGCTGCACAACAATACTTATCGAGCCGTACTGTCTGGCTTTGAATGTCAAGCAATAGTTTCAAGCACAACAGACCTTCTTGAACCAAATAAGTGAAGTACATCACTTTGTGAACCCAAAGAGTCTCAATGGTTTTTGAGTCAAAAATCAACCAGGTTCCGTATTTCGGCTCAAAAGCGCGTAGGTTTGGTTCCGCGCTGTCGGAAGGTTTTTTTTATCGCTTTTTCTAAATAGTATATTTACAGCTTTTGCATTTTTTTGCAAAGCAAATGTTGCTTTGTAAGCCCGAAACCAAGCGGAAGCCAAAGCTTAAGTGTATTATAAGTAACTCTTAAAAAATTTTGAAAAAGGCTAAACTAGTCTACTATACCCTTTTTATAATACAAAACCTGTTCTATAAAAGTTTCTCTACTTTATTATATGAAACACAGACCATGTCATTGCAAAAGTTATCAACGAAGAAAGGAACCTATTATTCCTGAGATTAAGTTGAATATAAC